TTTAAAAACAAGCAACCAGACTTAGATATTTCATATATGTAAGAGAGAAGCATGTAACTTTCTATTTAATGCCAGAGATAAGTACTTACTGTAATAGAGGGGGAAGTATTCCACAGCTTAACACATAATCTCTGCATTCTGCATTGTCACCAGCAATGTTACCAAGAGCCCACACTGCCTTAGAAACAAAGTGATAAATTAATATGCATACAGTTTTCTAAAAATCTTTAGTTCATTTGTAATCTTTATATGCTGCATTCCTTAATAAAATAGTTGTGCAGTGTTGTAACATTTATAAGAGGTCTAAAAAATCAGGAATGTATAAGCTACCACAAATGAAATCCACTGGAATGAAATAAAGAAAAGTGCCACCCTGAGAGTATACTTTTTCAGCTCAGTCTTAAAAGCTGTTGTGAGAGTTCACTAGCACATAACATAGGCAGAAAACTACAGCACCAGTAAAAACAGACTACAGTCCTGTGTACTAGCACTGCCTCCTAGGCAGTTGTAGGATAAGAACATTCACTGAAAGAACAAGTGCTAGCACTCATCCTACGATGGTAAACTGTAGCCTGCCATGGGTATGGCAGTTTCATATGGCTAACAACTACAGCCAGACACCCATATTGCAACCTGTGAGTCCTTATGGTGACATTTTACCAGAAAGCAACTTGAACTCCAAAAGAATATATAGACTAACAAAAGCAAGAATGCTTTCTGATGCCAAATAGGAACTTCTTTGTTTTGCCTCATAGATCGCTTTCATAACATACAATCATTTTTAATTAGCCTAAGCACAAAGAATCACTAATAACTGGAACCAATTGTTACCAATCAATAAGTTCCCAATAATGCAATTCTGAACATGTTTATACCAAAATCAGTAGCAGTGATTTCAATAAGGTTTGTTCCCAAGTAAACTGGCACAGGAGTGCTGTTTAAGAGCCTAAAGTTAGATGATTACAGTATGATTATACTATTTGGCTACTGTAATATAACATTTATAAAATATACAGAGCTTTATTTGAACCCAACACCTAACTATGCTTTAGCATTATAGGTATAAGTCTTGGACTTGTGAGCTCCTTTATCTGCCTACACAGATGAGAGCTTTCCCTTTCATCTTATACAAATAATGGTTACTTATGCCCTAACCTGACAAACTGGTTCATCTAAACAATGGGTTAGGAAAACAACCCAGGATTGTAAACAAGTTTAATCAGTTCCAGGTTTAGACATAGCAACAAACCATAGTTAAACGAAAAGAGAAGGAGAGTTTCCAATCTCTTCCTCATGTCCACACCTGTTAATGAGAGGAGGCAAAGAGCATAGTATGTGTACTTAATGTTGAGAGTAGATCAGGGTGTGCTGCTCAGCCTTTTTTACAAGTCTGCACCATGCTTTCTGACTGGAGTCTTTGAAGCCAACAATATAGCACTATTATTGATTTAAAAATCCACAAGAAGTTACCTGTTCTTGGACATCTTCATGTTCAGAATTCAACAATTTAATGAAAATTGGAACGGCCCCAGTCTCAATTACTACTTTTGTGTGTAGAAATGTTCCAGATGCTATATTTGTAAGAGCCCATGCTGCTTCAAACTAAAAGGCAAAACAGAGCTAGATAAACAAAATTCTGAACAGATTCTGCATACTTATTTTCGAAGTGGTTTATTTTCTTTCATAACAAAATAATGTATGATTACATTATGTATTATAGTTAAATAAAACACTCCAGTTAATCCTTTTTGCAGACATGTTACTGAAGAGAATACAGCATTGAAATTCAGCAGAGAAGACATCCATGCACAGCTATGAGGCTCAATTGGAAGTCTCCAGTAAGTAACTTCCTTTCAACCTAACTGATTTGGTTATTTTAATGAAACGGATGAACACTCATATAACCGTGGAACCAAAACCCACTCTCTCTGCACAGGAGATAAGACAGGGAGAGAAAAACAAATGCAACCATCTCTCAATGTAACTATCTGAATTCTTAACACATCTACCTTCTGCTAAAATCTTAGCATATATGATCATGTCACCCACCTGAAGAGTACAATTCTCATTCTTTTCCAGAAATTTCACAAATCTTTGTACAACTCCTGGTTTTTGTATGACTTCATCTATTGGAGGATTAGGCTCTGAAAAATAAAGGTTAATTTGACTGATAAAAATAAAAGCTATATCAAGTTCAGTTCAGGTGAAGATTTAATAAGAGAACAAATTAGCATAGGTAATATAGTATAGTAGCCAAAGTGTTGGCTTTTTATGAAAACATCCAGGTTCAAGATAAGCCCTATATAGTAAGTTGGGTGGCAAATGAGGGTTGAGTAGTAAATGCTGTTGAATTCAGTGAGTCTTACTCTCAGATAAATGCTATGAATTGCAATCTTAGTTAACCCATTAAAGCATAAAATCAAAGAATAAAGCATGAAGAAGCATGCATCTTACATATTCATATATTTTGATTAACATAGTCTCTTAAAACAAAGCAGTTCAGTAGCAGTAATTATGTGCAACACGAAATGAAATCTATCCATATTTAGCAAGAAAAAAATCTGACACTTCCATGCTTAGGATTGCACACTAATTGGGCTTACAACAGCTAGAACAATTTAAAAAATCCTGAGTATATTACGATGAGCTCAATATTATTTTCAAGCAATTGCTTTGCCTCTTCCCAAAACAGAGCTTCAAATTACTTTTGACTTTAGTTCATTTTATAGAAGTCATTTGAAAACAGCTCATACAAATACAGTTAACACAGCAACAGGCCACTCATTTGTGGCTCAAAGTTTAAAGCACAACTGACAAAAGAATATTAATCGCAAGTTACTTTACAGCACTAATAGCATAGTAAGGTAGCAAAAGTATAGCTGCTATGATTTTTGGCATTCACCCATTACATCCAGATGATTACAATCACATAAGTGATAGAAAAACAACAAGATGAAAGCATTCAGCAAGATGTGTTTTACATCTTTTCCTTAATCTAATGTAAACTGTGAACAATATTTACAATTTCCATTTTAAAAAAAGAAAGCAAAAAGCACAGGTACCTACCCTTAGAAAGCAGTTTTCTAAATCTCTGCGTAGCTGCAAGTTGTTGGTTAGGATCATCTGAGAAAACCATCTGTACCATATCAGATGTAATTACATCTTCCTAAAAATTAAAAGTTGTTATCACTGGCTGAAGCTTTAGCCACAATTATTGACACAATTATTAAGTTGTTTGGGATAAGCTACCTCAGGAATAGGTACAGTAGAGCTCACATCAGGATCCTGGATTGGACTTTCGTGCATTGATTCTTCATTTCCCAGTAAAGAAACATTTCTGCGTTTAAATAACTAAGAAAAAAGAAAACTCATAAGGTTTGTATTTGATGGGAAAGTGGAGAGGAAAAGAACTGTGTTTTAAATTTGTTTATAAAGAGAAGAGTCATTTTGCTTAGTTTCTCTTTTGAGACCCATTCATTCAACTCTGTTGACTAGGTGTTTAAATATGAAGATCACCTAATCTATGAATAAGTACAATTTTAAACATTAAGACCTCTCTTATAATCAGAATATTGGATATAAATGTAGGAAGATTCTCAGTTGTATGTTAGGCCAATTAAGTGATGATCATATCTACTGAGAAAAACTGCTACAGAGAAGCAAAAATGGTTTATGTATAAGAGAAGAAAACACACGATTTTAATCTTTCCTTTTTCAAAATGTCTAGAAGTGTCTAGAATCTTGTCTAAGTTTTCTAATTCACAGAACAAGAATAGTTGCTTTGCTATACCTCATCATATTACTAAACTTTCTATATGTCAGAGTACCATGGTACAAACAAGATGGTTATTCCCATCACATTCTAATGCTGTCCCAAGGCATCTGGCTCACAACTGTTGCTGTCATTAAGTGGACTTGATAGGCCCTGGTCTGATCCATCAGGCTACGACTTATGCTACCAACATCTTACTGGGAAAATAAAATTCCTACCTTAAACATCAATTAAATCCATATTTTTAAAACCCAAACGCAAGCATATTTGCATATTACTGTTACTACAAACACAGCCTATATTCAACTTGGTGGCCTCCAGATGCGTTGGACTACAAGCAACTTAGCTGGTGATAAGGAGAATTACAAGGTGGGGAAAATAGGTCTATATGCAAGCAGACAATCATCTGAATCACATCTCAAATTTTATTTTTAACATATTAACAATGTGTTCTCTATGGACTAGAAAAACAATGAGAACAGTACATCACAAACTGTAAGATTATAATGGCTCCTTAACTCCTCTTGGTTTAGGAGACTATGGACACATATTTTCATATACAGACACTCAAGTTAATTCCCTTGATTTGAGGAATTTCACCTGCTTTATTACAGGCAATCCTGCAGGTGTCTACTGAGGCTTTATCTTAGTCTGCAATTCTGGCCTGGCTCTTTAAAAACTTACTTGTTCTTCTCTTTTCTGCTTCCGAAGTTGAATGCCTTCCTCTTCTCTTCGTCGCCGCATTTCTTGGGGATTCAGGGCATTGTTTTTATAACTTTTCATTCTGTAATGATCTTTCTCTGGGCTCGCCATGGTATCTATAACAGACAGCAAAAGTTTATACCAACCTCAGAACTGATTACATTTGCTTTCCTGGATTGCCAGTCAGTGCGAAGAAACAAGAGGAAATACCCTAGGGGTAACATATAAATATGTGCTCTAAGTAGATACAAAGGGCTCCACTTATATCCATTTAAGCAACACCTGTCTGTCACATAATAGCCAACATTATCTATTATCAAAGCTTTGCAAAACCTCTAAAATCCTATTTGCTTTCATTGCTCTTAGTAAAATGTTCATTTTGCTAATTATAGTTTTTGTTTAATGTTTCACTTTTCTAAAGTTTTATTGTTTTCTACTCACTAAACAAATAATTATTCTAAGGACTTCAAACATACTGTGTACAAAGTCTTATTTCTCTACAAATGCTATGTATTTTAGCCCATATTAGAGTTCCGATTCTGTAGCTATTGACAGAAAAAGTCCCACGTTTGGTAGTAAACTGTATCTTCTTTTTCCTTAAGTGATAAAGTCACTCTATCCATTTCTGCACAATCCAATATCTTGTTCAAGATCAAATCTTCAGCCAGTAGCTCTTCATTTCTCCAACACTGCGCATATGCAATCCTTGCCGCTGTTATTAATGCAAAGTCAAATATATACTTTATCAAAATCATAGGGGAGAATGCCTAACAAAAATATTTCTGGTTTAAACATTACAGATCTTTAAACATTTCCCCAAGCCATCTATGTATTTTAACATTTTGCTAATTACAGTTTTATCTACTTCAATATTTCTCACGATTTGTCCAAAATTCATATCAGTGCCAGGGAAAACTCACATTTCCACATTTTCTTAGCTGCAGAGACTAGATAGTGGAAAAAGCATATGAAAGTCTACTCATTAATCTGTCTACTCATTAATCTGTGATAGTAATGCCATTACTATTTCCATGACAATTCTCATTTATACAGCACTGTCCTTACAATAACCATTATACAACTGGAAAATTAATAGTTTTCCTTAATTTCTATGCCCATAAGCTAAACATCTCTTTGCAAAAAATCCTTTTACATAAAGTGAAATAGATATGTAATTTAGATAACTTTCCTATAGTACAACCCCTATACTTGTCTTCTCATAGGAAAGACTTATTATTAATTGAGCTTGCTTCCAGGTAAGTGCAGTCCCAAAGATTTTATTTTTTTCTTCCCACTCCTGAGTTCCCATTTCTGCTTTTTAGTATAATCCTACACAAACATGCTTAGGAGCAAGTTTCATTAAACTAAATTTTGCTGCCAAATAATATACACATAGGAGTAAGCTGTTTGCACTCTCTGTTCTTTGTTTCTCAAACTTAATTGCCCATACCTTTAAGACTGATTTCTTAAAGTAAAACATTTTAAACGTAATAGAATGGCTGGAAAAACAATTATGACAACATTAGTATGCCATGTTGTCAACTTTCCATTCAAAAATCCACAAGGTACCTAGCAATCATTAAAAACAAAACGATTATTAAAAACACTTGAAGCAATACAATACAATAGAACTGCCAGTAATCTCACAAACACAGATATCTCAATAGAATGAAAACATATAGAACAAACTTAAGCCAGTCAACAGAAATGTCAAAGCCAGTAGAACTTCAACAGAACCTCTAACTTCACTACTACTTTGGGTAATTGTCTACAAAACAAGGATAAACTGAAGTGCATATTCCTCTGGGTAAATCCTGAACACTGTTTATATTTTTGCATTGATACAATATCCATCAATGTATCTTCCCTCCTCAAAAAGATGGGTAGGGTATGATGCAGCCCAAGGGCACTTGAGGTGGCTTCAAACAAATACAGCTTCCATATAGCCTGAAAGGCCTGATCCTGCCTAACCTTGGAAGCTAAACAGGGATGGGCCTGGTGGAAATCTGGATGGGTGACTTAAATGTTGTGAACTGTCCAGAGTTTCGGTTACTTGTGGATAGAAGAAATAATAATAACAACAGCAGCAGTGCCTGTTCCCCTATTTGCCTTTCCCACAGGAAAGGCAGGAGAGAAGGAAGCTTTGAATGTCGTTACTGCTTTGACTTGGGGAAACCTTGAAACAGAGTTGTCCAAGTTGGCATACACCCTGCTGAACTTTGCCTTGGGAAGGAGAGTTGGTGGGGGGATGCAGACCATTAACTATCGGTTTTGCCATGGCCAGCCACGTAACGTAGCCTGTGCATACATATGAACTGGGTCTGAACACACAATTCATTCAATCTAAATAGTTTGGCTGGTGGGTAGTATAGAAATTAAAGAAAGAATAAAAATCACACTCCTCCACTTTCTTTTCTTGACAAATGCTGCACTACATGTACATTTCTTAGCATCTCTTATGAAGGAGAAGAATAACTGTGTAAGAAAAAGTAGTCTTATAGTTTACATGCTACTGTAATGCTCAGCTTGCAGTGGGCAGGACATCTGGATGCGCAGTAGAACACTTTCCTATTGTTTATCATAAGAACCTATCTTTGCCTACATCATCACACAAATCCAGATCAACAAATTCAATTAAATCAAGAGCTGTCAGGCTCAGCATCCTGAAGATAGCCTGTAACGGGGAATGCTTGCCTAAACCAGTATGAATTCCACGCCTCCTGAAGGATCACGATCACCTTGTTGAGGTGGGCAATTACTCACGCATCAGTCATTAACAATGCAGCCTGATCTTAAACATGCCGGCTCCCACCCATTTCAATGCAGATTACTCTCAAGCAAACATGCACCGCATGACAGCTGTCCACGGCGGATTTTATTTTACATCAGAACGCATCAACCAAAAGACTGGGACAGGGGTGTGCGCAACCGGCTTTCCTTGCTGTACTGTGCTTGGGGGTCTTACAAGGGGAAGAACATGAAACCGTGCAAAAGGGGAGACAAAAAGACCCCCCCTTTTTTTCTTTTCTTTTTTTTTTTTACAAGAATGCACTCTGGAGCCTGGGAAGGGAGAAAAAGGCATGCAAGACGAAGCCCCCGAAGAGGTTTAACTCGGCTTACGGGTCAGTCTCACCAGCGAAAATCTACTGAAGTGAGCAACAGCGCACCCCCACACTCCAAATACTTCACAACCGCGAAGCGGTCACGCACCCATTTTGCGGCCACCGGGGCCGGCGCCGCATCCGTTTTCCCCTCGCGGAACAGGCTGGCTCGCACTTAAAGATGGCGGCTCCAAGCCCACCGAAAATTCAGCCGGGTCCTTCTTCACTTCCCAGCACCACCCGCGCACACCGCAAAGACGGAAGCGCGAAGTGTCCGAACGCGGCCGGGAGCCCCGGAGGACCCCTCATGGCGCGCCCATAGAGATAGATCAGTTAGAGTTATACGCGATGCTTATCATTTGGGTTACGCGACACTCGACATCACCGATATTTACGACTGAGCTCAGGATTCGGCTGTTTGGAAACCGAAATCGTTTTCCCCAAGTGGCTACCTTACCCATAGGAGGAAAAATGGGAGGACTCTCGTGAGAAAGTGGAGTACAGGCAGGAAATTATTTGGATGAAGCCGTTTTCCCAAAGGCTTTTGCTTCCATCAGTTGCACAATAGTGTTTTTAAAAAAGAAAAAAAAGGGGGGGGAGGGAGCGCTTGGAGCTTTCCGTCAGGAAGCACCCTCAGGCATCTTCAATTTGTAACTCCCGAGGGTTCTCCCATGGATCTCTTTCCCCACACACACATTAAGGAGAAAAAGGTGGAACAGATTGTCATTTGACTAACAGCAAGAGTGCGCTTTTCCCTGACCTGATGCAGTGTTGGACCGCTTCTAAAATCCCATAACCAAATTATGGGGTTTGCAGCCCAACATATATGCAAGACATCAGTTTGGGGAAGGCTGCATTTAAAACTGTCCGATGGGAAGCGGCTTTAAACCACCTCTGAATTTAAAAGGTGCAGGGCATACGGCCATCTAGATTAAGCGCACACGGTCACTGACAGCCTTATCCTCCAAGAGTTGATCGATGCCCCTTTCAGATCATCTAAGGGCTGCAACTCCCAAAAGCCCTGTAACTGGGCATGCCGGGATTTTTTTTTCTATCTACATACTAATAGAATTGGCCCCTAAATTACTCGCCATTACCGCATCTTATAGCCATTTATGCAGTTTGAGCCTTGCGCTAGGAGAAGACATACGTATTGTTGGTACTGGCAAAACATGAGCCCTGTAAAGTGTGAAATACTCATACTTTACAGGATTATGAAGAGGACGCTGAATTTAAGGAAGCAAAGGACTCTTTCCCCACCCCAAGAGAAGACTTGCTGGGGTATTCCTGCTCTGAGCGCTGGAGAGCGAAAGAAGCCTGGTTCAAAGTGACTGTTTGAGAAAAGAATCGTCGGTATTTTTATTGCAGTGTGTTGAGTAGATCTATGAAACGCGGGAAACGAAAGAGCGCATGCGCTCTCAGGCCTGCGGCCATCTAGGGGGCGTGGCCGCCTCCCCGCCGGTGTTTAAGTCTAAACAGCTGCGCCGGTGGGCGCTTGGGGGCTTGGCTCTGTGGAGGACTCGCCGCCGCATTACCCGGCTGATCGCGTGGGCGATGGAATTGTCTGCGAGAGCCCAACAGGGGCCGCGGCGTCTGCAGGGGGACCCTCCCGCTGGTGGCCGGGGCCTTCCTCCCCCTCCTCCTCTTCCTCCTCCTCCTGCTCGCGGTGAGTGAAACGCTGCGCGCTCCAGCCTCCTTCCCCGACCTGGAGCCCGCGGGACAGAAACAAAGCAAGGGGTCTCGTGGGCATTCTAGTCTGACCCCCGGCTCCGCTCATGACATGTCTACCATGTGCATGTCCAGCCTATCCTTGAACACCCTCGAGTGGAAGCCCATTCCATACCCTGACTTGCATCACCCCCTCGACACCTCTGGAGGGTTGGGCAAGGCTGGCCTGTTTCTGGCGCTTCAGCCTCACTTCCTTTCCTAAAGCTACGTAGCCCGCGGATGGCTCCCGTCGGGAAAAGGCGATTCGTTCCTTTGCCATTCTACTTGCTTTGTCTGAGTTTACGTGTACTGCAGCAATGAATATCTGTGTGTGAACTGCTCCGGTAGGAATATCTGTATTCTTACCGAACACCTGCATCTAGGTTATCGGGCAGCAGCGCCATTGTCGTCTTTTCCTCCTCTTCCTTGTCACTCAGATGCAGAAAAAGCACAGAAACAACACTTTCATTGAGGCGTGGATATCCTTTCTTCCCTAATCCATATTTCCTTGGCATAACCGTGGTGCCTAACTAATGACCCCAAACCTTTTCTGTACAAGCATGCAGAGGCACAACAGCACGTGACATTCATTCAGTCTTCATTCTTTCATTGTTGGGTACCTGACACCTGCATTCTGTTCACACATACCCATTTCCCATTCTTCAGGCATCCATTCGCCCTACACTTTCTTTCATTTTTTCACAAATTCCATTCATTCATGCTGCGCTCCTTTTCTTGCCCTCTCGTTTCCGTCCTACACTGCCAGATGTTCCTTGGCCCTATGCTTCAGTTAGGCTTTGGGAGAAAAAGGCACCCGTAAGTATTAGTGGGTTTCTTTCCTATACCTACTTGTCACACCAAAGAGGAATGGGGAAGTCACCAGATGAGGAGAAAACTTTCCCAACTATTTATTTATTTATTTAGAAAATTTCTATGCCGCCCCATTCGTCGAAGCCTCGGGGCAGCTCACAAACATAAATAACTTCAATTAAAATAATATAAATAACAGTATAAAATAAGTTGCCCTGGCCAAAGAATAAATAAATACTTTTAACAGTTAAAATGACATTTGAATAAAAAGGTCTTCGCCTGGCGCCTAAAAACAAATAACGATGGCGCCAGGCGGACCTCTCTGGGGAGCACATTCCATAGATTGGGCGCCACCGCAGAGAAAGCCCTCCTCCAAGTACTCACCCTCCTAATTTCCTTCATGGAGGGTTCCCGGAGAAGGGCTTCTCCCGCAGATCTCAGGGGGCAGGCGGGCATATATGGACGTAAGCGCTCCTTCAGGTAACCTGGACCCAAGCCATTTAGGGCTTTATAGGCCATCACCAACACCTTGAATTGGGCCCGGACTTCAGTGGGAAGCCAGTGAAGCTGACGGAGGACTGGAGTCATGTGAACATAACACCCAGTCCCCGTCAGCAGCCTGGCAGCTCTATTTTGAACCAATTGAAGTATCCGGACCGTCTTCAAGGGTAGCCCCACGTAGAGCGCATTACAGAAGTCAAGGCGAGAAGTCACCAACGCATGTGTCACTGTCACCAGGCAGTCATACTCCAGGTAGGGGCGCAGCTGATGGATCAGCCGAAGCTGAAAGAAAGCGCTCCTCGCCACCGCTGTCACCTGAGCTTCCAGTGAAAGCTCTGGGTCGAGGAGCACTCCCAAGCTGCGGACCTCGTCCCTAAGAGGGAGTGCAACCCCATTCAGGACTAGGTTCAATTCACCCTCACCGAAGCCCGATCCGCCAACCAACAGGACCTTTGTCTTGTCTGGATTGGGCTTCAGTTTATTGGCCCTCATCCAGCCCATTACCTCGGCCAGGCACCGGTTCAGCACAGCCACTGCCTCACCTGAATTGGTGGAAAACGAGAGGTAGAGCTGGGTATCATCAGCGTACTGATGATTCCGCAGCCCACACCTCCTGATGACCTCTCCCAGCGGTTTCATGTAGATGTTAAACAGCAAAGGGGACAAGATGGACCCCTGCGGTACTCCATGGCATAGCTGCTATGGTACAGAGCCATAGTCCCCCAGCACCACCTTCTGGAATCGGTCATTGAGATAGGAGCAGAACCACTGCAAAGCAGTGCCTCCGAACCCCCAATCCCCGTTGTGGCAATTAAGCATAAGGGCCCAATCTGCCCAATCAGCATCTTTTTTCCTAAACTGAAAGTATGCAAGACACATGTGAGAGAAACCAAACTGAGAAGAAGAATCAGATGCCACTTGAGATGGACTGATCTAGTTATTCATACAGCCTTACTGAACGTGGGACAGGGACATGAGTGTTTGGTTAAGTGCTGGAATTCCCTTATTTCTGCGCTCATGATAACAATGGCTTTTGTGCTGGCCTGAGCTGGGCAGGGCTGTTGGCACCTACCTGCCCTCCTAGAAAGGCCCACCTCTAACACCTGACTTGAATCCCTTTTCTGGTGGGTTAAGAAGTGCCAAGTGACTTGAACTCTCCATGTTATTGCCAACGGTAGTCCTGGGTAGAGCTTCAACAGAGACCCTAACAGGGCACTGTGGGACATTTTAAGCAGTGGTTCCAGGCCACCTGGCATATATAGGAGTGCCAATGCTTCCGCTGTTCTCCACAAGGAACATCCCTTGGGCTTCAAGGAACATCTGCTGGGCTTCATGGGAGGTCTGAGAGTTTGCTCAAACTTTAAGCTGGCTCTGAATATGAGTTTTAAGAATCAGAGTTCTTTTTTATATAAATGAGGACAATGATGTCACAATTTACTTGGAATAATTTTTCTTAATGCAGAAAATGGTCAAGGACTATATGAATGCCCAATGTGTCACCTTGTTTGCACTGATTACCCAGTTCTGCAGGAACATGTTGAATTGCACTTGGAGGAATGCAACTTTTTGGAAGGTAAAGGGGGAAGATTTCATTTAAAAAAATGTGACTTTTCTCTTTCTATTTGAAGTTAGAATTCAGGGAATGCTGGTCCAGCACAATAGTATGCGCTTATCCAAGTAATGAAAGGGTAATGAAATCCCATGACTGGATGTTCAAGTATTACATTAGCATGTTATTAAAATGGAAAATGTAGAAAAAGTAGAAAGTAAGTAAAAAAAATGCTGTGGAACAGACACCAGCTTCGTCTCATACTTCTTTTTTCTGGTGCTCGAGATATAACAGTAGTTTACATATTCAGGCTAGATAAATGATCAAAACTTTTTTCTTTGAAGTCAGTTAAAAATGCAATACAAGTTTCTTTTTAGGCAAAGCATAGTTACTTTTGCAAGTATAAATATAAGCCTACACCTATATAGTGCTTTCAAAGTGACTGACTGGCCTTCCATGAAGCAGAATAAATTATTTTTCTATGTCCAGTTTGAAAAATGGAAATATATTTTTGGAATTCAGTATCTTAAACATGTACTATATTACCATAATTTTGATACTGGAAATAAACAATTGGAAAGTTATTATAGGTGCCCAGATCCAGTTTCTAGTTTTTAGGGTACCATCTTGTATATCCCTAGAAGGATGGTCCACTATCCTAACTGGGTGGGGTTATTGAGTAATTTTGTTCAACTTTTGTTAACTTTAAAAAATAACAAAGGAAAGCATCAACAGTGGACATTGCCTCTCTCTTCCACTGGCAGAAATATTCTGTGAGGAGAATTCTGCTTAGAGGACACTCCCAGCAGTAGAGTCTTGGTTAGGGTCCAGGCTTATATAATTCTGGGCATATGCATGGCATGGAATTATGCAATAGAAAAGTAGATAATAAAAATGTTCTAAATTAACATGTTTAATCGGTCAAATAAACCATTCAATCATTGCTTAAAAATACATGAGGTACTTTTGAGAAGCATACTTTTAAGTCTGTCATTTGGATGACTTAAAATAACTTACTGAAACTTAGTTAAATCAAGCTTCCAGTTTATATCATATAGAGGTACTGTACATGGTTAATCTGGTAATCCTTTTTATAGTGTGTTTTATGTTTTAAATTGTTGTGAAGTGGCTATTGGGTGGTATAAAAAGATGTAATAAATAAATTGATACACTTTTCTGGGAGTAAGTACCACTGAGCGCAGTTTGCTTCTAAGTAAACATGCATAGGATTGTGCTACAAATTTATAACTACATACCGTGCTGAAATATGTTGAATCTGTTGTGATATTTAAACTATTAAATGTTCTCCAATATGACAGAGATCCTGTAATTTTTATGTGGCATATCAGTAGGAGGAAACTTGAGTGATCTAGAATTGGCACAACGTCTCCAGAATGAGGAAGATAAGCAAAGAGAAGAAGCAGCAAGGCAAGAGAGAGAAGATTTCCAAAAGCTGCAGGTAAAGTAGTAGTGATTAAATAACAATGTAGAATAGACATTTTTGCCTACTTTTGTGAGATTCAAGATAAATACAGATAGTATTCTAGGAACCTGCCATAAGTTTGTGCATTTATCCTTTTGATCGTTACCTGGCAGCAACGAAGTGAGCAGAAAGCCTATTCCATTAGTCAGGTTTTCCTTTCTAAGATATTGTAATGATACTGATGTAGTTTCTTCAGCATTGTACTTTCATTGTGGCTTAATATATCTGAAATGAATTTGTTTACAATAAGTAAACAAATATATCTGAAATGAATTTGTTTACAATAAGTCACCTCTACAGATTTGCTAGTGATTATTATTTAAATTTGAGGAAACTTAGCAAATGGTTGTTGTTTGAATGTAGTAACTTGTCAGCCTTTTCTCCTCAGGAACAATGTAAGATACTAAGTTTCTGCTTCACTCATACAAGGTCTGGAGCTTCTTGCTGTCTGACAGAAACTCTGCATGGATGCAGGCAGTCTGGGGATTTAGGCTCCTCAGTTGTTTGTGTATGACTAAGCAAGCTTTTATGGCATCCACTCAGTTCCTCTTCTCACCACGCCTACTCTGATGAATTAGTTGTTCCTTATTTCAATCCTCTTCCTATCTCAGTTTGGGACAGCACATAATTAATAATTTTTTGTTTTGTTTTATTATGTATATGTATTGCGCATTGTCCACAGAATTATTAAAGCAGTGGAAGTACCAAGCAATAACACAGTGAGTCATATCCAGTGGTTGTGTAAACATCATATGGCAGTTTGTGTAATCTGTCTTTTTCTTCTCGTCCCCCTGCATCCGACTGTACGAAAATCTCTATGCCCAGTACAGGGCCATTCCCTCCTCCCGCTGTAGCTTAGGTGACCCCAGCATGGTACCTGTGGATGCCTTGACACCCTGTAGCCATCTTCAATGACCCCTGTGAATGGGACCCAAATGTAGTACCTGCAGGCAGCCACACTACTTTAAAAAGTTGCCATTTTACTATATATACTTGGATTTGTATATATTCATAGCAATTAATCTGTATAAAATGTGTGCAGCTTCCTGACAATAATGCACATGTATCAGAAAAATCAGACCAAATGTCTGAATAACTGGCCTTTTGTGAGTGGTACCACTCATTCAAACATTGAAAGCTCCTCAGTCCACTGTATTTCAGGAAGTATGTATTTATCCTTCCAGTTTGTAATACCAGTCTGATTGTTTTAATGAAGCAGGTAAATAGCATGTACATCACTGAATATTAAGAATTCTTCCAATATTATGTAACTCTATAATAACCTCTAAAACAAGAGGCAGCTCTGGCATTTTATTTGTATGTATGTATGTATTTCATTTTACTTCTATGCCACTCCTTAATCCAAGGGTTCTTTGGGTGGCTTATGGATGCTACACCAGCACCTTAGTATCAAAATAGAACCAAATAAATTAGAACAAATTAAGTAGATGATTTCAACAAAATACAATTTAACCAAATGCTTGCTGGAACAAAAAAGTTTCTACCTGGTGCCTGAAAGAAAGCAAGGTCAGCGCCAGCCGTATGTCCCTACAGACAAGCTCTACAGAGAATGCCCCGCTCCTAGCCCTTTCCCCCTTGATCTCACTGTGTGTGTGTGTGGGTGGGGGGTATTCGGAGGAGGACTTCAGAGGAAGATCTGAGTAGGTGGGTAGGCATATATGGAAAAAGGTGTTCCCTCAGGTACTCTGGTCCCAAGCCATATAGGGTTTTATATGTCAAAGACAACACTTTGAATTAGGCCTGGACTGGAACAGGAAGCCAGTGCAGCTGATGAAGGACTGTCTACTTTCTTGACAGTCAGTCTTCATAAGCAGCTGCACCACCCTGTTCTAGATTAATTGTAATGTCTGCACTGTCTTCAAAAGTAGTCCCATGTAGAGTGCATTACAGTAATCCAGGCAGTGTGTGGATAACTGTGGTGAGGCTCCACTCATCCCAGTAGAACTTAGCTGAGAAATCAGCCAAAGCTGAAGAAAGGTGTTCCAGCTACAAAGCCCACCTGGGAGACCAGGGAGAGCTCAGGGTCCAGGAGTACCTTATCCTTTAGGGGGGGAGTAACCCCCCCTTCCAGGGTGGATTGAAAATTTCCCAGTTGGAGTGTGGGAGAGCCCACCAACATTGCCTCCCTCTTGTCTGGATTCAGCTTGGTTTATTGGTCTTCATCCAGCCCATTACCAGTCTCAGGCACTGGTGTAGGACAGCCACCACCTCACCTGGATCAGATGAAAAGGCGAGGTAGAGCTGGGTGTCATCAACATACTGGTAACACCTCAGCCCTCACCTCCGGATGCCATTGTCAACAGCATATGTTTAAAAGAAGCTTAGCTACATTGCACCACCATTAGTTAGCTAGATTAGACAACCCTTGATTAAAGAGATGTTGTAGTGTGCAATAGGCATAAAACTAAAATTTGCTGAATAAGATGCAACCCAAGATCTGTAGATAAAACAGGTAAACACAGTGATACACTGATTTGATGTTTTGTGATGGTATCCACAGCAGTTTCTCGAATTCCCAAATGTGCCTATAGGGTCCAAATATTTGGAGACTCTGCTATAGGCACCCATCCAGCTATCTGGAAAGAGTTTTGAGGAAGCCACTCTGGGGAGAAGGAAGAGAGAAAGACTGTAGGAGCCATCTTTCACTCAGGCAACCATTAGACACAGCCCAATATATTAAACTGTGTTTTGATTGGCTTAGTTACCCTTGCTAGCAAATTGTTCCACTGTTAAATTTCTTGGAGTTGGTTGGTTGCTTGGTTTTTTACTGAAGTCCTTGGCTGCTTCAAACAATAACTTCTCTCAGCTTGGGAGCAGATCACAATTGTAATGAGAAGGTAGGCTGGGCTGTGTTCCAAACTTCCCAGATGTATATAGTTTTCTAGAACAAAGATTATATTTAACCCTTCTACAGAGAGCTTACAGTTCCTTCACCCAATGGTCATGGTTCTTTTGTAGTATCTCCCAGATAAACCCTTTCTGAGTGTGGTCTGCATACAATAGCAGTGCTGCTGCTTCTACAAGCGATTACTTGTGCTTGTTCCCTCTGAACTGTATCACTTATTCTTAACAGAGACAATATGGCTTGGATGGTTCTGGGGGATACAAACAGCAGACTTTGAAGAACATGGAAAAGGAAGTGGCTTTTGGCAAAATGCAACCATCTGAATATCACAAGAGAAAAGCTGATATGATGGAATCTTTGGCTTTTGGCATTGATGATGGCACAACAAGGACTTCAGGTCAGTATTGAAGACATTGGGAGCTTCCTGAAAGGCCTAACTGAAGTGACCAAAAAGTATTGTTGATCCAACCACCACTCATTTATGTGTGGTGTTAGGTAATGTTGCAGATGATAAAGGATTATACATTCTTTTCCCTGTCAGCAGATAAATAGGAATATGGGCCTTGTGAAGTGATCTGGGCAGGGTTTCTAAAAGCTATGTTATCGGTGCCAATGTAGATTGAATTTTGTAATACCAGATTGGGACACAGATGATTATTAACTTTAAGCAAGACACATCTAGACATTTACCACAGCTTTGAGTTGCTGTACCAAACTTAAGAATCTTAATTTGAATCTACATTTTAGATTATTTACGACCTGTCATTAAAGGTGGGAAGTTAGCAGACTGCAAGGTACATAGTAACTGAAGTCACATTACTGCTCTTTGGTGTTTATGACAGACTCACTGTCTACTTTGTGGATTAGTATTTTTACTTAGCTTCCTTCTTAATTTCTGGCAGATGCTGTCTTCTATTTGAGGGCACAGTATTACAGTCTTTCCTCTTATAATTTGACTGTTTTATAAAGCTTATATACTGTTTGCCTAGCTGAATAAACTCTGGATAACTCTGAAGCATGAAATGGCACTTTGTTGTGTCATCCCTTCAAACTTTGCTACTTGCTATTATCTTGTGTTTTTATATATATATATATATATATATATATATATATATATATATATATGAAGTGTATAGGACATTACCTAATTAACTATTGGCTTCAAGATTTATTTCTTGTAACTATTTTTAACACACTCATTTGGGTGTGCATGGAAACTTTAAAAGGCAAACACTTTCCCTCTTTAATTTATTTTAATGCAACTTTAAAATCTAACTATGAATTTAGCTTCAGAATGTAGGGGTCCTATTAAATTAATTAAATTAAAGGTGATTCTGTGTCATTTATTTAGAACTTTAATTACAAATTCCTGTCTTCCAGGTGCCTATGTTAACTGTTAACTATGCTACCATGTTTGCTCCTTGCCTTCTTTTGGGGAGGTCTGGGCCAGCATCCTCATTAGAATTTTCTTTCAAACCAGTTACAGCTTGTAAAGTGTATCTCAGCTGTTGAACTGTTGTCACTAACTAGCCTTGTATTTCTTTCTCTTTGCCTTTTATTTAACATTAGGAATTACTGAAGCCCTGTGCCTATATTATCAAAATGAGTGTAAAGACATAAAGCATGTATGGCTTTCTATGGGAACAGATCACTTCCATTGTTCTTTTGGAGATAAAGGCTGGGGTTGTGGTTATAGGAACTTTCAAATGATGTTCTCTTCTCTCTTGAGAAACAGCACCTATAAAGACACCCTGAAAGGTATGTAGTCAGGCACAGAATTCTATTGCTGGGACCATGTCTTCATAATGTGGATTAAAATTCAAATAGGTGCATAGTGTGCAAGACTTTTTCATAGAGTAGAAGATGATGTTGAGTTTAACAGACCATCATTGTTTAAAATTCATATGAATTTGATGGACAGATTTTAAGGTAACAGCTGAACTGTGATGTAGTCATTATCACTGCTTCAAGCGTTTGCTTCAAAATCACTGTGAACACAATGGTGCTACCTTCTGTTGAGGTGGCAAATGTGTGTCCCTCCCATGTCTCACTCGTGATAGGATGCTCCCCAACAGAAAAAGGTGTCTATGTATAGGAGACTAGCATGTTGCCGGGGAAAGTGAACCATAGTCTCTTTTTCCACAACCTTGTTTTCAGCATTTTGGAAATGTATTTGTATGGAGGAGCAATCAGTTGTGAGTCTCTGTAGGTTTGCCACCTCAATAAGAACTTGGTCTGAATTGTAATAGTGGTACATCTAATCCCATCTGATTAGCAACAACTGTCCAGTTGCATTAATCTAGTACTACAAGTCACTGTTATTGCCCCTGCAATGGGGTGGGGAGAATAGTGGCTTTTTAGTGGGACCATGGCTCATTTAAGAATTGATCCAGGTATTTAACTGGTCCATACTCTCTATCACTAAGAGATTCCAGAAGCTGTCAAGGTTATTCTGGTTATGTATACTTGGAAATATAAGTACAGCTTCTCATTTGTTTGAAGCTGCAGTCTGAACCCCAATACCTGGCAGCAAGTTTCATGACACTTAGTGGGATGTATTTCTGAGTAGCCATGCATTGGATTCCACTGTGAATTCAGCATTCTTCAGTATTTCTGGGATGGGCGGTCTTCCTGCTCCTGGAAAGTGCCGCTTGTAGGTTGACAAGAAATTCTTCCAGCCTGAACAGTATGCAAGTAGGAGCATTCCCTCAGCTTAGTCTAACTAAGCAAAAAGTGGGCTTCTGGCTTGGCCTGTGTCCAAAGTTTGTGACACCATTTATATTTTGCTTCAGCAGCTTGCACATTCTGTGGGGGAGAGGTACCCTTTGGGCAGGGACTTGGACTGAACTTGATTTGTAGCCTGACCTCAAAGCCTGGAGAGCATGTCTGAAGAATGAGACAGGCCTCCTTTTCTGACACAGCTTCCCCTGTTTGTTCCTCTCCCCCTCCCATGAAGAATGGAGAAAAGGCCAGTGTGGAAGCAAAAGGCTTCTGCTGTACATCAAACCTCACCTCTTCACCTTTTGGCTGGAAATGGGGCATCTACTTAGACACAGCCAATTTGCATGTCCCTCGGTCATAATCCATGACACCCCACAGTGCCTTACACAGGCATATGCCCATCTGAGTGTTGCAGAGGAGGGAAGCACTGTGCTGAATCACAGGTAGCACTCCACCTGACTTGCAGTTTCATAAGTTACATGCAACAGCAGCAACTGCCTTTATTTGATCTGTGAGTAGAGCAAACTGCTTCTAATGGCTATGCCTTGACTAATTTCTCTAAAGCCAGTTGTAATGCAAGAATTTAGGTATTTGTCCCTAACAGTAGAAGATTGGCTTAGTATTCTGGCAATTGCTGGACTTCAGGGGCAAGGTGCTTCAAGGGAAATCAACTGTCAGGTTTATGGGTTCCATAAGTAAGCTATACCCTATCTTTTGAGAAACTTCTGGATTAATCCTTTTATGAGAGATTAGTCACTGCAGAGCATTTCATCCTGGGGTGACAGTGGTGGTGCCAGGATTCAGATTTGGTGGCAGCTGTTGATCCTTCAAAAGTGGTCTGCACAATGTTTCAAATAGGGTTGTCAGCTACCACTTTTCAGCCCTGAGGATCTTTCTGACCATTCTTGTAGAGTTTATGGCACCCCTCAGCCTGCAAGAGCCGGTGTTTCCTTTCCCAAAGAATATCCTCAAGTCTTGTCAGGCTGAGTCTAGATGCTGAGGACAAACCTTTGTTGGCAACCCCATCTGTCACCCAAATGGACATACCGCCCAAAGTAAAGGTTGCCCCGCTCTGGCATCCCTGAAATCAGGCATATACAGTAAGGTCAAATATTCTTTCTCAAATCTTCCCCTTGAATTTTGCCATCTGTCTTTCAAATGAACATTTTATACTAAGATGTTGGATTTTTTTCCTGATAGCTTTTGCTTTTGATATGTCATTTTTAGATAATTCATCAATTCCTTGTATTCCAAAAATTCAGTCATTAATTGAAGAAGCCTGGAAAGAAGGTTTTGATCCCCAGGGAGCTTCTCATTTCAGCAGCAGATTACAGGGTACTAAGGCATGGATTGGAGCATGTGAAATTTATTCACTCTTAACTTCTCTCAGGATAAAGTAAGTGTTGCCGGTCAAAGGAAATGAACCTAGCTTTGAGCTAATACTAACTCATGACTCCAGTTCTGTGGATGATTTTATGTGTGCTTCTGCGGACATCCCAGCTACAGGCACAAGGCAGCAGAGCCAGCTCATACTGCCTGCCACTACCAGGAGCCTCCCCGCTTTTACCGCTAAATGGACACAGTCTAGGCTTTGGTGAAAACAGGGTAAGAGATGTATTAGGGATTCAGGAAAACATGCAGAATGGGAAAAGGATTGGTCAGATTCAGAACAGAAAGCACTGTTTATGATTTAAAGTGGCAGCTCAGTGGCATATGACAAATAAGATAGAAAATCCACTAGCGCAGCCCCGTGCTAACCTGCCTGCATGGTTTTTTGAAGACCCATTGTCTCTGTGGTGGCGTCTCCACCTTTGGGAAACCCTCACCCTAGCACCTGTTCCAGCAAAAAACCTTTATGCATTCTCCTCTGGTGCCTACATCAAGCTCTCCTACTTCCTGGACAAGTTGCTCTTAATACCAATAGCAAGAGAGAAAGACCCCTAACTCCCTTTCCCAGTGCAGTATGTCACCTTAGGTCCCTGCTTGCTGTGCCTTGGTGGAGACTCTGGAAGGAACTTTCCTTTTTGGGGGGCAGGGAGGGGGGGCAGTCTCTGCTGACTGTCCAACAATTCCTCATCCCCAGCTCTGAGATGGAATCTAGAAGCTTCCCCATTGTTGAGGCACCTGGACAGTATTAGTCAGTAGGTTTGCTAAGTGGAGGTGCTTGGCATTGAGGTGATCTCAGCCAGGACCAATGCACTGCTGTGCCAGAATCCAGGTGCTTTGGCCTTTAGTTTAACAGAAAGCTGCAACAAATTGCAGGAATTCTTAATATTTCTGCTTCAGTTCTTGCATTAGGGGATGCTAACTTCATGTAATAAGAGAAATATTTTTGTAACCACACACTAACAAATTTTGTGGTATAGTAACATCTAATGGCCAATAAACTAGTTAAACATGCCAGGTGGCATCTTTTGTTTAAGATTATAGGGGCTTAGTTTAAACTCTCTTACAGGTGTCAAATCATTGACTTTCATCAGCCAACTGGCCCTTCAGGAACCCACCCTCGCTTGTTTGAGTGGATACTGAACTATTATTCTTCAGACAAGGAAAACAATGCTAAAGTTAATTGTACCTCCAAGCCACCAGTCTACCTGCAGCACCAAGGTCAGTACAGCCTTGTATTTTCTTGCTCTTTTATAATACATTCCTAATAAAATCTGCATGCATGTTCTTATTCATCTTTTTTCTCCACTATGTCCTAAAAATCATATTTCATCTTGGTATAAGATAGGAATTTCTAATTCTCAGATCTGGTTTTAGATCTCATTGCTTTGATACCTGTGATTTTCAAAAGAGCTGTCACATCAGCTTCCATACTTGAGTAGGAGCTAGCGTATATGTGGTTTGAGCTGTAGTAAACTGAAATTCCCTGTGGCCACTCCAGGAGTTCTGACCTGCTGAAACAAACCTGATCTGTCCTGATGTTTCATCTCTGAACAGAACCAGTAAGCCATTTTGCTTTAGGCGTGGTTGATACCCTGGATTTCTGCCATGCTTGTGCTTTGCCTATAGGCTCTTTGGGGTGGAGGTTGTAAAAGAATGTTCTTCTTAACACTGCTCCTATAATAACAGCCAATTACTTGTTTGTGTTTTCCTCAATAAGTCCATGTTCTGCTTTGCTTCTATATGTTCTTGTATATTATGCATTGCCCTGAGAACTGTAGGATACTTTTAGGCAAGATAAATTTTGCAAAAGCTTTACATGTTTTTGCTCCTCCATTTTGAGTGGGAAGTGATGAGAGGGGATTTATGCAAACTTGATGTGAAGAGGGTAATACATAATCCTTTCTCTGCTACGAAATGTTGTAGGCCAAAACTAGTACAGAGAGAGAAGTAGGCAGGGAGGAACTGCTGGAGGAGCTGCCTGAAGATGTTCTGAGCTCAATGTGGATCCTGAAATAATATTACAGGTCAATGTAGGTTATAAGGATTTGTAAATCAACATTCCACTGCTTGTCTGTCAGCTTTACCTAGAAGCGTAAGTTCAGTGTCAAGCTGAGCAAGATTTCTTCATGCCTGATCCCAGTCTTTCTGTGGTAGCACCCCATATATGAAACTGCCTGGTTCAAGAGCATAACCTCTTGTCCATGTTCCAGTAATGTCTGAAGTAGAGTTGGGGCAATTCCTATTGGAATCCTTCAATTTTGGTTCTTATGCTGTTTTAATTTGACCCAGTTTGCAAAATCAGAGTGGTTAATAAGCCACAGTGGGTGGGTTCACATGTCATGACAAGCAAGTTTGGATGATTACCACAGTCTGTGTTTTTATTAACTAGTCAACAGACAATCAAGTGGTTTCTTGGTTATCATGGCTTCCTTCCTCCCTTTCCTGCTGTTGGCACATTTCCCATCAGCCATCACACCTGTAATTCAATCCCAAAATGCATAGCTCCTATGCTACCTGGATCTTCCTGCTTGGTCCCCAAAGTTCCCAGGATATATCCCCTGTCCTCTGCCCTCCTTCCCACCAGCCCCATGTCTTCATCCAACTATATCTTTTAACAATTTTTTACCCATAGAAACCACCTTTTTTCCTACTGTAATTTACTCCAAGTGTCTTTTCTCGCACACCTTGCTATCCTCTCCCCTTCCCTCCCTCACTGAAGACCTACTAAGGCTCAACTTTGTGCAGGAACCAGCAACGCACCAATCAGGTGTGTGTCTCCCCCCACACCACTGCCATGTTTCTGTTACCATAGAGAACATGTGGTGGGGCTTTACTTTTCCCTCCTTCTCCTCAACCTTGTAGCCATCTCGCCAGTGCTGTAGCCAGCCATCTCTTCTTTCCTGTGCCGTCACCTGACACATTGTCTTCACCCACCTTAATGATCAGACAGAGGCTTGTCTTTCTGTCAGCTCCACATCACCCCATGCCTTCAGTCATCCCATGCACTCCCTCATATTATTGCCTCTGTTTCAGAATGTTTTAGGAAGCACTCATTCTCAGAGACAATATCCTCTAGAATTCATCCATGCTGGTTCAAATTCACTTGCCTGCCTGTCTGCCTTCCTCTTGTTCTTTCTCTCAGCTAGGTCTCAGGCACCAAAAATGCCCTGGCTTCCCATTATTTCTCCCCCATTTCTTTCTGGTCTTGTTGAAATGGAAATCATTCCCCCACTCCTCCTTGCTAGTTTGTGTGTCTTCTCCATCAATTTCATGTCCCTCATCCTGCAGCACCCAAATCCTACATTCCAGTTACTCTTACTTTTCTGCTGATGTGTCCCATTGGATGAGCTTGAAGTCCAGTCTCCTTTCCCATCCCTTCCCAAGAAGTACATCTGCCAAACAGCTGTATGTTGGAACCCCTTCTCATTCTTATTCTACACTGTTATGGGATCATTTCAACAATCCCCATTGAAATACACTGTAGTTTTTAATGTGGACAAATCTTACTAACCCCAAACTAAATCCTTTTAATAAGAAACATTCATCTATAATAAGACATTTTTTTATTTCACAGCATAAGAATGTTTGCTTTCTTAAAGATTCTTCACATGGAAACTACAGGTTATCTCAAGATTAAGCATTAAAATCTGCGGGTGTGTAAACTTTGATGCCCAGAAGCTGTGCCCATAATTTGTTTCTCCACCCTCAGTTATAGTATTTCCCCCCATGCTAGCATGTATCCAAATACTTAAGAATGAAAATACAAGGCATGACAACTCAGACTGGCATCTGTGAAAACTGCAGGAGGCAGCTAGCAGTGCAGAGACCAGTAAATTCCAAGGTTACTCTTTTGGGCAATACAGCACAATTCTTTGCAGCTAAAAAACAGGTAGAAATGTGGACAGAAACAGAAGATCGAGGGGCATGGGAAGAACAGCATGCAGGAGCAAAGTGAGCAATAACTCGTTTGTTACTGTACTGACAAGGGTAGTAGAGGTTGGATGGCTGGAGAGGCTCTTAAGAGTGGCTGCTATTTCCATGGAACACTTGGGGAATTTATATACCATGACCATCAAAACCACGATTCTGTGTTTGGACATTGGTGTGGCATTTTCATTAACTATAATATTTCTGGTCTGTTTTTGGTAAGCATTTTGAGAATCATGGCGAAGAAATTGCCAGACTGAAATTGCATTATAAATGTATCTCTAAAGAATACAAGTGTTTGTTTACATACTTATATTGCAATTCTGCATGATAAATGTGACCAATATATTTAAATGAGATGCAGTTGTGTACAGTGGCGTAGGATTTCATGAAGCAGTTTGTATTGCATATGCATCAAGCAGAAAAATACTTCCTTAAACATAATTTCTGATTGTTTTTGGGTATGCCTAAAATTAGGACATAGCCGTACTATTATTGGAATAGAAGAGAGGAAGAACAGGTCGATGTGCCTACTGATACTTGATCCAGGCTGCCCCACACAAGACATGCAAAAGCTCTTAAAAGGGATCGATGGGAACAATCTCAGGCTGCTTCGAAGATTTATAGGCAGCTTAAAACATAAACAGTATCAAATAGTGGCCATAGATGGTGTGCTGTCCATGGAGGAAAAAGCTGTAAGTATTTCAGGAGAGTTCATCTGATTAAGTATTTTATCAGGCTAGTATGATGTAAATAAAAATAATAATGCTGCATCCTAATTCTGAACCATTCCTCTTGTGTTTCTAAGGCTCGTAGGCAGGCTTCTCAGCTCTTTACGGCTCAAAGGATTCCTTGAAATAAGGAATCCTGAAGAATACCAGAAGCATCCCATGCAGTGTTTTCTGGCTGATGTGTTCATGCAGACTCTTGAATGATGTACATATCTTTTTAAGCATTTCTGAATAAATGTTGGAAAAATTGGAAGTGTATGTGATTTCTCTGTGGCTCCATATTATGAAAAGGCACATCATATTCTAAATCGCATCATTACAGCAGAGCTTACTTGAAAAGTTATGCTACATGAAAACTATAGTACTGAACTGATCTCTGCTGCTTTCAGTGTTTCAGAAAAACACTGTTTACGCTAAAAGGGTTGGTGATCACTAATGGAACAATCTGATACTAGTTATTAGCCAATAGGTGTCTGCACCACTTGAGCAACATAGGAAAAGGTTTTGTCTGCTGTATCAGTTCTGTGAAGGCTTGATGCTAATGAGGGGAACAGCAAAACAGTCAGGGTATGAATTTGACTACTGTGTCTGAGAACTGTTAGATTATTAGAAAACTTACGCAGAAGTACTCTCGGGGAAATTACTTGATGGACGCTACTTGTGTTTTAGTTTGAAATGGTCAGCTGGGCTGTATACACCAGCTAAGGAGTACAACTTAAATATTGCATACATAGGATGCCAGAATGGCTCACCTTACCTGTAATGATGGAGTGTTGCATGCTGGAGAGTTTGAAGTAAGTGTGGTAGTATTTCCAGACTACTGCTTAAGCTTTGTTTCTGTGTAGTTTAAGGTAAAAAAAACCCCTCAGGAATATGTCTATTGCTTTGTTCAGCTGTAATAAAAACCTACTTAAAGGGATTCAGTACTTAATAATACTTCAATACAATAAGTAATACTTTCTCAAAATGGTCTGTGTGTTACACATCTGCACCTTTCTGATGACATTACTTGAAGCATTTTTCAAACCCGGGCCTCTTGTTTAAATAACAGTTACTATATACACTAAATTTACTGTTTGAACTCCACAGAAATGTCCTGTTTTGTGGCTCAGCCTCTCTATCTTGCCATCTCTTCAAGGTTTCAGCAGTGACTTGGCAATGCTTCAAGACTCAGAGCTGGGCCAAGTTTCTTCCCTCCCACACCAACTCTTTGTCTCATTGTCTTAAGACACCTACAGATAAACTTCCAAAGGGCTGCTGAAACTAGACCTGTGCATTACACAAGAACTCGTTATACTGCTTGCTAGCTATCATCATATCACTGTCACATTGATTTGTAATGCTGGACCTTGGAGTGTATTTGGCAAGACTTCTTTTCAGGGTGTGTAAGGCATTGTGGGGGAACTGCACATGGAGCAGTGGTTTAAACGGCTGTGCTGCTGGGCTGGTTGATCAAAAGGTTGCCAATTCGAATCTGCACAATGGAGTGAGTTCCCGTTGCTCCGTCCCAGCTCCTGCCAACTTTGTAGTTCGAAAGCATGCAAATGCAAGTAGATAAAAAGGTACCACTTTGGTGGGCAGGTAACAGCGTTCCATGCACTTTGGTGTTTAGTCACGCTGGCCACATGACCACGGAGACTGTCTGCAGACAAATGCTGGCTCCCTCGGCTAGGAAACGGTGGAGTCAGGCATGACCGGACGTAACGTCAAGGGGAAACCTTTACCTTTTTTAAGGCATTGTGGAGTACCTTCCAACTACATCAAAGGTCGCTGTACTGTACATCTTGTACAGTAGGCAATGGGAAGAGTTTTGTGTCAGCCTTCTTTTTGAGAAAAATTTGGTGGGAGTGGTAGCTGTCTTCCAAACACCTCTTGCACATAGTCATTTGCTTCATTCATGATAGCCTGGAATGATAGCCTAACATCCCTGCCCAGACTGGCTAAGCAAGAGGGGGCCAGAAAGGAGGTACAATAGCTCTGTTTATCAATTCTCTAGTATGGCTTGAAAGCAACCTCACATGCAGTTGTATGTAGTCTAATTGTCTTAACTAGTAGCACCACATCACAAAGATCTTAAAGTCAAAAGATACCATGAACTATCTCAACAAAAAGAGAAAACCCAAGCAGCTGTGTTTTATCTGCCAGCTAATGAAGACCATGCAGTGTTCAGAAGTAGCTCAGATACTAGATTAGGTGGTGCTGGCTTGCAAATGCATCAGGAGCCCTAAGAGGGGCAAAAGCAGCTAGGGGGAAGAAGAAAAGTAGGCAGGAAAGGGGTTTAGCATCCCTTCCCTGTTCGCAAAATCACCTTTCCATGACCTTTGGGAGTTATACATGCAATGTGAGATTTATTACTGCCTGCCTCTAAACCCAAGTGAAAGTTCCACTCCTGGGGAGGTTTACCCAACCAATTCACCTCCCTGTCTTCATTTTTAGTATTTGCTTATCTCTGCACTTTTTATCACTAGTATTTTATCACTTCCACTGTCACTTTGACCTGAACTGATTTGCTGAGACAGAAAAAAATGGTCTTTAACCTGCTTACAAAATCACTTTAAGAAATTCAAGAGCTGTCCTGTGTTGGATGGCTGAAGGGTATAGATGCTAATGACCTTTGTCTGTTGCAAGGCTTCTCTCTCAAAAAGCTTAGATTTGTCTTCCAAGTAAGTTTATTTTTCACACACTTTTAAAATGGAGCTCAAAAGCTATTGAGGTAATTGGCTTTTCAATCCACACATGTATTACAGCAGAACAATACCTATTAAATATGGTTATATAACCTCCAGCAGTATGTCTCTGTTCCAGTTTCTGACTAATACAAGTGGGGGGATGAAATTTCATCCATGTCCTATTTGTGACATCTCACTGGGGCATCTTCTTGGCTATTAGGTGAACAATGCTGAATAAATTGGACTTTTGCCCTAATTTAGCAGAGCTCTTACGTATTTAGACCATATGATGTAAAACATCAAGTGACCGCCGAGAAAGCATTGTTGACCAAGATGTCCAAGCGGCCACCTGTGTTTTTCTACAGACCAGAAATCCACTTCCCTTGTTGCTCTGGCCTGATATTCTAGCATTTGAAAAATGCTTCTTGACAAACATGCAGTGATACCAACTGGCCCTGGCCAGGCATTTTAAAATAAAATAGTGTTCATCAAAGACAAGAAACAGGCAAAATCTTTCCAGGTACTAGAAATCCTGTCAAAGCAAATATTTAATAGTTGAGTAATTCCAACTGGTGGTCACATCTGAAATACATGATATGCCCTAGGATTTGAGCTAACAATTGAACAAAGGAAACTTGAAGAAGCTACTGCACAAAGAGGATCTATTGCTGAAGCGAATCATCCTTGCAATAAACCTTTACTTTCAGAAGAACAAATCCAAAACATTTCTGCTTTCAAACTTGGAATCTCCTTCACAGCACTTGTGTGTGTGTGTGTGTGTGTGTGTGTGTTTGTAAGCTAATCTACCAAGCAGGAAAATGGCAAAATAGAATTTTGAATGATCAGAAAATTTCAGTATAACATCAACAGAATTTGGTATGTCAATATCACTCTTTTTTTGTTGATTTAAAAATAATAGGCTGAATGGGCGGGTACACTGTAAACTTACTGGAATACAGAGCAAGAGCCCACTTAGGCAATGTGATAAATCGAGGAATGAGACGGAAGAGGCCAGATAGTTTAGGCATCAGTTCTGTGAGGACTTCCCGGACTGAAATATAGTTGAAGACATCTCTCCCATCCACATCCTTGAACTGGTAAAGGCGGGCAAGATCTGGAGAGAGCAGAACCTTACCACTGTGGCGCATGACACGTGGGTCAGAGGCCAGCCCAACCACACACTTTCCGCTCACTTCAGGGGTCTCTCCCATGACGGCCAATTTCTCCTTTAGCTTCTTGAAAACTGGCGTGGATTTCTTCTCCGCTGCTTCTTGCAAGTTTTCAGTCCGAACCAGGCCTGGCCACAGGGCCACACAGGCCACCCCGAAGAAGCGCAGCTCAGCAGCGCAGTCTGCGGCCATGCGATCACAGGCAGCCTTGCCCACTCCGTATGGGACGTCGAACATATACCGCATCCCCCCAGGCGAGGAGATGATGACAATGAGCCCTTGCCCGGCGGGCACCATGAGCCGGGCAGCGTAGACGGTGCAGATGTAGTGGCCTCTCAGGCCTGCATTGTTGACCTCGTCCCACAGCGCAGTGGAGCTCTCCCAGAAGGGCAAGCCCATCTCTTCGGTGAGAGCGCCCACCGCCGAGAAAGCGTTGTTGACCAAGACGTCCAAGCGGCCGCCCTGCTCCTTGCGGACGCGCTCGAACAGCGCCGCCACTTCTTCTTCCCGGGAAGAGTCGCACACCACCGGCACGCATTTCCCGCCGCGGCCTTGCACCTCGGCCGCCGCTCGCTCCAGAGGCTCCCGACGCCGGGCGGTAATGTACACGGTGGCGCCTGCCTCCGACAGCTGCAGTGCGATGCCCTTCCCGATGCCCCGCGAGGCGCCGGTCACCATGCACACGCGCCCGGACAGCGGCCTGGTTAAACCCGCCATTGCAGCCGCGACGGAAGAGAAGCAAAGGCAAGGAAGGCGCCTGACAAGCCTGGAGACAGAAATCGGGGAGGAGCGGCGGATGCCGAGGGAGGTGCAGTCCTGACCACGGCTGTGGGTGCACCTCGCTGAAACGCCGTACACTTTCCCGGCGGAGGCTGACGTTACGTCTCGATGGTCGGCGCAGCCTGAGCTTCTAGCGTTTGGGGCGTGTCAGCGCCTCGCTGCTTTAACGGAGAGGAGAGCTCAGTAGCTCAAGCCTGTCCCGAGGGGAAGCACGCGCTTACAGCGCTGGCTCACCCGATCCTTTTCCGCATTTCGCGGACTCAGGCGCCCCGCTTCAACCGGCCGTTCTGCCCCAATAAAAGCTGCGCTGCAGGCTGGGATCCGACGGACTGAGCTTGCATTTAGCTCCGTCGTGGAGATTGTTTCTGCTGAAATTCATTTGTGGGCTGTTGCAACAAAGACAACGAAGAATTTTGTGCCACCTTGAGGATGAAGACGTTTATTCTGGCAGAAACTTTAGTCGGCCCTGTGCAGTTCATCAGATGTTTCTGTAATCCAAAGTTTTACTCTCTTTCCATGCTGGCTCCATTATACACGAATCTATGAATGAATTATGTCACCAATCTATGAATAGCCGAAATAGGACCTGAGTAACAGAACTTTGTAAATAATTTTATATGAGTATCTTTGCTCCATTAGTTTAAATGCACATGCACACATTTATGGGGCATATTCCAGTACAGCAAATGCTCCAAGTTCTCATGAAAGTCCCCCACACCCGAACATACATGCACACACATGAGCGATCATTAGCAACTTCAATCAATCTGCTATGGCTGTCATGAAACGTGGTTGGAGGTTCACTGTTTGATCCATACACTTTCATTGTAGCAATGACTTTATCACTGTATTCCCTCACTGAAATGAAAAAGCAACTGCAAGATCAGTTTTCAACAGCTGATAACTGAACTGGGCTAGCTAGCAGCACCAAATACCCGCTTATTGCTAATTGAACCTAACCCACCCTTGCGCACGGCACACCTACTTGCTAACTACTTTATCTGAAAGGTGCAGGGTATACCCCGACCCTCTCAGAGTCGCGTAAGCATGACCATGCGAAACAAAATAAAACAGGAACAAGGTGGTGATGGCTATGCACAAGAAGCACAAGCGCAAGGTCAGGCAGGGAAGATAACATGACTAAGAGGCCTGGCAACATGACTGGCAAGACCCAGATACCAGCACAATTAGGCGTGGTCAGCAGAAACTGTGGCAAGAGGCGTGTGGCAAGAAAAATACGTTAGTATTTTTCCAGAGATAAAGAAATGCTATAAAAAGGCTTGTAATACCATACATAGGCACCGCACTTTACTAATGTGTTGGTCCCTGCACAGGTAAATAAAGGACCCTCCAACTCTCCAGGTTGGTGTCCAGTGGTCTCATTCCGGCGCGATACAACAATAACATTCTGTTATGCTGATCTTGAGCCAGGTGGGTCGAGCCTAACACCAGTTTTCAAACATTGCTTATTATTAAATGCTACAACCTATTGATCTACATTTCTGATTTTCTGTGCTTGAACTCTGTGACCTTGCTGAGGCCGCAACCTGAAGTGCTTACAGAAGTTCAAAATTTTTGTGTGTATAAATGTAACACTAGTGTAACAGAAATTGTACAGAACCATTGTTCTTAGTTGTGATGATAATGCTCTGCTAGCCTGTGAACCAGGGCATGCAGTGAGAAAAGGTGGGATCAGTGTACAGATGGGGATAGGCCAAAATGGCCAATGTCTGAGTTTGCCTTTAAAGGAATTAAAAGCATTTGTGTAATGGCTGATGCTGGTTTCTTATGATGGAGGAGTGGGCCGCTATGTACTATGCGTAAGCTTCAATAAAAAACTTACCCCCCCCCCAAAAAAAACCCTTGTTGGTGGTTTGTTATCTCTCGCAGTAGGACAAATGAACCTTTAGCCAGTTGGGGTTAGAGTCCCTGAGACTATCTATCATTATTGCAGTGCATGTCAATCCAAAGATTTCAAAACAATTCAAGTTAATATGTAATGCATTAAACTATGTCAAGCATTTAAGGTTTATGAACAATTTAAAATGGCATACAAAACAAACATCAAATAAGGGCACAATTTTAAGGCCCTCCAACATTGCCTGGAGGGGAAAAAAAACCTTGGGAAAGTCCACTCATTTTATAAGGAAGTCTACTGAGGGAAAGAGCCCGATAGACCATCGATCACTGAGCCTTTCTTGCTTCTGAAGTGAGTTTGTGCATACAGTGGAGAGAGATGAATGGGGCTCCATTCAAGCCTCAGTGATACCTGCCAGGTCACCTCCTCCATCCAGAATTTAGATATGGAAAAGTCAAGCTCTGTAACATTTCTGACCCGGGGTCCTTAGCTCACAGCAACAGGGTGCCTGATAGCATGTAGCATGACACCTTTCCTTGTGTGGGGGAATGATCAATACTGGGGTCAGATATGACAGCTCTAATGTCATGGTGCAGCCAACACAGACAGCCTCCTTCTGTTCGTACCCATGATAACTCTTGTCATAAAGATGCAAAGCTTGCTTTAGGAAGCATTGCTATGCACTGTTTAGAAAGGAAAACAAGTCCTACAGCTGCCAGCATGGCCAAACATGGCAGGCTGGGTGTTGTTAGGATATTTCAAAGGAAAAACTCTTTGTCCAAAAGTTTCCAGCGTGATGATTCATAGTATTAGCGGTCAATGAAGTTGAAGAGCAATTTGCAAATATTCAGTCCCAGCTACATTTATTAACATCAAAGATTTAACAATGAGACTCAGTTCTTCCAAAATCTCAGAAGTAGCTCTTTCATTCTACTCAGTTTGATGCTTTACTGAAGAAAGTAGCGACCAGTATTCAAGAATTATCAAGGTAAAGCACAGAGGTAATTAAAATGAATTCAAAGTGATGTAGAATTATAGCACTCCTTGATGATGAAATGGTTTGACTTAACAAATCATCACTTTAAAATTGTGATTTGAATGAAAACCACTATTTTTAATTTTATTTTTTTGCACAGGACTGAAATATAAAATGTTATATCTTTTTCTTATTTTTCTTATTCTTATGTCCAAGACTTTAGTTTGATCAATATTATGTGCAGAGAGTCAGAACTTTTAAAAAATGAAATACATGAATGTATGGATGTTGAGATTATGAGAAGAGTTTTCCATCCCTGATTGAAACAGTGACCACTTTGCTATCAGACTTAATATATCAGCTTTAGGATGGAAAATATATCTTATAGATGGAACAATTCTAATGAAATCATATCCTTTCTATATAGAAAGAGATCTTCCTCCTTAATACTATCAATCTGCCCTGGAGTATTGATACATCTCAGGAAACAGAGATAGGAAGGTCAGCATCATCCACACCTTACAGGCAGTGGCTCTCCAGAGTTTTGAAGGTCTTTCCCTGGTTTACCTGGAGATTCCACAGGGGATCTTTGTCAGGCAAAGCATCTCCTCTACAACCGCCGTGCAACCCATCTTCACTACTTTGGGGATTCCCTGCCAGTCGGTGTGGATGGCAGCAGACCTGATGGATCACTCTCCAGTGCAAGGCCACTGATGCCCTTTCTTTCAAAGTGTTCAGAGGCTGCTTCAAGCCTGTATCAGAGAAGGGGCTTCTGATCTTTGCTGCACAGATGCTCTCAAAATGAAGCAGATGCTGCTGCGTCACCTTTGTGCATGAACTTCCCCGTTTCACCACACTGAGCTCTACTCATGCTCCATATTGTGGAGTCCCAAGCCAAAGGCAATCTCAGGGGTCACAGCCAGCTATTTGGAATCTCATTGCTCTGGGCCATCCATGTAAGAGCCAGGATTGGTGCCTACAGAAATACAGATAGCTCAAAAGAAAGTTGGGAAAGTTGCTAATTACTTCTGTCTATCTTTGCAGGCCTTCAGTTATGGCTGCAATGGAAACTCCATCATTTCTGTTTAATTTTAAAGGATGCTATTTTGCATCAGATTTTATCACACCTGAATATCTTGAAACAATTGAAGATTTTGAAGTGAGGGACAGTGATATATTTGTAGTCACTTATCCAAAATCTGGTAAGAATTCTGTAAGCTAAAGTGGAATTATTCAAACAATTAGGTGGATTGTTTTAAACTTAAGAATTTTGAGGCTGCAATGTGATATACAGTTGAATTGGATGGGGCTTGCGTCTTGTCAGGATCTGGGCAGCTTCTGGGCTCCTCCCACTGGCCAAATGCCAGAATAACAGCCCTGGTAGTGGCAGGATTAGTCCTAGACTCTGCTGCAGCTTCCAGGGCCTTCATGAAGGCCACCTAGGTGCCCTGGTGGTGGTGGGGGCGGGAGGAACTATTTAAGAAGTGGCTCTTCCCCCTAGAAGCTGCCTCAGCATCATCAGCTTCCAGGGTGCTCAAGTGCTCTGTGGTATACTGTGTAGCTAGCAGTTCTTTAGCACACTAAAATCTTTTACAAAATTAAACCCCTGAACAAGCAGTTGCATATTATTGCTGTAGAAAATGCTCTAACAAAGTATTGTGTGTTAGAGTACTGTGTACCAATTTAAGTCTGACCTTTTTGCATGCAGTGATATTAGGTCATGGTCCATGTAATTCAGTGGCTCTCTTAGGACATAACTTCCTCGTTTGGTTGGATCCTTGGCCTCTTCAAGAAGCAGTGGGAAAATGCCTCTTTGGATTAAATAAACCATTACTGCCAGAGTGGAAGATACTGTGTAGGTCGAGCAATGGCCCGACACTGTAAAACAAGGCAACTTCCTAGATTTACTCATTTCTTCCACTCAGATCTAATGTCAGCCACTGCCAAACCTTCCTTTCAACTTATTGAAATAAAACATGATATATTGACACAACTATAGCTTGAGATAAACTCCATCCCTGTGTTCCTGCTTATGTATGTACAGTATGTATATTTGTGTTTGCCTCTCTCTCTCTCTCTCTCTCTCTCTCTCTCTGTCTCTCTCTGTGGAGTCAAGCAGGTTAATATGTACATATCATTCTAATCATACTATCCCATCTAAAATCCATTCTTTTCTTCCTCATGCCCATTGGATGATATGATTTTATGTTGATTTTAAATAAAAATCTACTTATTAGCAATAAAATTCATATGAATATTTGCACTGTCTTTTATTAATTTTTAAATAATTCCACCATAAATGCCACTAGTGTGTTACAGGATTTGTTAGTATTGGTAACATGTTGCCTAGATGCATGGAAATGTGTCTATATACAGTAATGGCATTGATCTTCAGTAATCTGTGATGATCAGTACAATTCCAAAACAGATTTCTGTCCTGCTGCTTATCAGTGGTCTAATCTCATAATAGTGGGCATACTTTTCTCTTTCAAGAAATTTAAGACAAGTTACATAATCCTCCTCCTTCCCTCAGTCTGGGCCTCACAAGAAGCCTGTGAGCTCGGTTAGGCTAAGAGTCCATGTCACCTGCTGCGGCCAAATGGGAACGAGAACCCGACCCTTCTGCATCCCAGTCCAGCGCTCTAGCCGTTACATGGCACTGGCTCCCCAGCTTTTACTTCAGAAAGATTACCCAAGCGTCTTTCTCTTTCTAAGGAAAGGGGCCCTCAATCAGCCAAGTGAAATTATGGATGGGAAACGCAGGCCACCAAAGTTCAGTCCTGTGCCTCTAGATTTAGACTTATGAATTTAAATATGTCCCATAAGCAAATGAATTCTAGGCTAATTTGGGAATAGGATGAACATGATTGCTTAGCAATGTGACCTCCATATCAAGGTAATCATTGCTGGCCTTAGACACGCCCACATGCGAAATCACATTGCTTTTCTGGCTCCCTGGTGCTAAATGCCTGGGTCATGTTTGGATAGCATGGCAAAGTTTAATGAGTTGATCCTCCTTTCTAGGAACCGTGTGGGCCCAGAACATTTTGTGCCTGATTTTGAATGAAAGCCACCGCAATGGAACAGGGGGAAAATCCACATATGATCAGGCTCCATTTCTTGATTACAACTTAAGGAACTTGGATTTGTCCCAGCTACCGTCACCTCGGGTCCTAATGGCCCATCTACCATATCATTTGATTCCAAAGGGGCTGAAAGAAGGAAAAGGGAAAGTAAGCACATTTTCTTACAGTTTTTGAATTCAGATATTCACTAGGCACAGTTCAGGTGCTGAATGCAACCTGTATTCTAGTACATGTGAATATTCAAATCCATCGGTTAGGCCAAGAGGGTGTGAACACTGCAGAATAGATAATCTCAGGGAAAAAATGACTTCATTAAGCTGGATGTCTAAATGAAGATACATGAACCAATAATCCAAAGGACGTGTGAAGAGCTGGCATTCACTTCAGTAGCCCTTCTGAACATTTCACCAAACTGTAGGGTGGCAGTGAAGGGATATGGTAAGCTAATGTAGGGCCCACCTGGCTGTCTAGCATTAAGCCTGGACAGGCTGGTCATGTCCCAAGCATCATCCTAGTAAATCGAAACGTTACAAGCAGCCAGAGATCAAGCAATCTCCCACCAAAATCTCCTCGTCATACCTCCAGGCAGCCCAGTCTCCCAGGTAAGTGTGGAAACCACCTGAACTCTAATGTGCCGATCAGCTATTGTGATGGGAATTTCAGCCCAAAAAGCAGTGGTCATTGCTACCTGGTCTTTAGAGATATAAAAGGGGACTCCACCATGTGCTCAGGGTTGATTCCCGCTTTGCTGTGATGAATAAAGTTGCTGTGAACTTTATTCTCAAGGATAAAAAACAATTTTTCGAACTCTTGTTCTTGTAATGCTTAGCTGTGCTGAGTGATCCAGGTCCAAACCCTTTGTGTCCGATACTAGTAACATGGGCACAGCAGCCTCCTTTCCCTGAAGAGGCCTCAACAAAATATTCCAAACTAATACCAGTTTGAGGTGGCCATTTAAATACTACCTGTTCACATTTCAAAAGAGTTCTACACTCCTGAATTCATTGCATTATATGAGATGAAGATTCATTTCTCCAATTTTGTAATGTCACTACTTTGGATTTCAAATATGTTATTTCCTCTTTCATTTGTTAATTTTCATAAAACAGTTAAATAATTTAAAGGAATATTTTCATCAGTGCATATTAAACACTGTTCCAGTAAAAATTTATCTGTTAATAATTTCCTTCCAAAAGAAAGCTGCTACTGAACCTTGCCAAATCATGTTTAAAAGAAGCATTAGCTGTCCCGCATTCGCTTGAAACTGGCTGAATTAGACAATCCTTTATTCAATTCAATATATGATAGACTCTTAATTTTTTCCCCCAGGTAAGACACAGCCTAAGCCAGTGGTTTTCAACCGCTGGTCCACGGACCGCCACCAGACCGCCACTATTTCCTGCCGGTCCTTGAAAGAGCTGCTGTGCGCGCGGGCGTGACAGCCACATCCCGCTTGCCGCCGAACAGTGCCGATTCCCCACCTCTTCCTTGGTGAGGAGGCTGGGAGAGGGAGAAGCAGCCCAATAGGAGCCCGCTGGGAGACGCACCACGCTGGGTCCACCCTCTGGGCGAGGCTACGAAGACGAGCCCTTTTCCTTTTTCTACTGTCTCCTAGTAAGAAGACAACGTAAGAATTTCGCATACAATTAAAAAAAAAAAAAAAACATTACACTACTGAGCTCCCCACCACCGGGACAAAGGATACATGTCCCAAATAAAAGAAAAAGATATTCTTCAAATATTTCAGGACATTCCCCTCCTTCCAAAATATAATGATTCTTTTGATGGCTCAAATAATTTCCCTGCCTTTAAAACATGCCCAATAAATACATCCCAAATCTCCTTATTTTTCTTTATATGCCCTTTTCTCACATTATTATCACATGTTAATTTGCCATTCATTGCTATGTTCCAAAACTTCTGTATACCAATCAGACAATTGGTAATCATATTTTATTTTCCAATTCTTAGCTATAATTAGTCTCACTGTAGTTATTATATGTGCTTTATTATTTCAAATCCATGGTTTGTTTAATCAAATATTGAAAATAATGCAATCTCAGGGCATATAACTATATTTGAACTTAATTTTTTACTGCACTCTTTACATCTTACTGGCAAACATTTTAAACATCTTGTTGTGCCATGAGCCAGAGGCACCTGCCCCTCAGCTGTTTAAAGTCTTGGTTTAAAGTCCTGAGCTTAGTGCTCTACCATCGTGTTCAGGCTCCTCCTTGGGATTCCTCAGTTGGCTCGAGTGCTCAGGGTATATTTACCTAAAGGAAAACCAAACAAAAAAAAAACTTCGGCCATACTGAGTTGGTACACCTAGTATGATGACACATGATTGTTTTTGTCAACGTGGCTTGCTGTCTTCCACTCTTGGCACACCGGCTTGAGCATGGTATATTAACCACACAGCAGCCATGGTGTGAACCACGGGCTTTTTGCTGGGTTGTTAAGGGTGGCTAGTTCCCGGTGCAGCTGGCTGTGGGCCTTGCACCATGGCTTGTTGGAAAGGGCGACTGAGAGCAGCAAAAAATCTGCTCACTCCTCACTACCTTGGTAGTGTTGCTTTCACTGTTCCTACTCCTTCCTCAGTGCCCTCCAACCTTCCTTCTCAAATAAAGCACCACTTGAGAATTTCTTTAACCTGTAAATGTGTGTTTGTGTGTTCCTTTGTAAGGACTCAGATACTTCCTTTGGATTCCTGTTTGCATTTGTTCAAATTTCCTTATATTCTAAAGCAGAGCTGCGGGGGTGGATTGCGAAAATCATGCAGCAATCAACTATAAAGTCCCCTGTTTGATTTGCACACATTTTCTAAATATATCTAAATTTCCCTCATAAACTAAAGTAGAGCAGGTTCAATCGACAGGAAAAATGTGTAGGAAGTGCTAATTTTTGCAACAAAAGCAGCAACAACAACAACAACAACAACAACATCTCCCTATGCGCTTTGCAAGGGCATAGATTTGCATGCCTAATTGAATGCATGCTGGGTTTGGTTTTGGTTGTTTATTTTTGACATTCCTTTTCTCAGCTGAGCAACCAAAGGAAAATGCTCTTGGAAAGGGAAACCGAATTCTGTACTGTGTAATATGTGTAACTAATCACTAGGTCATGAACAGGTACGGATGAGGAGAGCTGGTGCGTGCAGGAACATGGGGATACCCAGAGCTTTACTCCGATGTACACATAGATGTGTGACAGGAATAGGCGGAAGGACTGGGGGAAAGGAACCTCTGCAGTAAAATAGATCAGTGATCAAACAAACTGCCCCTGTGGCTTATGTTCAGCATGGCTTCTCATGACATGTGAACCAGAAACCATTCTCTTTATTGTCTTTCTTTGAAGCTGGTGAGTTTTAGTTACAAAAGATATTTCACTGACAAGTCTAACAAATTAAATTGTGCAGGAATGTCATTAGGCGCATTCCCATGGCCATCTGTCAATTTATTGAAATAGCTAAAAATGTATTTCATCTTTCAGATCATCTATGTATATAGAAACCCTAAGGATGCTATGGTGTCCTTATATCATTATTCAAGCTTTGCACAAACGTCAGCAGATCTGGAAGAGTACATGCAGAGGTATTTAGCTGGGAAAGGTAAGACTGAAATGTGCTGGTGTTTGGAAAAAGTATATGCACAGAATATGAATTCAAAGAACTCCAGAGAACAGGGGCCTCACCTGTGCTGCTGCTAAAGGTCTGCTGATTGGTATTAGGAGTTGGCGGAAGAACCTTTCCACTCATGGGGCAGTATGTCCGCCCCAAGAGCCCTGGTACACATGCAGAAAGCTCTGCAGGCATTCAGTCACCACCAGGGTTAGCGGGCAGTTCCAGGAGGACGATTTTCTGTGTTGCAGGACTGTCGGTGTTGCATCCACCTCAGCCACAGACAACTTGTTCCCCTCCCACCCCAGGATCAGGCCCCATAGGGACCAGCCTGAAACCGGCCTTGTTCATTTCTGTCCCACTGTTTAAAAAAAAATCAACCCAAACACCCTGTCTGAGGCACAATAAGCTGGTAGGGCCTGGGGAATAGAGGATCCCACCCCCATTTGACTCTCCCTCACTTACTCTGCCCATTATATCGCAGGAAGAGTAGTTGGGAAGAAAATGAAGTTCCTCCTGTTCATTGCCTGGCCACTGAGACAGGCAAGGGCAGCATGAAAAGGACTCTTCATTGTAGCTGCACACTAGCAATAGAGAGTGAGCCCATCTCCAGCCAAGACCAGCTGCCATAGTCATTGTACACAGTGAATGTATGCACTGGTGTTTTGCAGTGTTAGTAACAGAATACGTACGTTGTAGCAGAAAACATTTGGTTACTTTTGCACATGGTACTTTTGTCCATGAACGGCAAGTCTTCTGAGGGCATTTGGTGTCCAAACGTTTTCCTCCAGGCTTATCTATTTGAATTCTGACCTTCGGACTGAGGTTTATTTTATATTTTCATCCCTTTTCTGTCTCTCTGGTTTAACACTAAGTAACTGACCTACCAGTGTTCTGACCCTTGTGGTTTGGTTATCAGGAAAATTGTATTTTCTTCCGCCCCTCCTTCTGAGCACGGAGAATCCTTGTGCCATATGATCACTAATGTCGTATGGGGCAACCCAGACACAAAGCATACCTAGAGAAGAGCCAGCACCATGCTGTTTCTCTGGACCATTTGCCAGGGGTGGGGCACAAGCCTACTTTTTCTGGAGTCTGAGAAGTTGATGGTTTCCGTTGGTGTGAATTGTCTGCTTCTGCCAGCTTCTGCTCTTCTTGAATCTGGTATGATGAAACTGAATAGGAATCTCTAATCTGGATGGTAGAAGGGCTGACAAGGTTGCTTTCAAAGTGTTGCTTCTGACACACAGAAGTGTTGCGCCTTGCTTCCTTACGACCTTGCATCGAAATGTCAGTTTTTCCTGCAATTTGCTTCTTGGACTTGTAAGTCTTGCCTAGCTCCTTTTTTTGATGGAGAGTTGGTTGCAGGTCATTTTGTACTGCCAACCTTCTTCAAGGGAGCTGGAGTCTGCAGTTCTGAAAGGTTTCTTTAAATCACTGACCACTCTCCTCTGAGAAGGGTATAAACACAGGAGCTTCTGGGCTGAAGTTGCCAGAAAGCTAAGAAGATTAGCTTGTTGTTGAGCTCTCAGGGCCCCTTCCTTGACACTCAGTCCAGATTGTGGCCCTGGGATTGGCCTTTATGGGTGAAGTTGGCATCTGGATTATTTCTTTCGCATTCACAATGATTCTTCTGATGAGGATCCCACAGAACATTCCTCCTTCTCTGCGTTCAAGGAATTTCTTCCTTAACAGACATCGAGATTGGACAGGCAGCACAACCATTTTTACTTTGTGTTAAAGCAAAATTTGGACCAGGACTTAGGGATTTATTCCAGTGGAAACCAGCTTTTTCTGCAGGGGAAATGTTACTGACACACCTCCCTGCCCTCTGACGGTGTTTTCTGTGGGTTCAGAGGTTCCTATAATAGAACTCCGCTGCTTCTAGCTCTTCCACTACGCAGTCCTTGGCACTGGATTGCAATCTGAGAACTTGACAGGGACCTTTGCAGCAGGGCTGCAGGACATCTTTCCTCTGTTTTTACATACACACTCCCTGTCTTTCAGTTGAATAGGATGGCACAGTTCATCTCATGGAGTGCAGCTTCAAGGCTTGGTTAGAGCTTGCAGTAATGGAATATTTCGTCACTTGCCGACAGAATACTCTGAAGAAGCACTTTAACTGGGGAAGAAATTGTTGAAAAAAATGGAGAGGAAGATAGAAAATATCTGGCCATTTTAACTTGGTTGTACAACAAGTCTCTTTAGAGCTTCTGTTTCCATTGCAGCCAATGCAAGGTGATCGAGTCAATAGAACTTTTGGCTGCAATTTATTTTGCCTACAGAAGAATGTGCTCCTCTGGTTGAGTTTATGGGCAGTGGTCCAACAGCAGCTTCTTGTTCACAGCGTTGCCCACGTACATGCTTGCGTATAACTTGCCATGAATGCATGCAAACTTTAAACTAGAACATATCTCGAGGAAACACCTGGACACATGGTAAAATCGAATTCTGTCTTTTGTCTTACATATTTGCCCACATTTTGGGCCTCACAAATAGGGTACACACAGCCATAGTGCCAAGCTTGTACAAGAAAATTGTGGAGCCAGTCAAACAAGTTTCACAGTCTCAATCATTTCAGAATAAGGCTTTTAGCACAATCAGAGAGCTGAGTCTGCCTGCTCTCATTGTGGTGCAGAACACACCCTTCAGCTACCAGGATGCTTTTTTACGTCTTTAACCAAGCGAACCACACATCTAATCACTACTACATGCACTAGTAACTCTACGGCAACCAGTAATGCATTTACAAAAAGACTATTCTAAATATGAACCTCACATTGAGCAAAAGCTCTTCTATGCTCACTTTTTCATTTTTCTGAACTTTTAGTTTTGGGATTGCAATCACCAGTTTGTTTCCTCATGATTTAAAGCACAGAGTTGAACCTTCAGCCTTCACCATCGCTACTTGCACAAACATTTTCTTCTCTTTTGGCTGTTCATCTAGGTCTGCTCCTGCCCCAGGGAATTCACCCTGAGTCTTTTTATATAGAAGTACTTGCTGGTGTTGTTTGTCTCTCCTACAGTTGGATCACAAACTAGAGGGACTTCTTTTTGTCCCCGACAGTAGGGCATGGCAGCATCAACAACTGGACACACACTTCAGAATCAGAATTCGACATTCATCTGTCGCGATGGAGGAGGAAGCAAGAACTGGGACATGCACCAGAGCGACAACTTTTTCTGTGATGCACCTGCCGGCACTTGTGTAGAGGAAGGAGAGTGAGAGCGCCAGATAGACAACAGATGCAAACATCATCCTCATCCAGGCTTAAAACCAGCCAGGGAAGGAGCAAGAGGATTACTGTTAGTGAGGGGGTGGTGCTGGGACTGTGTGACCCTAGCTGTTGAGCTTGGCAAAAGTGCAGAGGAGTTGCACTTGCAGCAGCTCTTGGGCATTTGTACCAACTGTTCCTGCACGGGCAAACTCAGGGCATGGCCTATTCTGAATGACAGCATGACAAGGGAAGAACCTCGATTGAAACTGTTTATCTGTTTTTCTTTATTTTTTTCTTGCCTGGCAGTTGTGTGCAGTTCGATTTTTGATCATGTCAAAGTCTGGTACTCTCATAAGAATGAACTCGATATTCTCTTCCTTTCCTATGAGGAGATGATTAAGGTAAGATTGGTCACTTTCCCAGTGTTTGATCTCTACAGGTGAAAGTCCAAGCAGTACCAAGGAACTTTTACGATGTTTCTTTGCTATCATGGGGTCCCCTGCTGGCCAGGTATGTGGAAGCCTCACTGCGACTCTGATTCCAAAGAGCCTGTTGTGCAAGTAAGGTGGGCTTCAGGGCCATCCCAGGCACTGCTTTTGCTCATGTTCATCTAAACACACTACTGAGGGAACTTTCCAATGGGTACAGATTCCTCCTAGAACTATTTGGCCAGTAGAAAACTATACCCTGCCGGTCCATTTTGGCCCTCCTCTCCCTTTTCTCTTCCTTAAGTAGTCAGCATTTTTAAGCTTTTGAAGCTCAGGAAATGGAACAGTGCAAGTTGCTTCTTTCTGCTGCATAATGGGCAAGCAAAGTAGTTATTTGGTGGGTTTAAACAGCACGTTGCTCTGGGACAAGGTCAAGGTGTTCTTCAGGTAACTTGGCCTTGTGACCCCCACTTTACCTCTGCAGCTCACTTGGATGAAATCTTAGAAGGACTGACTTTATTCACAACACTCCCTTTAGCAGTACCAACCTATGCATGTCTGTGCAGAACTGTGTCCCTGGATTACTCCCTGGTGAGTGTGTATAAGATTCAGAAAACTCAGAAATGAATTATCCTTCTTCCAGGACCTGAGAGGTGCTGTCTTAAAAGTTTGTGGGTTCATAGGAAAGCAACTGAGCAGCCAGGAGGTGGACAAAGTTGTGGAGATGGCTACGTTCGAAAATATGAAAAGAGACCCGAGGGCAAATAATGTGGTCACTGCTAAAGAAAGATTCAGGAGAAAGGACATGCCGCATCTACGCAAAGGTGATACTGAGACCACAAAATCCAGACATGTGTTTGCAGCATGAAGTATTGCAATGTTTTCCTTTTCACCTAAAGTTGGGGTGCACCGCTTATTTGTACCCAGTGGCCCATACACACAAGCACACCCACTGGGACTTGGGGAGATCTGTGCAGACACAAAGACACACACACGCTGGAGTGGAGGAAGAAACACCCACACACTGCGTTGGAAAGTGGCTCACATATGCAGCCAAAGGTTTGGCTGGGCAGAGACCTCACTCCTGCCCGTGCTCCCAACCAGACTGAAATGTCAGCAGCAGTAAAGCAGCAGTCCTGGCTGCTTCCGCATCACAAGGGTGGAGGGAAGCTGCAAAAATAGTCCAGTGACCAGCACGCAGCCCATGAGCCCCTTAAAAAAAGGAAAGATATTTATTAGATTTATATTTTTGCAACATAAATCTAATAAATAAATTACCGTATTTTTCGCTCTATAAGACACACGTTTCCTCCCCCCCCTCAAAAGTAAGGGGAAATGTCTGTGCATCTTGTAGAGCGAATGCGTGTGTGCCCGACGCCCGGGACGCTGCCGGCCCGCCTGCACCACATGGCACCACCTGGCCGGCACATGCTCGGCGCTCCCTGCTCCGTCCCCCCTCTCCGGCACAGGTGAGAGCTGTACCGCTCAGGGGGAGGCATGCGGAGGAGGAGCTGCAGCCTTTAACCTGCCGACCACATGGAGAACACGGACAGACAGACTACTCACCCCCACCGCCCAGGAAGACCTGCCACCACCGCCACGCCGCCCGGAAGACCATCGCCGGCACACTGGCGGCCACCTGCACCACGTGGCACCACCTGGCCGGCACGCGCTCAGCGCGACCTGCTCTGCCCCCCCCCCAGTGCGGGTGAGAGCTGTGCAGCTCAGGGGGAGAGGTGCGGAGGAGGAGGAGCCGCGGGCTTTAACCCGCCGGCCGCACGGAGAGATGGACTGCTCACCCCCACTGCCCAGGAACTGTTCACCCCCACCAAGACCTGGGAAGACCTGCCGCCGCGCCGCCCGGAAGACCACCGCCGGCATGCTGCCGGCCCCACGTGGCACCACCTGGCCGGCACGTGCTTGGCGCGCCCTGCTCCGCCCCCCTCCTCCGGCGCAGGTGAGAGCTGTTAATCACAGGTCGGTGTGTGTTTTCAAATGGCAACCCGCCTTTTAATGAAACCCATGGGGAAGTGATGGGGAATGTGCCTGTGATTATCAGGAAGCTTTCCATGGATCAGTTATCTGTTAGTTGATCAGACACATTTTTTTTTAGGATCAGTGGATATTTGAACAGCATTACCTTCGTGTATGAAGTTTATTCTTCAAAGGCTACTTAGTCCGCTGTGTTTGATTTACTGTACAATATCTCATTTTTTGTCAGAAGTTTTTTTCTATTATTTACTAGTAGGGCAACGTGGACATTACTGGCTTTTTTAGATTTGTTATTGAATTGTCTGCAGCAGCTCTTGTATAACTGGTGTAGATTGTGGATTCCTTCAATAATTCCACTACTGACTAAGAAAGTGATGTCAGTGATTGTGAGCGACAGAGCTTCATAAATTCTGACTCTAGTGATGATGAGTTCTGTGGGTTCAACGAAAACTAGAAGAGTACTCGAAGTCTAAAGTCTCTCTTTTGTTAATGACAGTGATGATGGTTCTTAATGCCACTGCTGACTGCTGTTCACTTTACAAGGTTGAAATACGGTATTACTGTATTCTGTTATAGTTTATTAAATAGTTCAGTAAACCATTTGATTCAGAATATTTTTTTTTTGTTTTCCTCCTCTAAAAACTAGGTGCGTCTTATGGTCAGGTGTGTCTTATAGAGCGAAAAATATGGTAAATCACTGGCTTTAAATGCATTCTTAAGAAATCAACATTGGCCACAGGTTGGGCCAATCATGTTGACTCCATGGGCAGGTTTGCATGAACACAGAGGAAAAATGGTGTGGTGTGGAGGGCCAGTGTGGCGTAGTCGTTAAGGGCATGGGACTGGGACTCAGACGATCTGGGTTCTGGTCCCCACTCAGCCATGGAGCCAACTGGGTGACCTTGGGCCAGTCACAGCCTCTCAGCCCAACCTACCTCACAGGGTTGTTGTTGTGGGGATAAGATGGAGGAGGAGAATGATGTAAGCTGCCTTGAGCCCTTTGTAGGAAAAAGGTAGGATATAAATTGCAAAAAAAAGCTGTGGAAACTGCTTTCCTCTTCCATTTTTGACAATCCTCTTTTTTAGCATGCCCAGTAAAAGTGGGTGTAGGAATGACCCTTAGCATCAGAGTCCTTGTGGAGGTCAGGGCCCAGATGTGTCCTGGTCTTCCTTCAAGAATGTGCTCCAGGCTGCCTGGAGGAGCACCTAGAGCAGGGGTCTCAAACTCAACTTACCTGGGGGCCGCTGGAAGTAGAGTCTGGGTGAGGCTGGGCTGCATCAAGTATTCCACCACCGTGGTGGTGGTGGGCCGCTCATCTCGCGGCCGGCCCGGGTGCTGCCGGTGCTTTGAAGGCCGCAGGGCCCCTCCCCCATGCCCCACTCGTCCCGGCAACTGGCCCGTGGGCCGCGAGTTTGAGACCCCTGACCTGGAAAACAGGCTCGATGGCTAGTTGCCTTTAGCCATCTCCAAAATGATAGCTTTAAAAATAAAACTCAAACTACCTCTGAGTGGATATGACCCTTGGGTGTGTGGAGGGAGTCAGTGTACCTGTCCACAAGTGCCCTTTTTGGACTTCGGATGGTAGCCACTGGCTAACCATTGGCTGTAGCAGCTGGCTGTTCTTATCCAAGCAGGCTGTGTGTAGTTTGGCTTCACCCACAATGAGTGGTTTCAGACAAGGTCACAACCCATCATGGGTTGCTGGGATTACCTGCCATCCTATCAAACCTGTCCTAGGTTCACACAATATAACAACCTGCCGCCACTCATACGCCATGGAGAAGTGTTGTGTTGCACCAACCAAGTTGTCAGTCCCCACTCCCTGTTTGAACACACCTGGGGCTAAGTGTGAGGTGTCTGGAGCTAAGCCTAGTATTACAGGTAAAATCAACTGAATTTTCTCATTGCTTCTCGTCAGGTACCATTGGAGACTGGAAAAATATAATGACAGTGTCACAGAGCGAAAGGTTTGACAAGGTCTTCCAGGAGAAAATGAAAGACATACCTCTCAAATTCATCTGGGATATTAAAGAAACAAAAAAACCATGATTAGCATGAAAAGTGTAGCAGAAGACAAAGCCTTCCTCTCTTTTCCAGATAAAATGCTTAAGTGGTTTAAAAACAGAATGAATTCATTAATATTTTAAATATATTTTACTCAAAGCTTTTGGGGAAAGTATACATTACAGAGAAGTTATACATGTATTTATGCAGAAATGTTTTAACATTAGGGAAAAAGATCTGAAAAGTATGGAATAAACTATTTTGTGGTGCCATCTTATTTCTGGAGCCAGAGCCATCAGACGGACAAGATGCCGCTCCTGGAGGCATAAAAATCCAACCTCTGCTAAATATTCTTTTTACTCAAATAGACATAGGTCGTGGTCTAGAATTGATATGGTTTGGATAACCCCAGACTTAGTACCAGACTTGGTAGAAGCTGAAATAGAGGCAAATGTCTGGGCGGATCACAACCCTGTAGCTATATCACTGAAAGGAACAGCAATGACGCCCAGATGGAGCTTAAATAAAGCCTTATTAAAGGATAAAAAATTTATAGAAGAGATAAATAAGGAAATGCAAGTATTCTTTCAAATAAATAAAACTGAAGAAACCGCTCTACAAAATGTCTGGGATACAGCTAAAGCCTATGTCAGGGTATTGATAACATATTCAGCAAAAATAAACAAAAAGAAAAAGCAAGAACGAGCAAAAATAGTAGAGGAATTGACAAAATGGGAACAAGAACTGCAGGAAGATCCATCCAAAAAAAAAAAAACAAAACCTTAAGGTCCAAATGAATATTTTAAAGCATAAACTGAATCTCTTGGACACAAATGAACTTACTAAGCAAATGACATTGGCCAAACAGAATTTCTTTGAAAATGCAAATAAACCAGGGAGATGGTTAGCCTATAAAGTAAAGAAAGAGAGAGAGAAGAGACTGATTTCTAAATTGAAGGATGGAGAAGGACAACTACAAGTTCTAAGTATGCATATTAAGAAAATAGCAGAAAATTTTTTACAAAGCTATATCAAAATGATGAAATCTCAACTGAGAAAGTAAAAGAATACATCCGAAAGGGAGATTAACCAAAACTACCGGAGAATATCAAAAAGTATTGAATCAAGAAGTAACAACTATGGAAGTAATAGAGGCAATTAAGCAGCAAAAGAACGATAATAGTCCTGGCCCGGATGGGCTGCCAGCAGAGTTTTATAAATCCTTTGAAGGAGTTTTTGCTACGCTTCTTAAAGATATATGTAATGCAGCACTGTTAAATGCTAAAATACCAAATACTTGGACAGAGGCAAATATTACATTAATACCGAAAGAAGACACGGACTTAACGCAGATTCAAAAGTAAAGACCTATATCATTATTAAATGTGGATTACAAAATTTTTGCCTCCATAATGGCAGAAAGATTAAAGAAATTTCTAATAGACTTCATTCACTCAGACCAAAATGGTTTTTTGCCTAAAAGACAAATGAGGAATAATTTGAGAACTATCTTGGATATTCTAGAGTATTATGAGATACATATGGAAAAACCAATGGCTTTATTATTTATGGATGCACAGAAAGCCTTTGATAATGTCAACTGGCAATTTATGAAGCAACAGATGGCCCAAATGGAGTTTAGTGAAAAGTTTATTAATGCAATATCAAGCATTTGATAAAAAGCAGTTGGCTAGGATTATAATTAATGGAGAATTTACAAAGATTATAGAGATACAAAGGGTACAAGACAAGGATGCCTTTTATCACCTCTGTTGTTTATACTGATTTTATAAGTGTTGAACAGGAATATCAGGGATGATGCAGACATTAAAGGTACCTGAATTAGAGATGAAAGCTACAAATTGCAAGCATTTGCAGATGACCTGGTTTCCATAACGGAGGAACCCTTTGCAACAATGCCTAAGCTCCTGCAAAGGATTGAAGAATATGGCAAGGTTACTGGGATGAAAATAAATAGAGAAAAGATGAAACTGTTAGTAAAAAATTTATACAAGACCAGAGAAAAACCATGCAGGAACAAGTAGATTTGCAGATTGTTGAAAAGGTTAAGTATTTGGGAATTTATCTTACAGCTAAGTGTACTACTCTGAAAGAGGACAATTATGGTAAACTATTGAAGGATATTAAGAGTGATCTGGAAAAATGGGCTAATTTGCAATTATTTTTGCTGGGAAGAATAGCACTTGTTAAAATGAATATATTACCAAAGCTTTTGTTTTTATTTCAAATGATTCCCATAAAAATGATAGAAGTTTTTCTGATGATTTAAATTTTCAAATTTCAAGATTTATATGGAGAAAGAAGAAACCAAGGATTAAATTAAAAATACTTCAGGAAGCTCAAGAGAACGGGGGTTTTGGTCTTCCTGATTGGATGTTGTATTATCAAGCTTCTGTTTTAACATGGCTAAAAGAATGGATAACTTTAAGAAATAAGAGAATTTTGTATCTTGAAGGGCATGCTTTGCAAATGGGCTGGCACGCTTATATGTGGTATGAGAAGGCTAAGTCACATGGTTCTTTTTTAAGTCACTATATTAGAAAATCATTATTGTCAGTGTGGGAAAAGTTAAAGATAAAACTGTATAATAAATTACCAAGATGGCTTTCACCCATGGAAGCTTTTGTGTATCCAAATGCATTGAATTTTGAGGGGATTATAAGATATGATGACATCTTGGATAAGGATGGAGGACTGAAATTGAATCAAGAAACACAAGAACAGGGATCTAATATCTCTTGGTGGCATAAGGTGCAGATACAATCGAGATATGCTAAAGATTGTAAAGTGTGGGGTTTTTATAAGGACTTAACAGCATTTGATCAAGTGATGCTTAAATCAGATGAGAAAATGGTTAAAAGATTATATGACTTCTTACTTGATCGGAAAATGGAAGACGAACAGGTTAAGGAAACTATGATAATGTGGGCACAAAATTTTGGATGTAATATTGAATTAGAAAAGGGCAAAAGCTGTGGGAGAGAAATATTAAGGTAACATTAGCAACTTCGTATAAAGAAAACTTGTATAAAATGTTTTATAGATGTTATCTGTCGCCAAATAGATTAGCTAAGATGTTTCCAAATGTCAAATGGATGTTGGAAATGTAAGCATAAATTGGGTACTTTTTATCATATGTGGTGGACTTGCGATAATGTGAAAATGTATTGGATTAAAATACATAAATGGCTCGAGGAATGTTACAAAAATCCTTAGCTTTTAAACATGAAGTTTTTTTATTAGGCATTATACCGGAGGACATTAGTAAACAAGAAATGTATTTGATTTTACATGTAATCACTGTGGTGAGGATTGCATTCGCCCAACACTGGAAAAGTGAAGAACTACCCACCGATGAACTGATTCTAAAAAAAATCCTGGACTGTGAAGATACGGATAGACTGACTTGATCATTGAAGGTGAAGGAAGATACTGACTTCTATCAAACTTGGGACTCTTTTTATTATTGGCTAGAGAAACGGGACTTCACGTAGATTTAAATATGTTCTTAAGTTATCATAAATGGAAAAAGAAGGGTGTGGGGTCTGACCCAGCGGGCTCAATGTTTTTGATGATGCATGTTGTTTGTAGTTTTCTTTTTGTTTTTTAGGATTATAATTTCAAATAAAACTTATTTTAAAAAATGCTGCTCCTGTTCCCATCCCATGTACCAAAGGGGCGCATAACATGTATCGGCGGCTGACTCTGTAATGTGTGTAACAGGACCATGCCGGGCAACAGGCTAGCCTAAGACTTTCCCAGAAGGAAGCTCCATTTGTGTGCAGTTAAAACTGGCTGAAATCTGAGTAAGGCGATTAAGGATAGCATGATTTACTCCAGAAGGCTGGGCAGTGACAGAATTGCAAAGAATGAATACTCAGACTCATGGTTAAAGATCTACACATCTGAACTTCTGCAGCTTTATTGAATTGGTGCCCCAGTTCCTGCAGTAACTAAGGACAGGGTGCTCCTGGGTAGACTAGGCAAACTCAACTACTAAATCACAGCTCAGGTACAGACACTTTTATAACCTGCTAGTCACGTACGCAGAGTGTTAAGTTTCCAGAGAATGTTAGTACAGTAGCATCTTGATGTCTATGGGCATGATACACTGTTCTAAACCAGAAATCAGAAATACTGGTACCCACAGTATGGAAAATATCACTGATTGCTTTATTGACATGTCAGTTCAGTAGATTCCTTGCAGTTTGGATCAGCCTCTGTGTCTGTTTAAACATGCAAATATGTCTGATTGAGGAACCATTCAGGAAAAAATGGTTCGACAAGTACACTGCATAGGTGCTTACCTCTGTGGAACTAGATGATTAAATGGGTCCATTCAGAAACAAATGGACAGCTTTGTCTCAGCTGTCTGCAACAAATAGGAACACCGGATTTCCCCACTGGTAGTATAAGACTGCAGCAGCTTCTCAGCCCAGCTAAGAATTCCATCATCCTAAAGGAACAGCAATCCTAACACTCATCTGGCTTGGAATGCTACTGCTTTCTGAGAAACAGGCACAGGTGTGATTTTATTAGATAAAGGCACATAGGAGTAACTTTTTTCTACCAGGATTTATGCTGAGTTTCCACAACAGAAGCCATGTTAGCTCCATAATACGGTACTGCGTCGCGGTCTCCCGTCCATTTTCCTTCTAGTTCGGTCTTTTTCCTTCTCCTTATGACAGACCGCCTGCAGAAAGAGGGAGAAATCATAAGCTGCTGCTCGTTCTGCTAGCAACCTTGTCATATCAGCAATTTCCAGAGGAGCACAAGCTGACCTTTCTTTCCTTCTCAGTGACGCCCAAGAGGAGGGGCAAGAGAGTAGAGTAAATAAGAGTAAATAAGTAGAGTGAGTAAGTAGCGTAGGAAAGTGCAGACCGCCTGCAGAAAGAGGGAGAAATCACAAGCTGCCGCTGGGTCCGCCCGCAACCCTGCCATATCAGCAACTGCAAGAGCGGCATCAGGAGGACGTCCTAGAGGAGAGGCTGAAGAGCAGAGGAAGTAAGTAGCGTAGGAAAGTGCAACCCCACAGGACTTGGCCTCGCAAAGCTGTTTACTCACCGCTGGTGTTCTGTCCTCCTCAGCTGTGGAAAAAGGTTTGTCTCTCTGTTCATCTTGGTCTCGGCTGGTTTGCTGCTTTGGTCCTGGCACGCCCGGCAAACTCACTGCCCCGGGAAACAAGTTTTTTGTGGCGAACACGTCTTTCTCTCAGCCAGACTCTGGTTCTGGGGACATGCTTGACAACCTGGGGGACAGTAGGGAGGGCAGAGGGAGAAGCTCGCGAAACAGCTTCCCATCGCTTTACGCTCCGGGAACGTGGTGCTTCTGGGAGTGACAGAGTGTAGCTTCTTCGCACACTGGTTTCTCGCTTTGTAGCTGCAGTGCAGCTTTGTCAGCTCTGAATTGGAGCGGGTGAGCTACTCACCCTCAACCGAGCAGTCCCACAAGAGCATATGCTGCAGTATAAACTCGCTCTGGCTCTCATATACAGGGATGAAATAGAGAAAGAACTGGTCTGAAGAAATGTGGGCTGGAATGGTAGAAACCGAGTGCAGAGATCATTCTGGGCGGAGTGCGGCCTGCCGTGCCGGGGAGCCAGGTGTGTCCTCAAGGAGGGGCCGGCCCGCTTCTGTGCACCGAAGTTTTCTTGCAGCCATGCCCGCTGCCCTGCCCATCTTCATGCCCAACACCCAGACAAGGACCTGAGTAATGGAATGTTGTGTGCCATTTTGCACGGGTATCTTCATTGCGTCGTAAAGAAATCATTAAATCGAAAGGGTGAATTGTGGAAATTGTTCTGGTTACCAGATACAAAAGGCCTTTGGGTGACATCAGAATCCCGGAATATCAATTTGAGAAGAGGGAATAAAACTCGGATTCGTGGGAAGGCCAAGCATCCAGACCATCTGAGGCTTTATTGTATTTAATCGGATTCGTGGGAAAGACCAAGCGTCCAGACCATCTGAGGCTTTATTGTATTTACCCCAAGGTTCCCGCGGTACACTCACGATAATGCATGCTGCATTACCGGGCAGGCAGAGGTGAACTCTGCTGCGAAGCTTCAATACCACTACAGGGCATTCATAGGTACACAGGTACAGGGCAATTGATGACAGAATGCAGAGATTACAATAAGATTCTGAGGTCATCACATACAGAACAGATAAAGAAATGCCAGTCAATCACACTGTAACAATGAGATTAGTATTGTCACTTTAGTTGAGTAACTTGAACCCATCTCCAGGTCTGCTCAGACATGCAAATTCGAGCCACTAGAAACTATTTATGATAAGCTCAGACCCCTATCTTCACTCTTAACATTCTGCATGATCAGGGCACATGAAGCCCTCTGGGCTATCAAATGATTATGGTAAACTGAATTCCAAAAATGACTATTTACAATGTATGTTTGGGCTAAAATGGCCTACTGTAGCCTACAGCTAAAGGTGAGGGAAAGGAGCGGGGGAATGCCATTTTAAACAGTGACAGCTTGGTCTTGAGAAGGAAGACAGCATTTGATCCCACAATTCAAAAGCACACAAAAGTAATGCTTTTCAGACAGGATTTACCCCAATTTTCCCAAAACTAATTACTTCTGTCCATTGTTGCAGGTTTTCAGTTATGGCAGAAATTGACATGTCAACATATCTGTTTCATTTTAAAGGATGCTATTTTGCATCAGGTCTGATCACTCCTGAATATCTTGAGGAAATTGCAGATTTTGAAGTGAGGGATAGTGATATATTTGTAATCACTTTTCCAAAATCTGCTAAGAACTCTATAAATGAAATTGGAATTATTCTAACAATTAGGTGGGCTGTTTATAAATTAAGAATTTTGAGGCGGCAATGTTATATACAGTTGAATGCAGCTTATGTCTGAGGAGACCTGTATAACATTGTGGTGTATGATATAAGGACCATGCCTAACTTGGATTACAGTAAGCAGTCCCCATTTACGGGAGTCAGGAGCATAGGATCCCTGCGAAGGTGGAAAAACCAAAAATGTTTCTAGCCCCCACCCCCAAGCCTGAACTTTTAATACTGTTGAGCATAGGTGCACTGGATTGCTCCCCCTCCCGGTGTTGCCAGCAATGTGAGAGACAGTGCATAATGAGAGACTAAAGACCTGAGTGAGGCTGGCCAGCACTTAGACAAAGAGTGTGACCTTCGCAAACAGTGTGTGTAGCCCACAGTACTTTAGCACACTGAAACTGTTTTCAAAATGTAAACCCCTCAACAAGCAGTTGCATATTGTCGCTGTAGAAAATGCTCTAACAAAGTATCATTCATATTGTGCACCAATTTAAGTCTAAACTTTTTGCATGCAGAAATGTTAGGTCATAGTCCACGTATGTGATCGTGTCAGGGGGAGGGGAGCTTCACCCCACCCTGCTCCATTGCTTCCACCACCACAAACAGCCTTAGCAGTGCAACATCTTTAATGCAGTACTTGCTGCAGAAACTGGCCACTGCTTGCAGAGGCTTAGCTTTACAGGAACCCAGCTCTTCAACTTGAGGCACACGGCTGACTTTCCTGGCTAGGGCAGGGAGCGGCCTCTTCCCACTGCCCGCCAGTGCTTCCAGGGGCTATAGTCAGCTTCTCCAGAGCAGCAGCACACCTGGAGGTCAAGAGGACATGGGAGAGGCTCATGTACCAATTTTACTGGCTGGGGGTATATGACTGGGCTAGAAACTACTGCTTATCCTGCCCTGAGTGCCAAAAGGTCCAAGGATGAGGGCCCCCTGCTGAACCCCCAATTCCATTTTCAGGGAACCATCTGAGCATGTGGGAGAGCCATTGGAAAGGCCGGCCAAGGAGTACCTATATATTTTATATGCCCTTCTTTTCCACTTGTAAAGCAAACCAGTGCCCTGGCCCCTGCCTCTTAGATCTGCTGGCCTCAGCCCAAGGGGGTGGGAAGCCGTCTCACCTTGCCCAAGATTTCCGGACAGGACTGGCCCATTGGCCCCAGCTCGTTTGCCCGGGCTGGCATGTCCACCCATGCCACTTCGTTCAAATGTCTGTCTCCCCACCTGGTTTGAGGCATCAGGCCCCTTCTTGGACTGACCCTCCAGCCAAGGCTTTCCCCTCTGACCCTATTCTTCTGGCTTTTCTGTGAACACATAAGCGTCCAACAGCTGAATGGCATCCTCTGGCGTCTCACCAAATTTCATGCCCGAGCTGGTAATACAGTCACAAAGTGTTCCAGCAGAATGAGCTCAGCAACCTGCTTCACTGCGCATGCTGCTGGCTTCAGCCGTGGATCTTTTATCCAACCAGCTGCACGAACTTCATGGCAGGTTACGTAATCCTCCTCCTTCCCTCAGTCTGGGCCTCACAAGAAGCCTGTGAGCTCGGTTAGGCTAAGAGTCCATGTCACCCGCTGCGGCCAAATGGGAACGAGAACCCGACCCTTCTGCATCCCAGTCCAGCGCTCTAGCCGTTACATGGCACTGGCTCCCCAGCTTTTACTTCAGAAAGATTACCCAAGCGTCTTTCTCTTTCTAAGGAAAGGGGCCCTCAATCAGCCAAGTGAAATTATGGATGGGAAACGCAGGCCACCAAAGTTCAGTCCTGTGCCTCTAGATTTAGACTTATGAATTTAAATATGTCCCATAAGCAAATGAATTCTAGGCTAATTTGGGAATAGGATGAACATGATTGCTTAGCAATATGGCCTCCATATCAAGGCAATCATTGCTGGCCTTAGACTCATTCACACTCAAAGTTGGGTTGCTGGTGCTAAATGCCTATGTCAAGTTTGGGCAATATTGCACAGTTTAATGAGTTGATCCTCCTTTCTAGGAACTGTGTGGGCCCAGAACATTTTGTGCCTGATTTTGAATGAAAGCCACCGCAATGGAACAGGGGGAAAATCCACATATGATCAGGCTCCATTTCTTGATTACAACTTAAGGAACTTGGATTTGTCCCAGCTACCGTCACCTCGGGTCCTAATGGCCCATCTACCATATCATTTGATTCCAAAGGGGCTGAAAGAAGGAAAAGGGAAAGTAAGCACATTTTCTTACAGTTTTTGAATTCAGATATTCACTAGGTACAGTTCAGGTGCTGAATGCAACTTGTAGTCTAGTACATGTGAGCATTCAGATCCATAGGTTAATCCAAGGGGGTGTGAATAGATAATCTCAGAGATAAAAATGACTTGATTAAGATGGATGTCTAAATGAAGATACTTGAACCAACCCAAAGGATGTGTGAATTGCTGGCCTTCCACCTCACTAACCCTTCTGAAAATTTCACCAAACTGTAGGGTGGCAGTGAAGGGGATAAGGTAAGCTAATGTAGGGCTCACCTGGCTGGCTGGCTGGCTGGCTGGCATTAAGCCTGACAGGCTGATCACGTCCCAAGCATTATCCTAATAAATCGAAACATTACAAGCAGCCAGAGATTGAGCAATCTCCCACCACAAGCTCCCAGTTGTACCTTCAGGCATCCCAGCATTCCAGGTAAGTGCAGAAACCACCTGAATTCTAATGTGCCAGTCAGCTATCGTGGCAGGAATTTCAACCCTATAGGCAGCAGTCATCGCTGTCTGGTCATCAGGGGTATAAAGGGGGAATCCCCCATGCTCTTGAGGTCAATTGTCAGTTTGCTCCAGGTCCGAGCCCTTTGTGTCCAGCACTAGTAACAAGGGCAAAAGCAGCCCACTTTCCCTGAATAGCGTTAAGCTGACACTAAAGCTGGACAGACCGGTCATGTCCCAAGCATCATCCTAGTAAATCAAAACATTACAGGTGGCCAGAGATTGAGTAATCTCCTAACAAAAGCCCCCAGTCATCCTCCAGGCAGCCCAGCCTCCCAGCTAAGTGCAGAAACCAAATCTGCCAATCAGCTATTGTGGTGGGAATTTCAACCCAAAAGCAGCGGTTATTGCTACCTGGTTGTCAGGGTATGAAAGTGGACTCCACCATGCACCCAAGATTGAGTCCCACTTTGCTGTGATCGCACTTAATTCTCCAGGATGAAACACCTTGCCAAGACCTCTCATTCTTGCCATGCTTAATTGGCCTGAGCACTCCAGGTACGAGCCCTTTGTGGCCAACACTAGTAACACGAGCAAAAGCAGCCCCCTTCCCTGAACAGCATATCTACTTAATGTGCTTATTTTGAAAGGATTCTCCACTTACAGCTTGCTCTGTTAGATTGGAGAAGATTGTGAACATAATCAGTTTGCTATCCACAGATGTGGGGTTCCGGCTGGATTGGGGCCTTGTAGCTTCTCTAGACTAGCCCTTCCCCCAGCACAGCATCCTTTGTCACCACAGGCCCTCCCAGTGCCCTCCAAGAAGGGGACCCCAACACCGTGCTCATAGGCATCCAAAAATGGGAAAAGAATGTTTCAAAACTTCTTCTTTCATTTTCTTTCTTTTTGCAAATACAAATAAATGATTTTGTGTAAAATGCATAGAAGGATCTTGCAATTATGCATGAGCATCAACAAAATAGTCCAAACTAGTACCAGTCTGAGGTGGCCATTTAAATGCCACCTGCTCATATTTCAAATGTGTTGTAAATTCCTCAGTCTATTGCATTATATGAAATGAAGATCCATCTCTCCAATTTTATAATGTCACTGCTTTGGATATCAAACATGTTATTTCCCCCTTTCATTTGTTAATTTCTATCGAGCAGTTAAATAATTTAAAAGAATATGTACCTTAGTGAATATGGAACACTGTTCATGTAGAAAATTTATCTGTTAATAATTTCCTTGCAAACAGAAGCAACTACTGCACCTTGCTAAATCATTTGTTTAAAAGAAGCACTAGCTGTCCCACATTAGCTAGAAATTGGCTGAAGTAGATAATCCTTATTCAGTTTGACATATGATAGACGCTTAATTTTTCTACCCAACTAAAACACAACCTAAGCCCCATAAATACAAGAGCATGCAGTGGTTAGGCATTATGTGGTGGTGCCCAGAACTGTTTTTCAAATTCCCCGAAGTGCCCATAGGTCCAAAAAAGAACCCCGATCTAGAAGATGTGGAGGCTCGGTGCAGTATGATAATCTACTAAAAGGGAGGTTGTGAAGCCTCGTTGCAGCATGAGCCAGAGGCACCTGCCGCTCAGCTGTTGTCTTGGAATAAAGTCCTGAGCTTAGTGCTTTACCATCGTGTTCAGGCTCCTCCTTGGGATTCCTCAATTGGCTCGAGTGCTCAGGGTATATTTACCTAAAGGAAAACCAAACAAAAAAAACCTTCGGCCATACTGAGTTGGTACACCTAGTATGATGACACATGATTGTTTTTGTCAACGTGGCTTGCTGTCTTCCACTCTTGGCACACCGGCTTGAGCATGGTATATTAACCACACAGCAGCCATGGTGTGAACCACAGGCTTTTTGCTGGGTTGTTAGGGGTGGCTAGTTCCCGGTGCAGCTGGCTGTGGGCCTTGCACCATGGCTTGTTGGAAAGGGCGACTGAGAGCAGCAAAAAATCTGCTCACTCCTCACTACCTTGGTAGTGTTGCTTTCACTGTTCCTACTCCTTCCTCAGTGCCCTCCAGCCTTCCTTCTCAAGTAAAGCACCACTTGAGAATTTCTTTAACCTGTAAATGTGTGTGTGTGTGTTCCTTTGTAAGGACTCAGATACTTCCTTTGGATTCCTGTTTGCATTTGTTCAAATTTCCTTATATTCTAAAGCAGAGCTGCGGGGGTGGATTGCGAAAATCATGCAGCAATCAGCTATAAAGTCCCCTGTTTGATTTGCACACATTTTCTAAACATATCTAAATTTCCCTCATAAACTAAAGTAGAGCAGGTTCAATCGACAGGAAAAATGTGTAGGAAGTGCTAATTTTTGCAACAAAAGCAGCAACAACAACAACAACAACATCTCCCTATGCGCTTGTGCAAGGGCATAGATTTGCATGCCTAATTGAATGCATGCTGGGTTTGGTTTTGGTTGTTTATTTTTGACATTCCTTTTCTCAGCTGAGCAACCAAAGGAAAATGCTCTTGGAAAGGGAAACCGAATTCTGTACTGTGTAATATGTGTAACTAATCACTAGGTCATGAACAGGTACGGATGAGGAGAGCTGGTGCATGCAGGAACATGGGGATACCCAGAGCTTTACTCCGATGTACACATAGATGTGTGACAGGAATAGGCGGAAGGACTGGGGGAAAGGAACCTCTGCAGTAAAATAGATCAGTGATCAAACAAACTGCCCCTGTGGCTTATGTTCAGCATGGCTTCTCATGACATGTGAACCAGAAACCATTCTCTTTATTGTCTTTCTTTGAAGCTGGTGAGTTTTAGTTACAAAAGATATTTCACTGACAAGTCTAACAAATTAAATTGTGCAGGAATGTCATTAGGCGCATTCCCATGGCCATCTGTCAATTTATTGAAATAGCTAAAAATGTATTTCATCTTTCAGATCATCTATGTATATAGAAACCCTAAGGATGCTATGGTGTCCTTATATCATTATTCAAGCTTTGCACAAACGTCAGCAGATCTGGAAGAGTACATGCAGAGGTATTTAGCTGGGAAAGGTAAGACTGAAATGTGCTGGTGTTTGGAAAAAGTATATGCACAGAATATGAATTCAAAGAACTCCAGAGAACAGGGGCCTCACCTGTGCTGCTGCTAAAGGTCTGCTGATTGGTATTAGGAGTTGGCGGAAGAACCTTTCCACTCATGGGGCAGTATGTCCGCCCCAAGAGCCCTGGTACACATGCAGAAAGCTCTGCAGGCATTCAGTCACCACCAGGGTTAGCGGGCAGTTCCAGGAGGACGATTTTCTGTGTTGCAGGACTGTCGGTGTTGCATCCACCTCAGCCACAGACAACTTGTTCCCCTCCCACCCCAGGATCAGGCCCCATAGTCACCAGCCTGAAACCGGCCTTGTTCATTTCTGTCCCACTGTTTAAAAAAAATCAACCCAAACACCCTGTCTGAGGCACAATAAGCTGGTAGGGCCTGGGGAATAGAGGATCCCACCCCCATTTGACTCTCCCTCACTTACTCTGCCCATTATATCGCAGGAAGAGTAGTTGGGAAGAAAATGAAGTTCCTCCTGTTCATTGCCTGGCCACTGAGACAGGCAAGGGCAGCATGAAAAGGACTCTTCATTGTAGCTGCACACTAGCAATAGAGAGTGAGCCCATCTCCAGCCAAGACCAGCTGCCATAGTCATTGTACACAGTGAATGTATGCACTGGTGTTTTGCAGTGTTAGTAACAGAATACGTACGTTGTAGCAGAAAACATTTGGTTACTTTTGCACATGGTACTTTTGTACATGAACGGCAATTCTTCTGAGGGCATTTGGTGTCCAAACATTTTCCTCCAGGCTTATCTATTTGAATTCTGACCTTCAGACTGAGGTTTATTTTATATTTTCATCCCTTTTCTGTCTCTCTGGTTTAACACTAAGTAACTGACCTACCAGTGTTCTGACCCTTGTGGTTTGGTTATCAGGAAAATTGTATTTTCTTCCGCCCCTCCTTCTGAGCACGGAGAATCCTTGTGCCATATGATCACTAATGTCGTATGGGGCAACCCAGACACAAAGCATACCTAGAGAAGAGCCAGCACCATGCTGTTTCTCTGGACCATTTGCCAGGGGTGGGGCACAAGCCTACTTTTTCTGGAGTCTGAGAAGTTGATGGTTTCCGTTGGTGTGAATTGTCTGCTTCTGCCAGCTTCTGCTCTTCTTGAATCTGGTATGATGAAACTGAATAGGAATCTCTAATCTGGATGGTAGAAGGGCTGACAAGGTTGCTTTCAAAGTGTTGCTTCTGACACACAGAAGTGTTGCGCCTTGCTTCCTTACGACCTTGCATCGAAATGTCAGTTTTTCCTGCAATTTGCTTCTTGGACTTGTAAGTCTTGCCTAGCTCCTTTTTTTGATGGAGAGTTGGTTGCAGGTCATTTTGTACTGCCAACCTTCTTCAAGGGAGCTGGAGTCTGCAGTTCTGAAAGGTTTCTTTAAATCACTGACCACTCTCCTCTGAGAAGGGTATAAACACAGGAGCTTCTGGGCTGAAGTTGCCAGAAAGCTAAGAAGATTAGCTTGTTGTTGAGCTCTCAGGGCCCCTTCCTTGACACTCAGTCCAGATTGTGGCCCTGGGATTGGCCTTTATGGGTGAAGTTGGCATCTGGATTATTTCTTTCGCATTCACAATGATTCTTCTGATGAGGATCCCACAGAACATTCCTCCTTCTCTGCGTTCAAGGAATTTCTTCCTTAACAGACATCGAGATTGGACAGGCAGCACAACCATTTTTACTTTGTGTTAAAGCAAAATTTGGACCAGGACTTAGGGATTTATTCCAGTGGAAACCGCTTTTTCTGCAGGGGAAATGTTACTGACACACCTCCCTGCCCTCTGACGGTGTTTTCTGTGGGTTCAGAGGTTCCTATAATAGAACTCCGCTGCTTCTAGCTCTTCCACTACGCAGTCCTTGGCACTGGATTGCAATCTGAGAACTTGACAGGGACCTTTGCAGCAGGGCTGCAGGACATCTTTCCTCTGTTTTTACATACACACTCCCTGTCTTTCAGTTGAATAGGATGGCACAGTTCATCTCATGGAGTGCAGCTTCAAGGCTTGGTTAGAGCTTGCAGTAATGGAATATTTCGTCACTTGCCGACAGAATACTCTGAAGAAGCACTTTAACTGGGGAAGAAATTGTTGAAAAAAATGGAGAGGAAGATAGAAAATATCTGGCCATTTTAACTTGGTTGTACAACAAGTCTCTTTAGAGCTTCTGTTTCCATTGCAGCCAATGCAAGGTGATCGAGTCAATAGAACTTTTGGCTGCAATTTATTTTGCCTACAGAAGAATGTGCTCCTCTGGTTGAGTTTATGGGCAGTGGTCCAACAGCAGCTTCTTGTTCACAGCGTTGCCCACGTACATGCTTGCGTATAACTTGCCATGAATGCATGCAAACTTTAAACTAGAACATATCTCGAGGAAACACCTGGACACATGGTAAAATCGAATTCTGTCTTTTGTCTTACATATTTGCCCACATTTTGGGCCTCACAAATAGGGTACACACAGCCATAGTGCCAAGCTTGTACAAGAAAATTGTGGAGCCAGTCAAACAAGTTTCACAGTCTCAATCATTTCAGAATAAGGCTTTTAGCACAATCAGAGAGCTGAGTCTGCCTGCTCTCATTGTGGTGCAGAACACACCCTTCAGCTACCAGGATGCTTTTTTACGTCTTTAACCAAGCGAACCACACATCTAATCACTACTACATGCACTAGTAACTCTACGGCAACCAGTAATGCATTTACAAAAAGACTATTCTAAATATGAACCTCACATTGAGCAAAAGCTCTTCTATGCTCACTTTTTCATTTTTCTGAACTTTTAGTTTTGGGATTGCAATCACCAGTTTGTTTCCTCATGATTTAAAGCACAGAGTTGAACCTTCAGCCTTCACCATCGCTACTTGCACAAACATTTTCTTCTCTTTTGGCTGTTCATCTAGGTCTGCTCCTGCCCCAGGGAATTCACCCTGAGTCTTTTTATATAGAAGTACTTGCTGGTGTTGTTTGTCTCTCCTACAGTTGGATCACAAACTAGAGGGACTTCTTTTTGTCCCCGACAGTAGGGCATGGCAGCATCAACAACTGGACACACACTTCAGAATCAGAATTCGACATTCATCTGTCGCGATGGAGGAGGAAGCAAGAACTGGGACATGCACCAGAGCGACAACTTTTTCTGTGATGCACCTGCCGGCACTTGTGTAGAGGAAGGAGAGTGAGAGCGCCAGATAGACAACAGATGCAAACATCATCCTCATCCAGGCTTAAAACCAGCCAGGGAAGGAGCAAGAGGATTACTGTTAGTGAGGGGGTGGTGCTGGGACTGTGTGACCCTAGCTGTTGAGCTTGGCAAAAGTGCAGAGGTGTTGCACTTGCAGCAGCTCTTGGGCATTTGTACCAACTGTTCCTGCACGGGCAAACTCAGGGCATGGCCTATTCTGAATGACAGCATGACAAGGGAAGAACCTCGATTGAAACTGTTTATCTGTTTTTCTTTATTTTTTTCTTGCCTGGCAGTTGTGTGCAGTTCGATTTTTGATCATGTCAAAGTCTGGTACTCTCATAAGAATGAACTCGATATTCTCTTCCTTTCCTATGAGGAGATGATTAAGGTAAGATTGGTCACTTTCCCAGTGTTTGATCTCTACAGGTGAAAGTCCAAGCAGTACCAAGGAACTTTTACGATGTTTCTTTGCTATCATGGGGTCCCCTGCTGGCCAGGTATGTGGAAGCCTCACTGCGACTCTGATTCCAAAGAGCCTGTTGTGCAAGTAAGGTGGGCTTCAGGGCCATCCCAGGCACTGCTTTTGCTCATGTTCATCTAAACACACTACTGAGGGAACTTTCCAATGGGTACAGATTCCTCCTAGAACTATTTGGCCAGTAGAAAACTATACCCTGCCGGTCCATTTTGGCCCTCCTCTCCCTTTTCTCTTCCTTAAGTAGTCAGCATTTTTAAGCTTTTGAAGCTCAGGAAATGGAACAGTGCAAGTTGCTTCTTTCTGCTGCATAATGGGCAAGCAAAGTAGTTATTTGGTGGGTTTAAACAGCACGTTGCTCTGGGACAAGGTCAAGGTGTTCTTCAGGTAACTTGGCCTTGTGACCCCCACTTTACCTCTGCAGCTCACTTGGATGAAATCTTAGAAGGACTGACTTTATTCACAACACTCCCTTTAGCAGTACCAACCTATGCATGTCTGTGCAGAACTGTGTCCCTGGATTACTCCCTGGTGAGTGTGTATAAGATTCAGAAAACTCAGAAATGAATTATCCTTCTTCCAGGACCTGAGAGGTGCTGTCTTAAAAGTTTGTGGGTTCATAGGAAAGCAACTGAGCAGCCAGGAGGTGGACAAAGTTGTGGAGATGGCTACGTTCGAAAATATGAAAAGAGACCCGAGGGCAAATAATGTGGTCACTGCTAAAGAAAGATTCAGGAGAAAGGACATGCCGCATCTACGCAAAGGTGATACTGAGACCACAAAATCCAGACATGTGTTTGCAGCATGAAGTATTGCAATGTTTTCCTTTTCACCTAAAGTTGGGGTGCACCGCTTATTTGTACCCAGTGGCCCATACACACAAACACACCCACTGGGGGTTGGGGAGATCTGTGCACACACAAGGACATACACATGTGGGCTGGAGTGGAGGAAGAAACACTCACCTACTGGGTGGGAAAGGGGCTCACATATGTGGCCCGAAGTTTGGCTGGGCAGAGACTGAAACCTCACTCCTGCCCGTGCTCCCAACCAGACTGAAATGTCAGCAGCAGGAAAGCAGCAGTCCTGGTGGTGGAAGGAAGCTGCAAAAACAGTCCGGTGGCCAGCAGTAGTCCAGTGAGCCCCTCATGGGCAGCTGTGCTGGAAACAAAAGCAAGATGTTTGGTCTCTGCAATGCACAAATTCTTCAATGCTTTCCTGCATCTGGAAATGGCAACAAGACACATTCAGTCTCCCTGCTGCCACTGTTATGCCGGTCAACAGCCACTGGCCATTCCTAAGGATGCCATCAATGTATGGCATTGTAGTTCCGCTAGGCTGGAGCTGACAATTCCTTGGTTCCCATGAGGAAGCTTCACTGCATTTCACATTGCTATTGCTGTCAAGTACAGATTCTCAGCCCAGCCTACTTCACAGGGTTGTTGTAGAGATAAGACTGAGAGCAGCAGGAGGAGACTGATGCAAGCTGCTTTAAGTCCTTTAAAAAAGGAAAAGTGCAACATAAATCTAATAAACAAAATCACTGCTTTTAAAAACATTCTTAAGAAATCAACATTGGCCATAGGTTGGGCCAATCATGCTGACTCCATGGACAAGTTTGCATGAACATAGAGGAAAAAGAAGCTGTGGAAACTGCTTTCCTCTTCCACTTTTGACAATCCTCTTTTTTAGCATGCCCAGTAAAAGTGGGTGTAGGAATGACCCTTAGCATCAGAGTCCTTGTGGAGGTCAGGGCCCAGATGTGTCCTGGTCTTCCTTCAAGAATGTGCTCCAGGATGCCTGGAGGAGCACCTAGAGGGACCTGGAAAACAGGCTTGATGGCTAGTTGCCTTTAGCCATCTCCAAAAAAATAGCTTTAAAAATAAAACTCAGGCTGCAGCAAGCCCAAAATGGCTCACAGTGGGCATGACTCTTGCGTGTGTGGAAGGAAGTCATTGCATCTGCTCGCAAGTGCCCTTTGGGGACTTTGGATGGTAGCCACTGGCTAATCACTTGGCAGTAGTCTAGTATTACAGGTAAAATCAACTGAATTTTCTCATTGCTTCTCATCAGGTACCATTGGAGACTGGAAAAATATAATGACAGTGTCACAGAGCGAAAGGTTTGACAAGGTCTTCCAGGAGAAAATGAAAGACATACCTCTCAAATTCATCTGGGATATTAAAGAAACAAAAAAACCATGATTAGCATGAAAAGTGTAGCAGAAGACAAAGCCTTCCTCTCTTTTCCAGATAAAATGCTTAAGTGGTTTAAAAACAGAATGAATTCATTAATATTTTAAATATATTTTACTCAAAGCTTTTGGGGAAAGTATACATTACAGAGAAGTTATACATGTATTTATGCAGAAATGTTTTAACATTAGGGAAAAAGATCTGAAAAGTATGGAATAAACTATTTTGTGGTGCCATCTTATTTCTGGAGCCAGAGCCATCAGACGGACAAGATGCCGCTCCTGGAGGCATAAAAATCCAACCTCTGCTAAATATTCTTTTTACTCAAATAGACATAGGTCGTGGTCTAGAATTGATATGGTTTGGATAACCCCAGACTTAGTACCAGACTTGGTAGAAGCTGAAATAGAGGCAAATGTCTGGGCGGATCACAACCCTGTAGCTATATCACTGAAAGGAACAGCAATGACGCCCAGATGGAGCTTAAATAAAGCCTTATTAAAGGATAAAAAATTTATAGAAGAGATAAATAAGGAAATGCAAGTATTCTTTCAAATAAATAAAACTGAAGAAACCGCTCTACAAAATGTCTGGGATACAGCTAAAGCCTATGTCAGGGTATTGATAACATATTCAGCAAAAATAAACAAAAAGAAAAAGCAAGAACGAGCAAAAATAGTAGAGGAATTGACAAAATGGGAACAAGAACTGCAGGAAGATCCATCCAAAAAAAAAAAAACAAAACCTTAAGGTCCAAATGAATATTTTAAAGCATAAACTGAATCTCTTGGACACAAATGAACTTACTAAGCAAATGACATTGGCCAAACAGAATTTCTTTGAAAATGCAAATAAACCAGGGAGATGGTTAGCCTATAAAGTAAAGAAAGAGAGAGAGAAGAGACTGATTTCTAAATTGAAGGATGGAGAAGGACAACTACAAGTTCTAAGTATGCATATTAAGAAAATAGCAGAAAATTTTTTACAAAGCTATATCAAAATGATGAAATCTCAACTGAGAAAGTAAAAGAATACATCCGAAAGGGAGATTAACCAAAACTACCGGAGAATATCAAAAAGTATTGAATCAAGAAGTAACAACTATGGAAGTAATAGAGGCAATTAAGCAGCAAAAGAACGATAATAGTCCTGGCCCGGATGGGCTGCCAGCAGAGTTTTATAAATCCTTTGAAGGAGTTTTTGCTACGCTTCTTAAAGATATATGTAATGCAGCACTGTTAAATGCTAAAATACCAAATACTTGGACAGAGGCAAATATTACATTAATACCGAAAGAAGACACGGACTTAACGCAGATTCAAAAGTAAAGACCTATATCATTATTAAATGTGGATTACAAAATTTTTGCCTCCATAATGGCAGAAAGATTAAAGAAATTTCTAATAGACTTCATTCACTCAGACCAAAATGGTTTTTTGCCTAAAAGACAAATGAGGAATAATTTGAGAACTATCTTGGATATTCTAGAGTATTATGAGATACATATGGAAAAACCAATGGCTTTATTATTTATGGATGCACAGAAAGCCTTTGATAATGTCAACTGGCAATTTATGAAGCAACAGATGGCCCAAATGGAGTTTAGTGAAAAGTTTATTAATGCAATATCAAGCATTTGATAAAAAGCAGTTGGCTAGGATTATAATTAATGGAGAATTTACAAAGATTATAGAGATACAAAGGGTACAAGACAAGGATGCCTTTTATCACCTCTGTTGTTTATACTGATTTTATAAGTGTTGAACAGGAATATCAGGGATGATGCAGACATTAAAGGTACCTGAATTAGAGATGAAAGCTACAAATTGCAAGCATTTGCAGATGACCTGGTTTCCATAACGGAGGAACCCTTTGCAACAATGCCTAAGCTCCTGCAAAGGATTGAAGAATATGGCAAGGTTACTGGGATGAAAATAAATAGAGAAAAGATGAAACTGTTAGTAAAAAATTTATACAAGACCAGAGAAAAACCATGCAGGAACAAGTAGATTTGCAGATTGTTGAAAAGGTTAAGTATTTGGGAATTTATCTTACAGCTAAGTGTACTACTCTGAAAGAGGACAATTATGGTAAACTATTGAAGGATATTAAGAGTGATCTGGAAAAATGGGCTAATTTGCAATTATTTTTGCTGGGAAGAATAGCACTTGTTAAAATGAATATATTACCAAAGCTTTTGTTTTTATTTCAAATGATTCCCATAAAAATGATAGAAGTTTTTCTGATGATTTAAATTTTCAAATTTCAAGATTTATATGGAGAAAGAAGAAACCAAGGATTAAATTAAAAATACTTCAGGAAGCTCAAGAGAACGGGGGTTTTGGTCTTCCTGATTGGATGTTGTATTATCAAGCTTCTGTTTTAACATGGCTAAAAGAATGGATAACTTTAAGAAATAAGAGAATTTTGTATCTTGAAGGGCATGCTTTGCAAATGGGCTGGCACGCTTATATGTGGTATGAGAAGGCTAAGTCACATGGTTCTTTTTTAAGTCACTATATTAGAAAATCATTATTGTCAGTGTGGGAAAAGTTAAAGATAAAACTGTATAATAAATTACCAAGATGGCTTTCACCCATGGAAGCTTTTGTGTATCCAAATGCATTGAATTTTGAGGGGATTATAAGATATGATGACATCTTGGATAAGGATGGAGGACTGAAATTGAATCAAGAAACACAAGAACAGGGATCTAATATCTCTTGGTGGCATAAGGTGCAGATACAATCGAGATATGCTAAAGATTGTAAAGTGTGGGGTTTTTATAAGGACTTAACAGCATTTGATCAAGTGATGCTTAAATCAGATGAGAAAATGGTTAAAAGATTATATGACTTCTTACTTGATCGGAAAATGGAAGACGAACAGGTTAAGGAAACTATGATAATGTGGGCACAAAATTTTGGATGTAATATTGAATTAGAAAAGGGCAAAAGCTGTGGGAGAGAAATATTAAGGTAACATTAGCAACTTCGTATAAAGAAAACTTGTATAAAATGTTTTATAGATGTTATCTGTCGCCAAATAGATTAGCTAAGATGTTTCCAAATGTCAAATGGATGTTGGAAATGTAAGCATAAATTGGGTACTTTTTATCATATGTGGTGGACTTGCGATAATGTGAAAATGTATTGGATTAAAATACATAAATGGCTCGAGGAATGTTACAAAAATCCTTAGCTTTTAAACATGAAGTTTTTTTATTAGGCATTATACCGGAGGACATTAGTAAACAAGAAATGTATTTGATTTTACATGTAATCACTGTGGTGAGGATTGCATTCGCCCAACACTGGAAAAGTGAAGAACTACCCACCGATGAACTGATTCTAAAAAAAATCCTGGACTGTGAAGATACGGATAGACTGACTTGATCATTGAAGGTGAAGGAAGATACTGACTTCTATCAAACTTGGGACTCTTTTTATTATTGGCTAGAGAAACGGGACTTCACGTAGATTTAAATATGTTCTTAAGTTATCATAAATGGAAAAAGAAGGGTGTGGGGTCTGACCCAGCGGGCTCAATGTTTTTGATGATGCATGTTGTTTGTAGTTTTCTTTTTGTTTTTTAGGATTATAATTTCAAATAAAACTTATTTTAAAAAATGCTGCTCCTGTTCCCATCCCATGTACCAAAGGGGCGCATAACATGTATCGGCGGCTGACTCTGTAATGTGTGTAACAGGACCATGCCGGGCAACAGGCTAGCCTAAGACTTTCCCAGAAGGAAGCTCCATTTGTGTGCAGTTAAAACTGGCTGAAATCTGAGTAAGGCGATTAAGGATAGCATGATTTACTCCAGAAGGCTGGGCAGTGACAGAATTGCAAAGAATGAATACTCAGACTCATGGTTAAAGATCTACACATCTGAACTTCTGCAGCTTTATTGAATTGGTGCCCCAGTTCCTGCAGTAACTAAGGACAGGGTGCTCCTGGGTAGACTAGGCAAACTCAACTACTAAATCACAGCTCAGGTACAGACACTTTTATAACCTGCTAGTCACGTACGCAGAGTGTTAAGTTTCCAGAGAATGTTAGTACAGTAGCATCTTGATGTCTATGGGCATGATACACTGTTCTAAACCAGAAATCAGAAATACTGGTACCCACAGTATGGAAAATATCACTGATTGCTTTATTGACATGTCAGTTCAGTAGATTCCTTGCAGTTTGGATCAGCCTCTGTGTCTGTTTAAACATGCAAATATGTCTGATTGAGGAACCATTCAGGAAAAAATGGTTCGACAAGTACACTGCATAGGTGCTTACCTCTGTGGAACTAGATGATTAAATGGGTCCATTCAGAAACAAATGGACAGCTTTGTCTCAGCTGTCTGCAACAAATAGGAACACCGGATTTCCCCACTGGTAGTATAAGACTGCAGCAGCTTCTCAGCCCAGCTAAGAATTCCATCATCCTAAAGGAACAGCAATCCTAACACTCATCTGGCTTGGAATGCTACTGCTTTCTGAGAAACAGGCACAGGTGTGATTTTATTAGATAAAGGCACATAGGAGTAACTTTTTTCTACCAGGATTTATGCTGAGTTTCCACAACAGAAGCCATGTTAGCTCCATAATACGGTACTGCGTCGCGGTCTCCCGTCCATTTTCCTTCTAGTTCGGTCTTTTTCCTTCTCCTTATGACAGACCGCCTGCAGAAAGAGGGAGAAATCATAAGCTGCTGCTCGTTCTGCTAGCAACCTTGTCATATCAGCAATTTCCAGAGGAGCACAAGCTGACCTTTCTTTCCTTCTCAGTGACGCCCAAGAGGAGGGGCAAGAGAGTAGAGTAAATAAGAGTAAATAAGTAGAGTGAGTAAGTAGCGTAGGAAAGTGCAGACCGCCTGCAGAAAGAGGGAGAAATCACAAGCTGCCGCTGGGTCCGCCCGCAACCCTGCCATATCAGCAACTGCAAGAGCGGCATCAGGAGGACGTCCTAGAGGAGAGGCTGAAGAGCAGAGGAAGTAAGTAGCGTAGGAAAGTGCAACCCCACAGGACTTGGCCTCGCAAAGCTGTTTACTCACCGCTGGTGTTCTGTCCTCCTCAGCTGTGGAAAAAGGTTTGTCTCTCTGTTCATCTTGGTCTCGGCTGGTTTGCTGCTTTGGTCCTGGCACGCCCGGCAAACTCACTGCCCCGGGAAACAAGTTTTTTGTGGCGAACACGTCTTTCTCTCAGCCAGACTCTGGTTCTGGGGACATGCTTGACAACCTGGGGGGCAGTGGGGAGGGCAGAGGGAGAAGCTCGCGAAACAGCTTCCCATCGCTTTACGCTCCGGGAACGTGGTGCTTCTGGGAGTGACAGAGTGTAGCTTCTTCGTACGCTGGTTTCTTGCTTCGTGGCTGCAGTACAGCTTTGTCAGCTCTGAATTGGAGCGGGTGAGCTACTCACCCTCAGTTGAGCAGTCCCACAAGAGTATATGCTGCAGCATAAACTCGCTCTGGCTCTCGTATACAGGGATGAAATAGAGAAAGAACTGGTCTGAAGAAATGTGGGCTGGAATGGTAGAAACCGAGTGCAGAGATCATTCTGGGAGGAGTGCGGCGCGCCGTGCAGGGGAGCCAGGTGTGTCCCCAAGGAAGGGCCGGCCCGCTTCTGTGCACCGAAGTTTTCTTGCAGCCATGCCCGCTGCCCTGCCCATCTTCATGTCCAACACCCAGACAAGGACCTGAATAGCGGAATGTTGTGTGCCATTTTGCACGGGTATCTTCCTTGCGACGTAAAAAAATCATTAAATCGAAAGGGTGAATTGTGGAAATTGTTCTGGTTACCAGATACAAAAGGCCTTTGGTCATCACTTAGATTTTCATGTTTTGTGGGAAGCCATTCCTATTAGTGGTTATTAATTTTTGTTTTGTTTTCCACGATTGGAGGAGCAGTTACTGTTAGTGGAGGTCCATTGTTTTTGGTTTGATATTTTCTATGCTTTGTGTATTGCTGCATCTTTCTAAGCAAAAAAGGAAAAATCAAGAATTGCCAGAAAGAACCCCGAGATAACAAATGGTGATGACAAATGGGCCTAAAGACACAAGAATCAGGAGGTCCCTGTGCTGTATCATATACTTCTGCCATATCCCTTCTAAGTCAGATATGGCGGCACGAAGAATAGCAGCAGCATGCTGATATCCCTGGATTCAGGCTGCCAAGAGTGATTAAGAAAAACACCCAAAGAGAGATTGCTGGTGTTGTACAATCAAAATAACATTTACAGCTTTTCAGACATACTGGAAAATACTTGTAATGTATGCAGTCCCCAAAGGGGCAACAAAGAAGCTTATTTAAGAGGGTGCTTCCAGAGGACAGGCAGGCAACTAGCATGTCTAAGGTGTACCTGGGGAGCAGGACTTGCAACATAGACGCCTGATAGGGTCAGGAATTGCATCTTAAGTCTAAAAGGAACTGTAAGGGAGTCAGGCTTTAAGCCGCTATCTTATGGCAAAGCTTTTGCTCATTCTGTCCTGACAAGGGACAATTCATGCAATAAAGCTGAGGGTGTGCTATATATGGCTTGTTGGATCCCTGCCAGACCCACCCACATGAAATCAGTTTGCAAATCAAATTTGCTTTGATCTTTGGATGGTTGAATGACCATTCAGGCACATAATGAAGCAATCACTTTCACCTCCCCACGCTGCCCCAGCTACTGTCCTCAACCCCAGTGATGTAGTTTTAATATAACCAAAAGGGGAGGGAGTGATCTGTGCTCCTCGGCCTTTTGCAGAAGATGAACCCAAGTTTATTAACCTTGGATAGTGACAGTAAGCATTGCTAGTAGTTGGGAATGATGGGGCCTCTTGGATTGGCTGGATGGCTTCATATCACACCAATTTTGCAGACTACAAAATTCTGACTTTGGAGAGCCTTTTGTCTCCTGCTGGATCTTGATCTGAGGTGAGGTGCTACTCCCTGACCAAATGCTGAAAACTTAACAGCAGGAGTGCCTGCATTAAGTCTTAGTGTAGACTTGGCTTTGCTGTTTTATGCCTGAGTCTGGGTGCTTGGGATTGCGATGTCACATATTTCTGAAGCATTGTAACATTGCTACCAGCTACTTGCCCTTGCCTGTTACTTTTCTGTGCCCCAGTTCCCCTCCGCCTTTCTTACTGTTGTCATAAACTTTTCTTTAACGTGATCTGGTACATGGTGAGTTGTGGTGCTAAATCTGACATCTTGGCTGAGAGGGCTGAGCTTGGTTACTGGATTGCTTTTTGGTCAGAGGCAGGTGAGAGAGGAGCTCTTCTGGCTTAGCATTGCAGGAATCACCTTTTTGTCTAATATAACCATGCCATATAAGCAATCAATGAATGTCTTAACATTCAGGGCACCACTGAGTAAAAAAGATGCAAAATGTGATCAGTCCCATGTGTAGGACTCATGACAGCCTCACAGATGACAGCCTGATCCAGACCAGACAAGGCAGGAGCAACATGATCTTCCCCTGGCACGTTGCTTCTGAACTGAGGATGAAAGGCAGATGAAACTTTGTGGGATCAGTTTTCCGAGAAGTCTGCTCAAGCCTCAGTAATACTTAAGTGATCAAACACCTTATCCAGAGAGAAGCCATGGAAAACGGGTGCTTTATGCTGTTCCTGACCTGGCAACCTGCACTACATACCAGTCACTAGACACGTCATTTCTGTTTGTGTGGAAGAACCAACCATGAATGAGGACAGATACCACAGTTCTGATGTCCCCTTTCCCCAACATGTCTTACTGTGTCTGTGCTGGCCAAGTTTATGCTTGGTTTAACAGATACAAGCTCAAGGTCGGCAGAGTTGCAGAGCGATTGATTGTTTTCTTTTGCTCTCTGTTTTTAATTACAGTCAGAATGCAGTTCAAAGTCTTCTAAATGTTCAGTTGTGCCCCGTTTATGAAAGCCAAAAATCTTAACCTGAAACTTGCTTCCTCCTAGGTATCTAAAGTTTTCCTTTCATTGTGCTCAATTTGAGACTTCATTAAGTAGCAACCCAGTATTCAAGAACTGACAAAGCAAAACTACGGAGAGGTAATTCTAAAGTGTTGGTTTTGGTAGTGTGACAGAGGATTCAGCAATCATGGATGAGGAAAGGGACTAATTGCATACAACTTAATACTTTCCATTATTACTTTAATACAGTAGATTGGCACATTTGCCCTAAATAACTATTTTTCCCACAAGTATAAATCATGAATGACCTAAAATATTATTTTATTTATTTTTCCTTATTCTACAGTTTTAAAAAAATAATTCTAATATGAATTTACCAAAACAAACAAAGCCATTTAAAAGAAAAAATGCAATTTTCCTACAGGAAACTATTATATAGTTTTATTTATTTAGCTTTAGAAAAGTAGACCAAGAATGCAAGTATCTAGCCATCTGCAAGTGGCTCTTAAATAACACCTAATACTGAAAGAATTGTTAGGTCCTGCATCCACTGTGTTGTAGGAGTTAGGTATTCATCTTTCCAGTGTTTTAGTATCAGTGTTTTAGCTGTCAAAAGGATACAGAAAATCCACTTGAATTGTCCTTATGAACCCTAAAATGTTTGTTTCTTTTTGTTCTTTTTCTACTGGTTTTTAAAATTAATTTTAATGTGAATTTCATGAAAGCAAACAGAACACTTTAAAGGGAAAAATACAAATTTCTTGCAGGAAATTAAATCAATCACTTAGAATAATTGTGCATGAAAGCACCTTGGCTCACGAACTTAATCTGTTCCAGGACTCTGGTCATGTCCCAAATTGGTTGTGAGCCAAGTTAAATTTCCCCATAAGGTTCAATGTAAATAAGGTTAATCCATTCTGTAACTATTTTTTTTAATTAGAAAAATGTGAAGCAAAGTGACAAAGAACAACAAAGATGGCTTCCATCTCCCGAGCACGAGCACGGCCATCTCCCTGCCCCCCAGCACAACCGCCTGTCATCCCTGCATACACCCGTCATCCCAGCACGCTGGAGGGGGGGGGGGAGACAGGCCCAATTGTGCTGGGGGGGAGATGGCAGAGATCGCGGCTGTGCTCATGTAGGAAGGACAGGCATGATCTCGGCCATCTCCCCCCGCCCACCCCCAGCACAATCATGGCCATCTCCCCACTCAAGGGGGTGGGGAGAAGATGGCCACGATCGCGGTCGCCACCCGATGCAGTTTGCGACCTGTGGCAAAAAATTTTATGAAATTTCTGTTCGTGACCCAATTCGGTTGTGAACTGAGGCGTTCGTGAGTCGAGGGACCACTGTATATAAAGTCCATATGTGAGTATGTGATGATATGGTTATCAATTAAAAACAGCCATGCATTAGCTTTAGAAAATGTAGATCAAGTATCCAAGCATTTATCCATCCACATGGCCTTTAAATACCACCTGTTCATATATTGAAAAAAAATGTTAGTTCCTCCATCTACATTGTTATAGGAAACAGGTTTTAACTTTCCAAATCCAATGTTTTTTTAATAGCTGTGCTTTATCTCTCAACAAGGCATGGAAAATCCATATAGCCTTTTCTTGTTGTAAGTTCCATATAGCAGATAAGGAATGTGTGGTGGGATGGTTAAGACTGTGGGTCTGAGACCTGGGTGATCTGGGTTCTAGGCCCTGCTCAGCCATGGAGCCAATTTGGTAAAACTGGCCAGTCGCAGACTCTCAGCCCTACCTAGGCTCACAGGGTTGTTGTTGTGGGAATAAGTTGGAGAGCAGCAGGAGGAAAATGATGTAAGCCATGCTGAGTTCTTTAAAGAAAAAAAAAGTGGGATATAAATTGAATAAACCAATCAATAAAGTGAAAGAATGTTGGCATCTATAAATAATAAAGCATATTCTAATTCCAAGTTTATGCATATTGTAACTTCCACTGGTCCAGAAGGTTCGGGTTTGAAAAAAGTCATAAACAGAATGTTTAAAAAATGAATTTTGGATTAGGAAGGGGTCTTCCTAAGAGAGGGGAAGGAAAGAAAAAGAAGAAAAAGAGAAGGGGGGAAATAGATATAAATATTTACCATATAACCAAAGGTCTGAGTGTAGGAGTACACCTTTTTGTTCAGTATTATATAATTTAATTATTAATTACCTTGATTGATTTATATTACTACATTTACTTGTAAGTGTTTTTCTTTTAAACTTTTGTTCCTATTGATATATTTTTGTATTGTATTATTAAGTTTCTTAATAAATTTTTTTTAAAAAAAAGAAAAGCATGCATGCATGAATGTTGAGATTATGGGAAAAGTTTCCCATCCATTATATTATGCAAGGAATGTTTATAATGCAATCATATGATTTAAATATAGAGAGGAGACATCTTGTTCATTAATACGATATTAATGTGAATTGATGTTATGAAACATCTCAGGAAACATAGCAAGGAAGGACATAAGAAACTATGTTGTATGTGGTCAAACCATTCTCCATCTGGTTAAGTATCATCCACACCTTACAGGCAGTGGCTCTCCAGAGTTTTGGAAGTCTTTCCCTGGTTTACCTGGAGATTCCACAGGGGATCTTTGTCACGCAAAGCATCTCCTCTACAACCGCCGTGCAACCCATCTTCACTACTTTGGGGATTCCCTGCCAGTCGGTGTGGATGGCAGCAGACCTGATGGATCACTCTCCAGTGCAAGGCCACTGATGCCCTTTCTTTCAAAGTGTTCAGAGGCTGCTTCAAGCCTGTATCAGAGAAGGGGCTTCTGATCTTTGCTGCACAGATGCTCTCAAAATGAAGCAGATGCTGCTGCGTCACCTTTGTGCATGAACTTCCCCGTTTCACCACACTGAGCTCTACTCATGCTCCATATTGTGGAGTCCCAAGCCAAAGGCAATCTCAGGGGTCACAGCCAGCTATTTGGAATCTCATTGCTCTGGGCCATCCATGTAAGAGCCAGGATTGGTGCCTACAGAAATACAGATAGCTCAAAAGAAAGTTGGGAAAGTTGCTAATTACTTCTGTCTATCTTTGCAGGCCTTCAGTTATGGCTGCAATGGAAACTCCATCATTTCTGTTTAATTTTAAAGGATGCTATTTTGCATCAGATATGATCACACCTGAATATCTTGAAACAATTGAAGATTTTGAAGTGAGGGACAGTGATATATTTGTAGTCACTTATCCAAAATCTGGTAAGAATTCTACGTTATTAATGGAACTCTTTTAAAGAGAAAAAAGCAGGTTTTAAGGACTTTAAGGCTGGAATCCTGTTTAGACTTACCTTGCAGCAAAACCAAATTCAATTGAATTTGATAGGGCTTACCTCTGAATATTCATGCACAGCATTTTGTAGTAAGGTATTTGGACTCAACTTAATTGGAATATATTTTCCATCAGTCTTTGCTGTGTGAGAGATTTTTTTTAAAAAAGCATATGTTAAACGGTAAATATCAGGAAGGGTTTTTGCTTGGTATTAGAGGACATATTTTCAGTGCAAGAGGTCTCAGGTTTAGTTTGTTGTAGGCCCAGCCTGGCAAGGTTACACCTGGGTATGGCATTGCTGGCTTACATCAAGCTAATGGGGCAGCAAATGGTGGCATGTGCACCTGGAAAGGCAGTGCATTTACCCCTCAGCTTGGGAGCTCGCAGGAGCACCTGTCTCAGAAGGCCAATGGGCAGCAGGATGATGAGCTCCCTTTCTCACTGTAATGATGCAAATCATTCACTTCCCATTTTGCTCCAGCTGACCAAATATGACCAAAATGAATCAGTAGTTGTCACATCAAAATCAAGATGTCCATTTCCCTTCTCATTTCAGCATGTTGTGCTCAGCAAAAGTCAGGAGCATCGCTGCAATGAAAGATTTGGTTTCAAAGAACCATCTTAGTGACAAGTGCTGTGGCAGCAATATTGCTGGCATATACCATTCAATTTCATTACTAGAAGGAGTCATAAAGAATATATTGGTGATTTTAAACAGAATAACCCTACACATTGCTCCATGAACATTGCCAAGGTTCCTTTCTCTTGAGAATTAATGTTTCTCTTGATCCTCCAGCCATATGATTGAAGCCAAGTATGTGGCGGTATAGTCCAGTCCTGTGTCTCTACGTTTAGACCAAGACTTGAACAAGTCTGCCCCATAATGAAAGTGACTTGAGAACAAGATCAACATCACTGAATGTGCTTAGTGATATAGCCAATTTCTTTATATATCAAATAATAGTGCTGGCCTTATATAATTCTGTGCTTGAATTAGAATGACTCTACATTTTCTCTTTCGCTTGTGGGTAAAATATGCCATGTCAAGCTGGGATCATTCAGTAAGGTTCAAATAAGTCAGTTAAAAAGAACTATTGAAGGGCCTTGACAGGAAAATTGTACTAGGACTGGGGAGAAGCAGGTTCAAGTCCCCACTTGGCCATGAAGCTCACTGGATGAGTTTGGGCCAGTCACTGGCTCACTATCTTACCTCACAGAATAAGAGGAAGAGAATCACATACTTGGGCTTCGTGGAAGAAAAGTAGGTTATAAACAAAACATTTTCCATTCTAGGAACTGTCTGGATACGGAATATTATGCTCTTGATTATGTACGAAGGCCAACGGAATGGAACAGAGAATTATACCAATCAGGTTCTTGCAATAGATTATAATATAACTAATAAGGATTTTACACAGCTACCATCACCTCGTATCATTACTGCCCACTTGCCATATGATTTGGTTCCGAAGGGACTGAAAAACAAAAAGGGAAAAGTAAGCCAATTTTGTGACTTCTAATAAAACTATTTATTGTACAATACAAAGTCTGTACATACATATTTGTATGCATACATATGCTAATATGTGCTGTGCTGTGCTGGGGACGGAGCTGCTGTGGACAGGGCAGACAGAGCTCTTTTCCTGCCGGGCAGCCCAGGGACCCCCGGGAGACTCACGCCGAACCTCGTGCCGGTGGCTGAAGGGCAACAGCCAAAGGGCAGTGCGCTGCCATTTGGGGCCTCAACGGACTGGGCTGGGCCAGAGACTCTGCCTTTTCCTTTCTTTTTTCTTTTTTATTCTGTCTTTTTCTTTCTTTCTTTTCTTTTCTTCCCCCCCCCCCCCCGCTTTTCTTCTTTTGAGCGACAGTGGTTTATTTGGTTTTATCTTGTGATGGTTTTACCTGGGGAGTATGAGGGTGCCACCATTGGGTGGTGAAGGGCAGGGGGAGCTATGGCGTTGGGGGGGTCTAACTGGCCAGCATAGGAGAAGGAGGGACCGATGTTTGATACCAGTCTCCTCTTCTGGTTACTCCCCCAACCAGAAGGATCCTGGCAGCAATGTCAGCTGCTCCCTGGGCCTGACGGTGTTGCTGTTGAATGCCAGGTCGGTCCATAATAAGACATCCAACCCTGATCTTGGATGAGGGGGCTGACCTGGCATGTATTACAGAGACCTGGGAAGGAGAAGGGGGAGATGTCTCCCTCACGCAATTATGCCCGCCCGGATACTTGGTACAACACTGATCACGCTCAGAGGGGGGGGGGTGGTCACATTAATTTACCGAGCCAACGTTTCCCTCACGGGGCTTCCTGTCCCTTCGAGGCCAGGCCTTGAGTGTTTGTACCTGATGCTGGGCGATTGAGACAGATTAGGGACTCTGCTGGTGTACCGTGCACTCTACTTCCCAGCAGACTCCCTGTCTGAGCTGACGGAGATCGTCTCGGATCTGATGTTGGGGACTCCCAGGATGTTGGTCCTGGGGGACTTCAATTTCCATGCCGAGGCGCTTCTATCCAGGGCAGCTCAGGACTTCATGGCTTCCATGGCAGCCATGGGGCTGTCTCAACATTTCACTGGTCCAACCCATGAAAGAGGTCACACTTGACCTGGTTTTCACAATGGGGTGGGAAGAGGGTGGCCTGGAAGTGAAAAACTTGACCTTAACTCCTTTGTCATGGTCAGACCACTTCCTCGTGAGGTTTGTGCTCGAGGCTAATTCCTCCTTCCAGAAGGGTGTGGGCCCTATTAAGATGGTCCACCCTAGGAGCAAGATGTATCCAGATGGATTCCTGAGGCATCTGGGAGATTTTGTGGCTGATCAAGCTGGCGCTCCTGTTGATGTTCTGGTTGATTTGTGGAATAGGAAGATGACCAGGGCATTCAACATAATTGCTCCTAAGCGTCCTCTCCCACCTAGCAAAGCCTGCTTGGCACCATGGTATATGCCTGAGTTGCAGGCAATGAAGCAGGTTGGGAGACAATTAGAGCGCAGGTGGAGAAATCTCGGGACAAATCTGACTGAACACACTTACGTGCTCATTATTGAACCTATGCTGTGGCGGTGAGGGTGGCAAAGAGGCAGTTCTTCTCTGCTTTCATTGCTTCCTCACAGAGCTGTCCAGCGGAGCTTTTCTGAATAGTGCGAGGCCTAACATACGCTGGCCAGGAAAATGACGTGGTTGCACCTTTGGCAGCCCGCTGTGACGACTTTGCCCAGTGCATTACGGAAAAAAATCGCTCAGATTCGCCACGATCTGGACTCCACAGTTGATACTGTTCTAGTACGGGAAGTGTCCAGAGCTCCGTCTGGTCCATCTTTAATGGAAGAGTTTCAGTTATTGTGGCCTGATGAGGTGGACAAGGTGCTTGGGATGGTACGTCCTACCACCTGTCTTCTTGACCCTTGCCCTTCCTGGCTACTTAAGGAGGCCAGTTACGGGATCGGTCCCTGGGTCCAGGAGGTTATTAATGGCTCACTGAGGGAAGGCTGGGTCCCAGCCCCCTTGAAGGAGATGGTGATCTGACCTGTCCTGAAGAAAGCATCCCTGGACCCAGAGGTGGCCACCAACTTTAGACCAGTGGCCAATATTCCGTTTTTGGGCAAGGTGTTAGAGCAGGTGGTGACAGGACAACTCCAGGCACTCTTGGATGAAACTGACTATCTGGACCCATTTCAGTCTGGCTTCAGACCCAGTTATGGTACTGAATCTGCCTTGGTCACCCTGTATGATGACCTGTACAGGGAGAGGGTCCGGGGGAGTGCATCCTTGTTGGTTCTGCAGGACCTCTCAGCGGCTTTCGATACCATTGACCATGGTATCTTTCTGGATAGGCTGACTAACTTGGGAGTAGGAGGCACTGCGTGGCAGTGGTTCCCCTCCTATCTGGCCGGCTGATTCCAGATGGTGGTGCGGGGGGACTATAGCTCTGCACCATGGCAGCTTTGCCATGGAGTTCCACAGGGCTCTATTTTGTCCCCCATGCTATTTAACATCTACATGAAACCGCTGGGAGAGGTCATCAGGAGGTGTGGGCTGCAGAGTCATCAGTGTGCTGATGACACCCAGCTCTACCTCTCATTTACATCCGCTTCAGGTGAGGTGGTGGCTGTACTGAACTGGTGCCAGACTGCCCTTGAAAACGGTCTGGATACTGCAACTGGTACAGAATAGAGCTGCCAGGCTGCTGAAGGGGACTGGCTGCTACTCTCACATAACACTGGTCCTCTACCAGCTCCACTGGCTTCCAGTTGAAGTCTGAACCCAATTCAAGGTGCTGGTTTTGAGCTATAAAGCCCTAAACAGCATGGGACCAGGATACCTGAAGGAACGTCTCCTTCCTTATATGCCTTCACACCCCTTAAGATCTATGGGAGAAGCCCTGCTCTGGAAACCCTCTCTAAGAGAAGTAAAAAGGTCATCAACTCGGAGTAGGGCCTTCTCTGCTGTGGCACCCAGACTCTGGAATGTACTCCCCAGAGAGGTATACCTGGTGCCAAGTTTATTCTCTTTTTGGTGCCAGGCCAAAACCTTTTTATTTAAACAGTATTTTAAAATTTAATAGCTTTTAAGTTTAGACGCTCTGTTTGTTTTGTGATTTATTGTTTTGTTCTGTTTAATTCTTTATTGAAATTGTTGTTTTAATTGTCTTTTTAAATATTGTAAGCTGTCCTGAGATCTTGTATGGTAGGACTGCATACAAAAGCTTTTTTTCATAATAAGTTTTATTCAAAATAACCCTAATACAAAGAAAAACTAAAAACAACATCAATCATCAGAAACATCAGACCTGCTGGGTCAGCCCCATTTTTTCTATTTACGATAACTTAAAAACATATTTGAATCTATATGAAGTTCCATTTCTCTAGCCAATAATAAAAAGAGTCCCAAGTTTGATAGAAATCAGTATCTTCTTTCTCCTTCAATGACAAAGTCAATCTGTCCATTTCTGCACAGTCCAGGATCTTTTTTAGGATCAGTTCATCGGTGGGTGGTTCTTCACTTTTCCAGTGTTGGGCAAAAAGCTTTTAATAAATAAATTTAATAAATAAATACATAAATTGTGATTATGCACATGCACATTAGATATACATATTATCCAAAGGAAAATATACTGATGAAAGTGGATGTTTACATAAAGGTGCTTGCACAAATCCAAAGGATGTGTGAAGAGCAGTCAGGGTTCTGTGTGTGGAGTCCTAGCAAAAATACTTAGGAGATCCTTTCAGACAAACTACTTGCAGTGAAGGGGGTGATATCTGAATTTTTTCTAATATCATAAAATGCACCATCTTAAATCCTAGGCCTTTGACCTGTGTATACATGAAAGTAGAGAACGGGGCATTATGGCAGGGTGTGGGGTGTCATCAGGGGGCAGCAAGGTGTGTTTGGCAAGGTGGCTCCTTAGGTTCTTCACAATTCCCTGTTATGATAACATTTTCTGCAGAGACCTCCGGTGTGTTCATATCAAGTAGGGAATTTTTCTCCATGAGGATGTTAATCTATTGAATCTACTTTTAGATTTATTGCAGAACTGACTTGCAAGCGCTGCACAAGGAACGTTTCATTGCTTGCTTTTCCACTGCATAACTACTGGAGGGTCTATAGAACCTATAAACAACCATAAGTAGGGAATGACAGCACAAAACCAAAGCCAGGCTGTAGAAAGGCAGACGCGGTGTAGAATAGCCAGAGGTCTTCTCAGAGTCCTGACCAAGCTACACCATCAGTGCACTGGGAAAATTATTTCTGTTTTAATCCAACCCTCCCTTCATGCAAATATAGGCCTTGTACTGACACGGATTTTAAACGTGTTATCATGACTGTACCACTTCAAACAGCAGATGGAGATAAACATTGTTGAACATTTCTTCTTACTGTAATAACAGTAGCAACTACAACAACCATATTAATGATAATAATACAGACAAACTGGCAAGTCTCAGGGAAAGCCAAGCTCTGACATCTACTCTGCAATTTGCAGGGAACAGTCAGTATGGAGGAGTGTATTGGGTATTCTCCTTTGTAAAAACAAACAAGCAAGCAAACAAGGCTGACAGAATGGAATACTTCCCTGCCTGAGATGAGGAAGATTCCTATGCATAGGAAAACTAATGTTATTTTCCTTGTTATCAAGGGGTTGCTCCAGGCAGAGGACTCCTAGTATTATTAGTAAGACACTGGTCTATCTTTTCTTTCTTAATGGATTATCTGAGGTAAGAGAAAAGATGGAAAATATGGTTGGAAAACGTGGGAGACCTACAAGCTGCAGATCATGATATCTGAACCCTGCATACAACTCATGGATGAGGCAGGACCCTGGTGCTATGAAAGCCTCCATTGAAAGCACCTGCGTAAAGATCCCCTGCCTGAACTGTGCAGAGTACAGCTTACTAGGAAAGAGATGGCTTAGCTAGCAAGGCACACTCACATCGACAGACTCAGGACAAGCAGATTAAGAGCCTTTGGCCAAATTCCTGCACATGCAAAAAGCCCATTGAAAACACCATACAGTCTTCTTCTTGCACTATCTCTAGAACTAGGGGTTCTAGCTTATCTAGCCAGAAAGCTTTATAGGTGCATGTTCCAAAGGTAGACAGACAGACAGACGTTACTCAAATATGTATCTGAGTGTATATTCCAAAAAAAGTTTTCAAGGCATAGAAACATCTTTCAACATTTTACAGAAATGTGAGTAAACTTATGCATAAGAACTATAGTGCATGGTCTCGAAAAGACACCTAGCACAGAAAAATGGAACAAACTACTTCCTGTATTGTCTCCCTTACATTAAGTCTTATAACCTTTTTGTGATAAAAGGTAGGAAGTAGTATTTTCCTTTTGCTGCACATGAGAGTGAGGTTGATACAATAAAGTATATGTTACAAGAGCATTTCATCAAAATATTGGAGAGGCTGAAAAAAATGAAAAATTCTTCTTGCAGGTCATTTATGTGTACCGAAATCCTAAAGATGCGATGGTGTCCTTATTTTATTACTTCAAAGAGTTAGGATTACCTGAGGATCTGGAGCACCTCATGCAGAGATTCTTCACTGGGAAAGGTAAGATTGAAATGTGCTGTGTTTTAAAAGAAAACACTCAAATGCAAGGCAGCACCCAAATCCAGTTATGGAAAGTAGCTCTTTTTTCAGAGGTTCTCCTCAGATGCACTCTTTGAACTGAATAGATTCCAGCTGCTTTAAGAACAAAAGGTATGGCGTTCCTGTTGGAGGAACATCATACCCTATATACAGACATACAGACTTTTTACATTTGCCAGGAAATGCTCTCTTAGACAAGGATTTTTCTACTGAAGCATCACCATAACAATAGTGCAAAGTGTTATATATGCATAGACTCAAAACATGTGATCCATTCAAAATCATTCTAAATTAAGGCAAACCCATTTTAGGCAACTTACCAATCTTTTTCCAACTGCCAACTCAATTTGGGGATGGCTTCTTGAGAAGAGAGCACTGCTGCTTCTCTGTAGCCAAAAATACCTTTTAATACACTTTTAATGTTCTTAGGATGCAGTCTTATGCATCTTTAGACTGAAAAAGTTGTACAACTCCTAGGATCTAACCAGCATGGCCAGTAGGGGCATTCTGGCAGTTGCAGGATCTTTTCGGTCTAAAAGAAGAATTCATCACTAAATGTATCTAGATGATTTTTCCTTCCATTTTTATGTCTCATTAAGATTAATTCCTAAAGATATATTTCTATTTCTAAATCAACAATGTCTAACATTATAACTAAAACCCAGATGTCTTAATAAGATGTATGACTACAAAAATAGGCTTCTAAGAAACCTATTCCAGCATGAATCCCATGCTGACTCTTATAAGCACATTTGTGAGAAACTAATTGTTTCACCCACTCTAAAATGTTTCTGTTCCTTTCTTCCACCAAACAAATCCCCTTTGTTTATGATCTAAGAATTACTTCATTATTTCTTAAGTTACCCCATCTCTACTTTTATAGTTATTTTATGTTTTTAAAGTCATTGCATGTGTTTATGCTGCCACCCTCTGCTGTGGTATTAGAGAAAATTAGGAACACATAAACAGCCACACTGGAACAGACCAATGGCCCATCCAGTCCAGCACTCTGTTCACACCATGCCAAACCAGCTGCCCACCAGGTCTCTCCAGCAGGCGGCTACAGTAGTTCAACCCATCCAGTTACTGGTGCATGCAGGTATACTGCCTTTGTTAATGGACATAGCACATAGTCAGCAAGGCTAGTAGCCGTTGATAGTTTGTCCAAAGCCCCTTTAAACCACTGTTAAAATGGTGGGTATCACTATTTCCTAAGGCGGTGAATTCCATAGTTTAACTGTGTGCTGTATGAAGAAGTTCTTCCTTTTGTCTGTCCTGAATCTCCTACCAGTCAGCTTCATGGGATGACCCTAGGTTTTTGTATTGCAGAAGAGAAGAAGAATGCCTCCACTTTCTCCACTTTCTCTGCATAATCTTAAACACCTCTGCTGTGTCTCCCCTTACTTGCCTGTCTTCTAAGCAAAACAATCCCAGTTGCTGTAACTGTTTTTAATAGGGGAGTTTCTCCAACTATTTCATTATTTCAGTTGCCCTTCTTTGCACTTGTTCGGGAGTCTTTGGTGAGAACCTTTTTAAAGACCAAGTAAGCAATGTCCACTGGATTTTCCCACTCACATGCTTATTGGCACTCTGAAATAACTCTAATAGGTTAGTGAGACAGGACTTATCTTTGTTGAAGCCATGCTGATTCATTTTCAGCAGGTTTATCCCTCTTCATGCTTACTGAGTCAGTGTTTAATAACGATTTCAACTATTTGCCCAGAATAGATATGAAGCGAGCTAGGGACGTGTGAAGAATCTGTTTTGAGGTAGCAATCCATTGGCTGCCTAGAATCTAGCTTCCTGGACTCTGCTTTCTTGCAACCATGAGTCTGATTTCCTGGTGAGCACACTGAGCATTTGCACAGTGGTCACCAGGAATCAGCTCAACATGACTGCTATGCAAGTGACATCCCTCTTCCACACATGTGACTTGCAGTCTTTGCTGCACATGAAGCAGAAGGTTGTTGGTTGAGCAACCAGACTTCTGTGAGCATTTGCAGACTTCCTTTTGGCTCAGCTTGCCTTGTGAGCATGTGAGAAAGTTTGCAAACTTAAGAGGGATGGATTCCAGGAAATCTATCTCATCTGTCATTTCCTAGAAGCTGGGCTCGTTTTTTAAAATTGGTGTTACATCGTCTCTTGTCCAGTCCTCTGGTGCAAAGGCTAATCTTAGGGACACAATACATATTTTCGTAAGAAGTTCAGCAATTTCATATCCAAGTTCTTTAAGAGCTCTCAGATGGATATTTTAGCACTTAGATATCTGCAACTGGTTATCATGCCTTGCCATAAGTTTGTGGCTTATTTTCTCCACTCCTCCATCTGGACAATAAGAAATGTGTTCTTCATCCCTTAGGGATGAAGTAACCTGAACCAGCTCCTGTTGGCTTTTCTCCAGGATTCAGCTTAAAAGTTGCTCTGCCTCATTTTGATGCTGTGCATCAGCAGTCTGGTCCCATTGTAGCCCATCCCTCCTGTACAGATCCCAAATTGTCTCCCAGTGCCTAACAAATCTGACCCCTCCTCTCTACACCACTGTCTCATCCAGAGAATACTAGCTGGCCCTGCACTTGAAACAGGCTGTATTTCATAAAAGGCCACCTTGGTGGTCCTAGATTTCAGTTTTCCACGTAACAAGCTATCTTTGGCTTCCAGGAACACAGTGGTTACACAATGGCTACATTTATCCGCAATGCTGGTACCAACATTGTCCAAGACTCCTGGCCTTAGCCCAGAGCTATTTACAAGATGATCTAAATGGCAGCCTCGGTTTCTGCAACCTTTGTACCAAGCAGTGTACACACTCATTGCAAAACCAGCTATCTATGTGTCTAATCACTGAACCTCCCATTTCCACAGGCCTCCACCCCCTGAGCCACATCTTTGCTGTGAGAGGATAAATGCTTACCTTCCAAGGAATGAGTACCTTCTAAGGGATCAGTTTCCTCTTCCTCAGAATGGCACCCTTCTTCTCTGAGGACCCCCCTCCCCCAATTTTCATGACAGAACCAGAGCTGTCACCTAGAAGCTGGAACTCTGCTTTTTGGTCCCTAAGTCAACCTCACTGCCTTTCCTTACTTCTCCAGGTCAGCAGGCTTGGATTCAAGGGAATAAACTTTGCTGAGGAGCTCCTTAAAATTAGTTAAATTATTTCCTGTTTATCCATTCCACCTCTGGCTTCCTTTGGAAGTAAGACTCCTCTTGCAGAAAGGCTGTCTAGCTTATACTGCCTCTTGGATTAATAATTCCTGAATGTGCTTGGAAACATCTGATTATTATGAGCAGAATCCAACAGGATGCATAAACCCCCATGAACTCGCTTTCTTCCCTCCATTTTTTCCCTTCAGGTAGTACCCACAGCCTCCAAAATGGAGATTTAACACGTTAGGGGACAAATGGACAAGTGAAACTGCTTGTTTCTGGAAGCAGGTAGGTGTCACATAAGAGAGTTCCACCAACCTTTCTCGATCCAGAAACAAGTGCTTCTGGTAATTTAAGAGCTTCTCTGGGAAACTTTAAATATCTGTTGTACAAGCAGTGAATTCTTCTTGAGGGGCGTATGCACTTACTTGGATTCTGCTCTGGGTCTAGCTATGGGAGGTCTGTGTCACAAAGAACTAGGTAAACTTGTGATGATCCTCCCCAAAATCTAGCTCTCTTCTGTTTGTTGGACTTCTTCTCATGTTTGGCCCTTGCTTAGGATGTCAGGCAAGCTGAGAGGAAGTCTGTAAATGCTGCAGAACTCAGCATGCTCACCAGGAAGTGAGATGCAAAGCTGCAGGAAGGTGGGCCGGAGTCCAGGGAATCCAATGGATTCCCACCCCCAAAACAGATTTTTCACACATATTTGTATGGGACTGATCCAAAGTCCCACCAAAAGAAGTGTCTGAGGGGAATTCATATGGAGCTGAGGTGCTTTCCTGTCAGTGTTTAAAACCAACCAGGGCAGAAGGAAGGGGCCGGGATCATGTGACCCTAGTTGTTAACCATGGTTAAAGGCTCAGCAACAGAATTTTTGAATGGCTTTTGGCCAGAGCTTAGAACTGTTCCTGTATGAGAAAGTTCTGGCCAAGCCCAATTTCTATAAAAAACAAGAAAAGGGATATGCATTCAACAACATTGTCAAAGTTTTTTTTTTTCTTGTCCAGTCCTTAGCAACTCTATCTTTGACCATGTCAAAGGATGGTACACCCACAAGGATAACTTGAATATTCTCATCATTTCCTATGAGGAGATGATTAAGGTAAGATTCCTGTTATGAACCACTATGACTCAGTGAATATATTTCAACAGTTGGAAGTTCTGTAAAAGTATATTTTTTAGTATCTTTCTTTGATGATGCATAATTCTAGCAAGCTTGGCACCTGGAAGCCTACTGGGGGCTCTGAATGTAAAGATGGCCTCAGAAAAAATACATTTTGAGAGCCATCTAGGTACCCCTGGGAGGAATGCACTGGAACTGGAAATCTATCTTGTTTGAGCTTGAGGAATTTGTTGCCTCCTTCAGGTGGCGCAATGGTTTAAACTGCTGTGCTGGTTGATCGAAAGGTTGCCAGTTCGAATTTGCACAACGGGGTGAGTTCCCATTGTACCACTTCGGTGGGCATGTAACAGCGTTCTGTGCACTTTGGTGTTTAGTCATGCCGGCCACATGACCACGGAGACTGTCTGCGGACAAATGCTGGCTCCCTTGGCTAAGAAACGGAGATGAGCACCGCCCCTTAGAGTCAGGCATGACTGGACTTAATGCCAAGGGGAAACCTTTACCTTTACCTTCTGGTCCCTATCTGGGTGTCAGGGTTTGGATCCAGCTTCAACTTAGGGGTAGGATTCAGGAAAACAGAAAACAGATTTCCTGTGCATGCCTAGGATCCTGGAAATAGTCTCCATTGTCAAACGAGTGCCTTTTTTGTGCATGTCATCTGAATGTATAGGCATTATACCTGCATGTTAAAGGTTGGGAGTTGAACTTCAGGTTAGGGTTTGGATTAGGAAAATCTGGCTTCCTCTCAGGATTCAGGAAAACTGGTCTCCTATGCATGTGCATGGGCTGGGAACTATACAGTACCCAGAAAGCAAGCAATTTGCAAGAAAACCTTTCTGCATGTTCTCTGAATGATTGTACTCGAGGGTTAGTGTCCAACTTCAGGTTAGGGTTGAGGTACAGAAACATGGATATCCAGCTCATTTGAGCTTGATGGATTTCCTGCCCCCTTCTAACCCAATTTAGAGTGTTTGTGGGGTCTGAGCTCCAAATGGGAAAGCATATATTTGACTCAGTTTGCAATATACCACCCTTCTATTTATTTTTTAATTCAACATAATTGAAAGCAAATAAAACTCTGGAGGGTTCTGGCAGGAACATGGACACCATCTTGGGGGATCCTAATCCAGATAATCTGCCTCATCCAGAAAGCCAAGGATCTGAGAAGCCACCCCTGAAAACAATAGGGGCCTTTTTTTTTTGTTTTCCCAATTCAACTTTGGAGATTGGAATTTCAGGAAATATGGATGTGGTGGGGGTGGGTGTTAAGACTCCATTCTCATGGCACTACATTCCTGTTCCAAGTTGGAGCTCTTTGTATGCTAAAGGAGAGTAGAGAAAGGTATTGAGTGCAGCTTCACTGTGCATGCTTTAAACTAGCATGTAGTTTATCCCTGTGCCTTAGCAGAGATATTTGAACTGTTTAAGGGTATACAGGATTGCAGCCTAAAACTAAAAAATGAAGTAACTCTTATTTCAGGATCTTAGAGGTGTTGTATTAAAAATTTGTGATTTTCTGGGAAAACAACTGAGCAGCCAAGAGGTAGACAAAGTTGCAAAGATGGCGTCATTCAAATATATGAAAACAGATACTAGGGGAAATTGTGAGGCCGAAATTGGACAGCTCTTCAAGAAAGAGAAAGTGAACCATCTGCGCAAAGGTAATACTGAGACAAAAAAAAATCAAAATACAAGTTTGTAGCATGAAAGCATTTAATAATTTATTTCTAATCGTATAGCAGAGGTGTACAAACTTTTTGTGTATCTAGCATTGCCAGGATCTTGAAGGGCTACATGCTTGGGCTTGCTGCGACAAGATTTCCTGCTGGTCTGTGGGTGGGGGGGGGGGCAGCATCCCGCTTGGCAGGGACTGGCATGGGGGTTGGCTGTGCTCCACCACCTCTTCCTCAGTTGGCATCGCGTTTGCAAGGGGTGCTCCAGTGGTGCCAAGGAGAAGAGAAGCGACTCAGTAGAAGCTGGCTGGGAGCCACGCTGTGGCAATTTTGGTATTTTGTTCTTTTGTTGGTGTTTTTTGTTGCTTGGTTTCTCATTGTTTTGGAGAATTTTCTTTTTCTTTTTTTCTTTTTGGTATTGTGTTTGGAAACTAATACACAGAATACTGTATTAAGTGCATGGTGCTTTTTGTTTTCTCCTCAGTGTTCCCCAAAGTGGTTTTCGCTGGTCCCCAGCTGTGGAAAGGATGAAAACCACTTTTCTAGACAACACCAACTTTCACTCCCAAATTCCCATGTTTTTCAACTACTCTTTTTTCCCTTAAGGAGCAGAAACTTTGGAGCAATGGAAGACAAAAAGAAGCATCTTAGTGCCTTATGACTGATAGTGCAAGAATCCTTCCATCTAGAGGCAGGGAAAATTGTTTCAGTGTTCCATGCATCTTTGTTTACAACCAGTTGAGTGGGTTGTGAGGGAGAGAGGCTCCTGCAGAGCAGTGACAATTCATTTTTCTGTATTAAAATATAAATTATCTTTCTGCTCAAACTGCCCTAAGGTCATATAAAACTTTAAAAACAATCCTAGTTGTTCTGTCAAGGAAGGTTCCCCTTCCCGAGTGTGAAAAGAAAGCTGCATAGACTGCAGTTTTTGATAATGAGTAATACACAAAAGTGTGGTGCAAATGGGTGGGAGCAAAGCAGTGTTTCCATCAACTGTCATTGAAAAGCATCAGTCAGATGTTTGGAAATTAAGGCTTTAATTCAGCCCTTTGCTCTCAGACCAGATGATGGTCTGGGAGGAAATAGAGGTAGCCTTTGTACTACAAGCAAAATCATTTGAGAACTGGAACTGAATTTTGTACTCTCCTCCCATCAGGTACCATTGGAGACTGGAAAAATGTAATGACGGTGTCACAGAGCGAAAGGTTTGACAAGGTCTTCCAGGAGAAAATGAAAGACGTACCTCTCAAATTCATCTGGGATATCAAAGAAATACAAGACCATGATTAGCATGGCAAGCACATAATACAACAAAGCTTCCACCCCTGTTCTGGATCTGTTTTCTCTTCTGCTCAAATTGTTAAGTCATTTGGAAAAAAAGTATGAATACACTGATATTTTGCAGGTGTTTTTCACCAACAAATAGATATTCTGACCAAATATTTTCTCGTTTAAAAATTAGCAAAGCAAGGAAGGAAAAAGAATAAATCATGTGGTGCTGCCATCTTATTTCTGGAGCCAGAGCCACCCCAAGTAATGTTGCTACTGGCAGTGAAAGACAAAATGGCACCCCATTTCCTTCCCCATACAGAACTGGCATACGTGAACTGAACCTTTCTTTGTCATGGATGCTTGGACTGTATTTTATCCCAGATGGGCAGCAGGCTAGCTTACGGGTCAGGAGTAACTAGCCCCAGCACACTCACCATATTTCCCTACCTCTCAACACCCCTTTTTGGAGTACCTTCTTTTGCCACTTTTCCCCTTTACTTTTCAGTCAACTGAAGCCAACAGTTCATAAATCAGCCTACACATTGTCTCACCTTGTCAATGTGTTATGTACTCCACTAGCCTTTGAAACTTACATGGCTATTGACAAGGCAACACATATCGGACAACCATAGCTGCACACTTCCACATCTGCAAAATACTGGCCAAAATGATGATGATGATGATGATGATGATGATGATGATGATGATAATGAGAATCACTGTGGGCAATGTCCTAGGACTGGAAACACCCCAATTGCTTCAAAATTGAGATAAAACTGGAGCTCATTTTTGAAACTCTAAGAAGCAAATGAATAAACACCCCCCCAAAATTGGGAAAGGTGCTGAACTAGGGGCAGTTGCTCCAAAGTGCTGCTCATCAGTGGAAGACTTGCCACTGGTGGCAAGAAGGGTAAGATAGTAGTGAAGAGCTGCAACAGGGTCTGCGGATATTGTTGAGCGGTTCGTTAGCAGATCCCCCGCAAACCAAGGTGGGATTGATGTGACAACCCATCATCAGCTGATCAATCCTTAGAACAAGGCATGAGTTGCCAGGTGGCTTATTGCTCAAAAATAAGTGGGCTAGTTCTGATGATACAGTGTCCCAGCTGTGACTAGTCACCCCCATTGGGTTGTGGTGTTGTATGAGCCCAGTCCATGGCTTGTCTCCTCAGAGAATATGTGGTTCACGTGAGTTTTGAACCTGTAATCTTGTGACTTACCAAGTTCAAATAAAAACTCATGGGCTAGCTTGTGCTTGACATCTCACCTGTACCAGATATTCTTATTAAGGCCTTACTACTAAGAAGGGAAATAAATTCTATTAGTTTCTGCAAAGTCTGAAGTGCCCAATTCTGCCTAATCTTGGAAGCTAAATGGGGTCAGGCCTGGATAAAATCTGGATGAGTTAATGTTGTCAACTTTCCAGAAAGCATCCTCTATGGACAGTATAGAAATGTAATGAATACTACAGCAGGATCCCATATCCAGTGGCTCAGTTACTGCATTTTTAGTTAACCACAGTTGACGTTGGCCTGAAAGAGAAGTTATGCTGTTAAACTTTCCTGAGACTATGGTAAGGGACAGTCTAAAAGTTGAAATAAATAAATAAAAATAAAGTGCCAAAGAAAAGTTGCACAGTGCCAAAGGAAGTCTTAAAGTGCTGAGGTAAGAATGAATGAAACTGGGGAAAAGACATCTAAAGAGTATTTTGAGTATATGGTTTGTTTGAGTTTATTTTGCAGCTTGCCACCCACAGGAGCCCTCTGGCTATTGTATAGTGTCTGTTATTATCTGTGGTTTCAGGCATCCACTGGGGGATTTGGAACTGATCCGCATGGATATGGGGGCCCTGCTGTGCTGGACACATTTGCATTTACTTCCAGAAAAGCAAATACAGGATTTATTGCAGCTTTTTACATAAAGATGTAGAATCTTCAAAAATGCCAGTTTCATGAGGAACTCCTGGGGTATTTAGGGAATGGCATTCCCACCACCACCTCTTTCTGGGACCAATTATTACATAAAGCACATAGGTGAAACCAGTAACATCTGTTAAAGAGTAGTCTATGTCAGTCTTCCCAACATGACTAGATTGCAATATCCAGAATTCCCAGCCAATGGACCTGCTGGGTGGGAATTCTGGGAGTTGCAGTCCAAATGCCTCTGAAGACCAGCAAGCTGGGGAAGACTGGTCTATATAATTAAAGACTGTTGGGAATTACCCATTGTCCAACTAGAGCAACAGGGACCATTACTTACATTGTGAGACATTCTGAGTCTTAAAATATACGTGCTTGATGCAGGCCAACCCCACATCAGACCATTTAATAGAGCAAAGCTGTAACAATTTGCACCATACAGCACGGCTGTACAATGAGCAGTTGGCTCTGATAGCACAGCTCCAGAAATGGATTGGTACCTGTGTTTTTGGGTGTACAGTCTGCATCCACCATCAGACAAGGAGCCATGCAGCCATCTAGCAACGATACAACTGGAAAGTAATGTTATTAACAGGTGCCAGCTGGAAACACACACCACTGTTTTCCCAAAACAGTTTGTTGCAACAAATGGATATATGAAGCTGCAGAACTTCTCTAACTTCGCATTGTGAGCAGCAGAGACAGCAATAGTGGTTCACATTCTTAACCACCTTTGGTGTAACATCAGCTGTAACTATGCTTGAGAACTGTGTTTAGCCATTCAGTAAAGACATTTATTATTGAAGCAAATCTATCTTGTTTCTCCTAAAATAAATACTTTGACAAATTTGACTGTGCTTCCATAATCTTTGAGTGATGTCAGAAACAGTGTGAGTTGCATGAAACAGCTTCTTTTCAGAATAAATTCCTCCTAAAGAAAACCTTTTGTTTTCAGATTCAAGAAAATTGGAAAATTATTCAAATTTTATTTCTTTATTTTGCTTTGCATCCAAAGCATCAACCTTAAACCAAGGCTTAGTACTATAACACACTCAGAGCCTGAAGTGCATTTTAAACTGTGCCACACAGTCCAATTCTTCTAGAGGATTAGGGAGACACTCAACAGGTCACACTTTCGCAATGAAAGCCAGCAGAGAAGTCTTCTGACCCTGTAAAACTTGGTCTTTTTAAAGGAGCCGAAAGCTGTGCAGCTGTCTCTCCATACCAGCAGGTTAGCAGAGCTGGTGTAGAAATGTCAGTCTAGTCACTGTCTAGATGTACAGGGTTGTAGTCGGGATCATCTTCATCATCCTCCAACTCTAAGTCATCCATTTCTTGGAACAAGGATTCATCCACTTCCACATTGTTTCCAGCTGCAGAGGGAGGAAATGGAGAAAGGTAATACTCCATCCTAGAAAAGGCCAATTCCAAATGGGCTGCCCAAGATGGCTGTTTGAAAGTTTTAACAAAAGCTATGACCCACAATCTAAGCACATGAGGGGCCACTGAGAGTCCATTCCCAATGTAGACGTAAACCATCCAATACGCCATATGATGCTGAGGGAGATGTGTCCTTGCAGATGTCAGTGGACTACAACTCCCTGACTATTGGCTATACTAGATGGGGCTGATGGCAGTTGAGAGCAACATAATCTTGACGGGCAAAGCTTTTCCCCTGTTCTATCAAGTTATGTCAAAGTAGTAACTCAAATGTAGTACATTCCATCATGTAAAATAGAGAACATGCATGTTATGCTCTCTCTCTCTTTGCAAGCATGTTTTCATACTGGACATGGCAACGGTTTGAAATGGAGAAGCAGACCTTCACAGTCCTAGGCTGTTTTCCCAGCTATCTATGAGTCCCCCTCCAATGTATACCCTCCAGCTGGAAATGCATGTTGGAAAATGCTTCTGAACTGAAAACTAAATGGGGAGGGGGAAGGAAGGATTATCTCACTGCAATGCCTTGTTCTGCTCCCTTAGCTTTCCCAGTCTGCTGAGCAAAATAAACTTAAGCACTTAAAACATGAACTCTAATTGAAAGATGTGGCACTGCAAATGATGTTGAACTTCAATTCCCATCATCCCCTATCATCTCCCATCATTGGCTATGCTAATTACGGCTAATGGGAGTTGCAGCCCAACAACATCTGGAGCACCACTCATTCCCGACTCCTGTTGTAACGTGAAGGTTGAACCTAAGCTTAATCAAACTGGAGCAATGATACTCTTTGTATTCCAAGAAGCAGAAGGGTGACATCTTCTGGACAGTAACTTCAATTACTTTTATTGTGTTGAATTAACTTGCCTCAATGTTTTGTTCTGTTTATAACTCAAGGAGCCTATCTTATGTACACCTTGGCAGTCAGTCCCAAAGTAAATACATAAGATTGGAAGATGCACTAGGAAAACTCCAAAAAGATCACTTGGGGGGTGAGAGAAACAAGAGTCTTTTTCTGCAGAATCAATGGAATGATGTCTCAAACAATTAAAAAAATCTTATGAATCATTCCACATTTTAAAATTGTCTATGGCTTTAAGGACTCATTACTACACTGGCTGTTTTAGTAATAAAATACATTAATTTAAATCTTTTAGTCATTATATGACACTTGCAGCTTGCTCTTATCCCAGCAGTCCAAAGTGATAACAGTGGGGTCCCTAGACAGACACTCTGTTCTAGGCACCCTCCCGAGTTCATGACCTTGTCTGTCTTTGACATCTCACCTGGCACCCAGCAGGAAGGCTTTCCTGGCTTTTTGCTTTCCACAGGAAGTTTACAATATTCGGGGAAGGAATGGGGAATAAGGGCCTCAGAGGCACCCCCAGGACATCCCATTACACTGAATCAGAAGTGGCATCTCACTTTCAGAAGTACATAGAAACGACAATCTCTTTCATTAAGTACTGGAGACAGCACCTAGTTTTTAGTAGCTGCAGATTTTGTTCTTGGCTTGAATAACTAGAATTTATAGCAATGAAAAGAGGAATAATAGTTACCTTCTTCCAAGAACTGAATATCAGATGTATCAAGATTATGATCTCTTTCAAATAGCTGTTTTCCTGTTTAAAATATTAGGGATAAATTGTATTGAACACAGTTACTAAAATTATGACAACACGCTTTCTTTAGGGTGAAATTCTATACTTTTTTATCTGGAGGAAGCGCCACTTTGCTCGGTGGGTTGTGCTTCTTCATGTTCAGGAATGCACAATCTGAAGCTTCACTAGCTATGTCGATAACAAAGCTTTGGTGCATAGCCCATTTATTTATCCTGACATCTTACATGATTGACAGCACAGAGAAGTCCAAGGTTACAGTCGTAAGTACCACATAATAGGCTATTTCAGACATAATTCTAAAATGTGGTTCAGCATTGTATGCACCAAGAATTATGAGCCTGGGGCCAAACATTCCTCTCTCTTCCTCTGCAAACCCATAAGGAGTAGACTCAAAGTTTTCATTTCTCCAATTAAAACAATCAGATTAAAACAATCAGCGTTCCCCCCCACTTTGTACATAAAAAGAAACTCCAGTGCATTCAAAAACAGAAGGCCCTGACCTGTTCTGGACTAGGGAAGAGAAGCAGAGGTTGGGAATGTGTGAAGAACTCTAAATTAGCATTACGACAGAACCTGCCACTGAACTCAGTGGGACTTCTGAGGAATCATGGTTAGGACTGCACTGACAATCATCTTTTACTTTCCTTTAAAACAAAAGCAAAGGGCACTTCTGAATATTCAAATTCTTGCACATCTCTGCTAGAAACCCCTGTTCAAACTTTTAATGCCACCAATCCCTCTCTGTTTTTGAAAAAAGCAAACTTGACTTGTCGCAGATCCCTATCGGCGTTACTCCTTCTGGACACTAACTATTCTTAAACAACATCCACCCAACCACCAACTCCTCTGCATGAGCAACTTCTTTCAAGACTGAAGAAATCTTCCAAAACGATATGGCATGGATGGCTTAGCATTCAAGAGAAGAAAGCAAAACATTCCTCTGGAATACCCAATGCCTGCCACATGCCTAAGTTAGCACTCTGCAAATAAAATGAAATGGTAGCCTTAAGACAACTGCCACACCATACCTGTGAGTTTATTTTTTCCAGACTGTTCTTCCTCTTTCATCCTTTTTCTTTTAATTTCTAAGAGCTCTGCATCAAATTTTGCTTTCCAGCTTAGAAAATTTTCAATGGTGACAGGGGTGCCATGGAAACATTGCTAAACAAAAGGGGGAATGTATTGAAATGAATTAAGGACATTCCAAGAATGCCATTCCCAAATTCAAAAGATGTGTCAGTCTCAGCACACTACTCTATTCTTTCATAAACAGAGAGAAGCATGGAATCATGATAGGACTCTGCTTCCTAAGCAAAAAGGCATTTTCCCACTTTGTAGCAGCGAGAGCAATCAAAACCTAATTCCCAAGTGGAAGAATAACAAGAGCAACAGCAACAAAAGGCTAGTTCCACTACTCCACATGAAATTGTCTATATTTATATCCCCCTTTTTTTCTTCTTTTCTTACACAGAACCCAAGGCGGCTCACCCACACAACAGTCCTGGGAGTTAGGCTAGGCCCAGGGTACTGGCACAGAGCTATCCAGTGAGATTCACGGCTCAATGGGAAATAGAACCCAGACCTGCCAAGTTCCAGTCCAACACTCTAAGCACTGTATCACATTAGCAGAACAATCCTATGGCATCTCGATAGCTTCTAGAGGGTCACAGAACTTTTGGGAAAACAGCTCCTGTGTCAGAACTGGGACCTTGCAGCTGGAGCGCCCTCTCCTACCCCTTGCGGCCAGTGTGAAAAGAACAGCAGCAGCCACTTCTTGAAAGTTTCAAGAGGGATCTTGGAGAAGAGGTTTAGTGGAAATTCCAGAGGCGGGAGAAAGGAGACTATATCAACGTGGCCATGACATATCCTGGGGCACTTCAGCTTCCTGCCATCCCCCTCCGAAGGTGCCCAATTGCTTTGCAGGTCAGGAAGACTACAGAGTTCAGAAGGTCCTCTCCAATTTTTCCCTCTGCATCCCTCCTACCCTGCACAGGATGTCCATAATCATTTCAGGATGGAGAGCTAAGGGCCACCCACTGGATTATGACCTATGAGGAAGCCTCTCTGCAAGAACCAGCTGCTCATGCGTAGGCTGCTTCATGTGGACAGTCCATGGCAATGTGTACAAGCCCATAGTGGGGCCTACAGCACAGTCCTGTTCCTAGGGAAGATGTGATGGAATCAACCTGTGCTTCGTGCATGAAGGGGGCTTCCAGGCCTGCTTGTCTTTACAGGCAGCTCCAGAAGAATGATTTCCGCCGCACAGGAAATTTGTCACTTGAATGCTCTGCAACTCTCTAACACATGCAGTTCTGCAGCCATGCTGCTTCCTAGTTACAATTCTTATACGGAAAAATAAAAACCTTATATACATAATTGGCTTTCATTTACAGGCCAAATGCAAGCAAGTTGATTGATTTGGTATTCACAAGAACAACAGGAAAGCTACCAATATAAAATCAAATTATTATTCCTTCAGAAAATGGAAAATGAAATGTCTTTGAGGTATTTTGCCATGGCTGCTGTTTGGAACTATTTCAAATGGGCTAATATGGCAATTATATCATTCATCTGCTTTAGAAAACACCACATTTAGGCATCCAGTGAACTGGAAGTGGTGGGAACTGATGAAGTACCTAAGGATGGAATTTTGTATAAACATTAATCCACCCAATCTCTAGATAATATTACATAGTCTGGCTTCTATTGACTTTTACTGCATGCCATCTAAAATCAATATACAGCTTTGCTAATTTAAGAACTAAGTTTTTTCTCTTTGCCTTACAAGCTACTAGTGTATTTAGAGATTGCACACAACTAGGCCAATTTTACCATCAGACTGCTGCTAAAATGTATAGGATTACGTTGATGCATCTTTTGTTTACCTTTTCTGCCTCCTCTGCCTCTTTTTCCTTCTGTTTCTTCTCTTCATCTCTTCTTGTTTTTATCTGATCAACTATTTCATTTAATTTCTCTTGCACAGCTGATACTAGTGTGAAGATCATTACCATACCCAGGTTCTCTTCTGCCTGAAACATGTAAAGAATATTCAGAAAACAAGGGTCATAGTGTGGCATGACAATTAAAGATGTCTGGTAAAAGTTGCTTTGAACAGCATTTCATAGAAGGCAAATCCTGAAACACGTACTGATGATATCCAATGTGGTACAAATGGAAGCAGCTCAAGCAATTCTATCTTTCTCTTTCCCTAATTCCATTCTGCTCTGTCGTCCCCATAAAGTCCAGAAGATCTTCTCCGACTTTCTAGATAGACTTTTTGGGGGATACCAGAAGTTGCAGGAAGGGGCCCCTCACATGTTGGATATCATCCATTTACAGCAAAACCCAAACTGGGCAAGAAACTTCTTCTAGATCACAAATTGGCAACTCTAATTTGTACTTAGTAAGGCACATATTGTTCCCCAAATGTCAGTTTTCTCCTGGTCCACAGCAACGTGAAAGCCATCTCTATACTTTCAAGCATGATGCAACACCCCATAATGGGATGCTGTTGTGTTGGGAGATCTGGCAAGGTTCCCACAGTCACGAGAGCAATCACCTGCAAAACTGCACACTTGTATTTACAAATGTTTCATAGCAGCCAGTGATTCAATAAAAGAGAGAAAACACCATGTTTCCTCATAGTGAAGCACTGTACTATAGGCTTCCACAGCCGACTGGAGCGAGGGAAGGAAAGTGGGAATTCTCCAGTTCAACTATAGGACAAACATCAACATTGGTTAAATTCCATTTGCTTGAAATAAAATCTTCATCCAATGTAATTAAAATATCCATCCATTTATATACTTTAGGATATCTGTAGAACCCTCTTCCTGAGCTTGAAAAAAAAATTCGACAGCCTGAGTGTTTATTCCTGTCTGTGAAGCACAAACCTTACCATACACTAGCAGGATTTCAAGAAGAACCTATTTGTTTGTGCTTACCTGTTCCTGCAATAATTTCAGTATATCAGCAACATCACTATCCTCAAGATTCTCTTGTGCAAGCAGTTCATAGTGTGGGATTTCATCTGGATAATTCTCTGCATATGTGAATTTGAGGGTTGTCTGTACAGCTACAGCATCACAGAAAACACCAGTGATAAATCAGCACAAATGTAACTACCAACATTTAGCATTATTTTATTGGAGACCAATTATATCACAAACAATTTTCACTAATGGGCTGACAAAAGAGTGATGCAGGCAAAGCAAGCAACAGCTCCTTTAAAAACAGCAATGATAGACCTTAACTACATGCTGAGCCCTTTGATACAAGACCTCACCTCATGGATCCAGCAATTTTAAAACTATTTTCCCTGAAGTTTGCATTGCAATCAAATTAGAAATATGTTTCACCAACACATGCACTGAAAAAGGTACCAGCTTACTGTTTGCTGCTGTATTTTGGATCTAACAATATGTCTTCTGTGCATTAAAGCAGCATTTCCCAAACTCTTTTAGACTAATTCTTAGGTGCCCTGAAATAGTGTGTAAGGCAGTGGTGAACAGAAGGTAGATCTTCATAAGTTTGGAACCTCCGTTCCTAAAAGCCCTGCCAGTATGGACAATGTTTAAGAATGTTGAGAATTGAAGTCCAAAATCTAGAGATCTATTTTCTGCCCATCCAGGTGTGCTGTGCACACACCTGCATATGTATGTTTGCATGGAAACGGGGCATGCTCCTGCTCTCCATTGCATGCGGGTTCTAACATACCAGAAGGCTCCACTCTGCTGAAACTGCCCAAGACAATAAAAACAGGGATTTCAATCTTGGTTTTCCATACACCAGTGCCAAATAAACACCATGCAGAAAATCACAAATCTCTAGCCCAACACTTTTATCAATTGGCCACCACTGCATATTTATAAGATGGCCATCTCACTGAAATATCAGCTCATCACAATGTGAACCAATTAACTCTTACTTCCAAGTATTCTTGGAAAAGTTATTTAGTCATGAGCAGTTTTCTTTACATATGAATGCTCAATGGTATTCAACTTACTTTCATCATTTTCTCCTGCTTCAGATGTCACAGTGATAGTAAAACTTGTTGGATTTTCTGATAACACTATGGAAGAAAGAAGTAGTCAGTGGAGACAAGAAATATCTTTCCCATACAGGGCTGGCTTTTTTGTATCAGTGGAAATTTGCATGCAAACTTGCTCAGCTGTAAGATGAATAATCTCTGAAATGATGTCATTTTTTATAAAAGTTTTATGTTTGAAATGGGAACAATATTCTCCAAGGGGATCCCAAGGGGTTATTAGATTGTCAAGACCACAGATTTCACACAATCTGGACAGAAGACATGTGGTCCCTCAGAAGGCTTTACTCTGAAGAACCAGTTCCTCTGTAGTGAGCTCAAGGTTCTTCTGAAATCCCAGAAAAGTGATATGCCAGGTCTAGGTTTTCTGACAGGGAGATCTGAATGTCTGAGTAATGTACAATGCAAGCAAGTGCTCAGTCACCAAATCAATCACTGAGGCTCCCATCAGCTGGAACAAAGAGCAAAGCCTGCTGATCCAATTCAAGGATGTCCAAACAACGGGCTGGGCCACCTGCCTTGCTTTTCTACCTTCTGCTGTTTGCAGCCAAGTTATTACAGTTGTGTGCACTCTAGAGTTACATGGTGCTCAGCTCTCTCTATGGCTAATAAGTGGGGCCATGCTGTGGCTGAGAGGGATAAGGGATGCCAGTATGTCTGGAATGCAAGCTTGTTAGCAAGACTGATGAGCAAGCATCTGCTCATTATTTCTCATGATGCTACAGTCCATCCTTTGTCCATCTCCCCTGCCAAGACCCAGAAAGACAAGATGGAAAACACTGCTGGACTATACAGAAGCAGACCTAACTCACTGACAGAGCACATGTTCTGCATGCAAATAAATCAAGGCACAACTTCTGGAGTCTCCAGGAAGGGCCACCCATTAGTGTAGGTAGAACTGCCAGTTCATCAGAACCCTTCCAGTGCTTCCAGACAACCAACACTGTTTTTCCACAGGCTAGTCAGCAGAACAGGGTGGTAGGGCATTCCCTCTCCCTACTAGCACCTCTTGCACACACTAAAACTCTCCAAAGTAGCTTTTTGGTGCTGCAGGGGTAGGAGAGAGAGAATAGGGTGCTTCTTGCCAGCTCCTCAGAGTAGATTTTCAGGCAGCACAAAGCACTGAAGGGGATAGGAGTGAAGAAGGAAGTCCTGTTACACCATCAGACATCTGCTAGCATGGCACTGGATCCAACCCTTACTGTAGAATTATATGCCCTCCTTCATGGGGTTTTACAGAGAGTCCGTATGAGATATCATTTTTCATTTGTACCATTCCTGTGTTTTCCCTTCTGTTTCTTGTCTTGCTAGAGAAAATTCATTAAGGAAGAAAGACAGAATAGTTGCATAATGTCTTTTGACTTGCAGAACCAGGAGCCGTTTATCTGGAAGGACTTGTGATCCTGGCCAAGCTCTGGATTGGAGATGAGTCTACATGGGTAGACATCACTGCATGGTAATTTATGGGTACATCAACCCCTAATCCAGTCTTCTCAACCTGGCATCCTTTGGATATTGGGCTGCAGCTCCCATAATGCCCACCTAATGGCCATATAGGTCTGAATTAAGCAAGACTGTACACATGAAATTCTTTGCCACCCAAAACCACTAATGTTTGTACTGCAGCAGCAGCCCTCCTTACCATTGGCCATGCTGGGACAGCCTGATGCGAGCTGGTCAAAAGCATCTGGAGGGCACCAGGTTGGGGAAGGCTACCCTATAAAGATGCCATGCTGTTTTTTCCCCCAGTGGCATTAACTTTATTAATGCTGGTCTCAGGTATTATGCTCAGTTATTCCAGAATGGGACATTTTATTTAAACAGCCCAAACCTTCTCTCCCTTATTAGGGCAACACTAACATATGCAGAGCTAAAGAATGTGCTCATGCAACGTTTGTAGCAATGAAAACTCACAGCAGTGGATGCCAACATTTTTGATTAGCATTGCAGGGTCTTGTTTTTGAGTTTCATCTTACTCAGCGGACAGCTGCACCGCATGGAAGAAAGGAAAGCAGGAGCAGAGGCCCAATTCTCTACCAGCGTCCTCGCGCGAGTCCAAGACAGCCGCAAACTCCCAAGCTGACCGTATGAAGACGCTGAAGTGATCCAGTATTATGGCGCATTAACCATGTGTCATAGCCGCTCGCCTCAGCAGAAGAACCCGCAGACAATCATAAAGCAAAGGAACTGGTTGATCCAGTCCCCGAATAGCGTGCAGCGAGCTTGAAGAATGGGAATGCAGAGTTTAGCCTTCTCGGAATGCAACGACCGACCGAGAAGGCGACCAAGAAAAACTTTTACCGAAACTATTTCGGTGGGAGGTCCAAGGGTCACAGGCCTACAAATCAGCAGGAAAGAAACCTCCACCCCAAGTGAGAAGCGGCTGGGGACAATTCTTTCCTTGGCCCCCTCCACCGTACCAAAGGCAAAAAGACAAAACAAGGGTTCGGATCAAGCAGCTCCTGCTTTTCACTAGTGGTAAAATCCTGCAAAGCCCGTAAAAGAATGGGGGGGGGGGATTCCGAGTCGCTTTTAAAGCTCGCGTGCAAATGCAAGGGAGGGGCATGCTACGAAATAGCGTTTTTTTGATCGAGCCTTTGAAAGACCAGCGAAAAGGAACGCAAGATGAGGAGGAAGAGGAGAAAAAATAATAAGACTAGTCAGATGTGCCACATGTTGGAAAGTTGCAACAGCTGCCGTCCCGCAAGCCCAACCTGCTCCCATGCGGAGTTCCATGCGCCAGCCAGATACCTGTAAAGGAGTCCGGGTAAATGGACTCCAGGGCCTCGAGCTCATTGCGCTGCTCCTCCCCGTAATCAGTCATGGTCCCCCGCTGCCGGCCATGGAATGCTCCGATCCCTCCACCCGCAATTACCTCCGCCAGCAGAGGGTACCCGGAGGAGGGAAGAGCAGAAACTAGACGTCGGAGCCGAGGGTCTGGCACAGTCCAGGCCACTTCGCGCACGCGCAGTGCTTCGCAGCGCCGCCGCCACGCGCGGCAGCGCCTTGACCTCCTTCTGCGGCTCGAACGCTCGCAACTCCCCGGCCTGAAAGGGAATCGGTTGTTCTGAGCGCTGATTGATCGCGTCTGCTCGCCTCCCTGGGAAGACGTCAGAAGGGGTTGCCTCCAGTCGCTTCGCTATTTCAACCGGCTTGGCGTCGGCACGCGGAGGGAGGCGTGGCCAAGGCGTCGGGTGCTGCCAGCGGCGGAGCTGCTTCCGCGGGCGAGCGGCTCCCCGGTCTTGGTTTCGCTCCCGTCGGCGAGTCTGTCGCACAACCTCGTCCTCCCTTCGGCTTCCCGCGCCCCGCCTTTTTTCAGACGGCTCTCTTCACACGGTGAACGATTTCGCTGCTTCTAACCGGCGGCTCCCTACTGAGTGTGCTTAGTATTGAAACCCTTAGGGGACACGCCTGGGCATTTTTAGGCAGTAAAAAGCCCTGCAACTCCCGCATTTCTGAGCTAGCCTGAAAGCATGGATGGAGATGCGGGAACCGGGTTAGTGCACGGGGGAGTGCGTGTGAGGGGGGAACTATCGCTGGCTTAAAGCTATGTGAGACGCAGGCGCTGCGATTGTAGTTGCCTCTGCAGGATCCCCGTCTGCAAGTTGGTGGCGATAACTGCATCCACTGTACAGTTATATTTCATCAGTTCACAAGCAAGAGTATGGACCTGTAACGGAGGCCCATAATACCCTTATCAGAAATCATAGACAAAGCAATTGTATTAACTTTTTGCATATTGTGTGCTCTTTAATAGCTGGCTTTACATTGGACATGGTGCAGTAGATTATTAACAGTTCAGAATAACATTCCCACCTATAGAATGCGCTCCCCAGAGAGGTCCGCCTGGCACCGTTGTTATTTGTTTTTCAGCGCCAGGCTAAGACCTTTTTATTTAAAACTTATTTTAATTGTTAATTTATTATGTATTTTAGGATTTTAAATTTTATGCCGAGCTGTTACCAAGTTTTTAATGAATTTTAATGTACTAACTGTTATTTATATATTTTAATTATGTTGTGAGCCGCCCCTAGGCTTTGGTGCGATGAGGGCGGCATAGAAATGTTTTAAATAAATAAATAAAATATTCTTGCTGCTTATATTTATTTTAACTGCTTTGTTCTCTTAAAACCAAACCTCGTATTACATTAAATACATTTACCTTATTATGTGCATATTTGAAATGATATATGGAAACCCTCAATCATGGGTGGCACTACTTAAAAGATGTTTGCCCTGATTTATGTTCCCAATGGGAGTTCCCTTCTCCAAAATTCCAGTTTGACCCGGATCCCCTTGGAGAAAGGGAAGGATACTAAGCTAATTGAATAATATTGAATATCTGCATTTTTCAGAATCAGAAGGCCACAGTGCTGCAGAAGATGGTTCCAGGCAGGTGTGGATGAAATTTGAACTCTGCATACTTTTTTCTAATTTCAAGCTGGAAGTGGATTCATAAGTCATTGATATTCCAACAGAATTTGAAGGGTAGCTTCTCCATCCTCTCCTTAAAAATACTGTCAAACCTTTCACTTTGCACAACAGTCATCATGTTTTTCCACTGTCCAATAGTACCTGATATACGAAGCAGAGAGAAAGAGAGAGCATCAGATGAATACCTATGATTCATTTCCATAGTTCAGGATTTAGGGCTGGGTATCTTTGGTTCACCCACCTTTGCTGGGCTTCCTCCTGCAAGACTGGCTGGGAGAGTTCCAGGATTTGTGGAGCAGAAATGGTGAAATTATATTTGATGGTAGGGGTATACTTAGACAAGGTCTGGTTCTTTTTTGCCATATTTTTACATTTAAAAAACTAAATGCAGCTTGGCCATGCCCAACTGAGGTGTGGATGTCCCTAGGAATGGTGCTTTATGATGATGTAGCATCATTCCTTGTAGTACCTGCAAGCAGACTTTTCATTCTCTCAGCAGCCAAGCCACACCTTGTGTTTTTCTTAAATTGTAGCCATTAGGAAGGGGTATGGGGTGCTAAGTAGAACATCTCATCTACCTATAAATGAAACCTAACTGCTGTAGCTGAAAAATGCTCGACCAAATTCCCACCCAATGTGGAATGGAAGTATCCTGAAGCCATAACTGTCATGCTTCTAGACGAGGTAGGAGAAGAATCCAGTGCCGGGAGTGGTACTGAGGCAGCAGCATCGTGTGTGTGTGGGAGGGGGGGAGTGTTCCAAAGCCATTCTCTCTGTTCTAGGGCAGGAGTTCTCAGCCTGTGATCTGTGGACTCCTGGGTGGCCATGATGTCATCACGGGGGGTCCACAAAGACTTGAAGAAATTTTAGGGTTTTTTCCAGTTAAATCTGAATAAATGAGTGAACCAATGAAAGCAAGAGGAAATGGGAAATAGTACAAAATCTTAATTTTCCATTCTTGTTTTGTAAAACTTGACTTTTTTAACCTATTGCCTCAATTAAAAACAATCAGAGGTATAAATCGGCTATGAGAGTAGCTGTCTGATGGCAAATAGCTGTGTTTGGTATTTCTGCACATGCTGAAAACATGCAAGTGAATGACTGAGGGGCCCTGGACCCATAAACAAAAATATATAGTGATTGAACAAAGACAAACGAGGTGAGAAGAATTGTAAAAAACTTTTCATCAAATTTTAATGTAAACATTGACATCAAATTTGGAATTAACATGTCAAAATACCATTAAATAGGCCATTTGAGTGATAAGAGTGTTGATACTATTATTTGAAATTTGTATGGAATCATTGCAATGCATATATAATAATAGGAGTGTGTGCATTAACAGATTCCCCCTTCTCTCCAGATTTGAAGGCCCATCATGAGAACACTGAAATAAATATTTGATGCAGTCTAGGGCTTTCAATCTTGAGATAATGCCTGGTGGTCTGCGGCCACAAAAGGTATTTAAAGGGGTCTGTGGCAAAGGAAAGGTTGAGAACCACTGTTTCTAGGGAATTGATTCTGCTTTACATACTGCCATTGTATGGACTGTCTTGTTCTCCCATGCTTTACTGTGTGGCTTTAGAAATAAGGAGATCTAAATAGAAATGCCATACATTCCAGTGCTGTATCAACTATCCCTGGAATTAGGGAACTCTATGCGAATCACACAGAACCCCACTTTATTTTTTTGAATAAGTTTTATTTGAAATTATAATCCTAAAAAAAAAAAAACTAAAAACAACATCCATCATCAAAAACATCGAGCCCGCTGGGTCAGCCCCCACACCCTTCTTTTTCCTTTTATGATAACTTAAAAACATATTTAAATCTGTGTGAAGTCCTGTTTCTCTAGCCAGTAATAAAAAGAGTCCCAAGTTTGATAGAAGTCAGTATCTTCCTTCTTCAATGATAAAGTCAATCTATCCATTTCTGCACAGTCCAGGAACTTTTTTAGAATCAGTTTGTCGGTGGATAGTTCTTCACTTTTCCAATGTTGAGCAAATGCAATCCTCACTGCAGTGATTATATGTAAAATCAAATACATTTCTTGTTTACTAATGTCCTCCGGTATGATACCTAATAAAAAAACTTCAGGTTTAAAAGCTAAAGATTTTCGTAACATTTCCTCAAGCCATTTATGTATTTTAATCCAATACTTTTTCACATTGTCGCAAGTCCACCACATATGATAAAAAGTACCCAATTTATGCTTACATTTCCAACATCCATTTGACATATTTGGAAACATCTTAGCTAATCTATTTGGTGACAGATACCATCTATAAAACATTTTATACAAGTTTTCTTTATACAAAGTTGCTAATGTTACCTTAATATTTTTCTCCCACAGCTTTTGCCACTTTTCTAATTCAATATTATATCCAAAATTTTGTGCCCATGTTATCATGGTTTCCTTAACCTGTTCGTCTTCCATTTTTCTATCAAGTAAGAAGTCATATAATATTTTTATCATTTTCTCATCTGATTTAAGCATCACTTGATCAAGTGCTGTTAAGTCCTTATAAAAACCCCACACTTTACAATCTTTAGCATATCTCGATTGTATCTGCACCTTATGCCACCAAGAGATATTAGATCCCAGTTCTTATGGGATTCAGTTTCCCATTGATTGATTCAGTTTCAATCCTCCATCCTTATCCAAGATGTCATCATATCTTATAATCCCCTCAAAATTCAATGCATTTGTATACACAAAAGCTTCCATGGGTGAAAGCCATCTTGGTAATTTATTATACAATTTTACCTTTAGCTTTTCCCACACTGACATTAATGGTTTTCTAATATAGTGACTTAGAAAAGAGCCATGTAACTTAGCCTTCTCATACCACATATAAGCATGCCAGCCCATTTGCAAATCATGCCCTTCAAGATACAAAATTCTCTTATTTCTTAAAGTTATCCATTCTTTTAGCCATGTTAAAACAGAAGCTTGATAATACAACATCCAATCAGGGCGACCAAACCCCCCGTTCTCTTCAGCCTCCTGAAGTATTTTTAATTTAATCCTTGGTTTCTTCTTTCTCCATATAAAGCTAGAAATTTGAAAATTTAAATCATCAAAAAATTTTCTATCAATTTTTATGGGGGAACCCCACTTTATTTTAAAAATGATGTATTGGCTTCACTTTTTTAATAGTGCTGGCATACAAGAGCAGCTGAGTATTATTCATTTATACAGTATAAATGATCTATGTAGTATCCTTTAAAATATTTGAAAATAAAACTGTAGCTTATAAAATATAATTAATCATATAGTTTAAGACCACAGGGAAACACAGTAGCACCAAGAAAGCCCAGAGAGCTGCACAAATCAGCACAGTAACACCGAAATGTGTCAAATTCTGGGAATACCAAAGAATATTTTGCATGGCATCTAAAAGACATCAGAGGAGACACTGACACTGCTATGTAGCCGCTGCAATCGAATTGCATTTGCCACCAGCTTACCTTTCTGAAGAGAGTGCCAGTGGGATAGTTGACTCTTAAGATTAAGGAATTCATAGTTTATTCTGGGACCTGGGATCATTTTATCAAATGTAGCCTTGTCCACAATATCATTCACCACCTTGTCAGCCTGTTTCCTAGGAAGTTGCATATTTTTAATATGGTATTTCTGAGATCCTGAAATCAGACATACTTTTGACAATTGAGGGCATACAGTATTGAGAGTCACATCAGCCCAGCAAGTAAAAATAGAACACCTTCCTGAGAGATACAACATATCATGCCCTCTTCACTGGCTTTTAGAAGAACTCTAAAAATTATGTTCTAGTCTGTTAGAGTAATACCTTATCATAGTAAGATGGTACTTGTGCTTTAATTACTGTTTTATCCCCAGTGTTATTTTCTGTTTCCTTTGTAAATTGTTGGAACTTGTATTTATTTTGTTAATCTACGTATTGCTCCCTAAGCTATCCCAATTTAGTTGCATACCCATGTGAGTCTAGTATCAGGGTTAGGAAGCCTGGGTAACTGAATCTTTCCTCCCTTGTTATGGTAAAAGAACTCTTAATAAATAACTATACATTTAAACAAACAACTATAAATCCCCACTTCTTAATAAGCAACTTAGTAAACAAACTCAATAGGAGTAATACATAAATAAGAATGAAGCTGTTATGAAGATAGAAAACCAGCAGGGGGCTCCCTTGACTCCAAGGATGTTGACTTGGAGAAGCTAAGAGAGGCAGAGAGGTTGGTGGATGAGGCCTTTGGGGAGCAGCGCCCCAGTTCCTGGGTGACAGTTCCTCTGCAGTCATGGAGAATGGGCGTCTCAGGGAAGGAGGGGGAAATGGGCATTAATCTGGCAAATGTGATTCAATGTAAGCAAGTACAAAGTGATGCACATTGGCAAAAAATAAGAAATCCCAATTTCAAGTATACACTGATGGGATCTGAGCTAATGTGACTGAGCAAGAAAGGGATCTTGGAGTTCTGATGGAGGATTCAGTGAATAAGTCAACTGTTGTCGAAAAGGCCAACTCAGTGCTAGGTCAAATTAGAAGAGGATTTGAAAATAGAATGACCACTATCATACTACAGAGTGACCGCACTTAGACTAATGTGCATAGTTGTCACTGGACCTAAAAAAGGATAGTGTGGAGTGGGAAAATGTGCAGAACAGGAAAACTCAAATGAACAAGTGGTTGCCAGTAGCAGCTCTCATATGAAGAGCGGTTACAACAGCTGGGACTGTTTAATATCCAAAAAACAGAAAGAAAGGAAAGAAAGAAAATAAAGGGAGACATGACAGAGGTGTACAAAATAATGTGTGGTATGGAGAATATGGATAGGGAAACAGTTTTCTCAGTCATCCCTTGAAACTTACTGGTAGGAAATTCAGAGCAGATAAAATGAACTACTTCACACAGCAATTAGTTAACCTGTGGAATTCATTTCTACAAATTGTATGGCTAGCTCCCAGTTTGGATGTCTTTACATGGGGATTGGACAAATATATAGAGGATAAGTCTGTCAATGGCTGCTTCTTCTGGATCTATGTAACCTCTAGTATCAGAGGCAGTATGCTT